CCGATTCCACCACAACTTCAAACCAAACCCAATGCAATATCCACTCTCAACGCCCACTATCACCGAATCATCAACCCATATCAACCCCAAACCCAGCACAACCCTCCCACCCCAATCCCTGCCGAAACTTCACACCAATGCAAGTCCTACAAGTCACCCTGAGCCTATGAGCTTTCTGTCCATTGGTTTGGGTTTGTGGTTTGGAAGTTAAGGGAACCAGGACGGATTTCAAATCCCAACCAATTCAACCCACCAATTGAGGGTGACCTGGCCCACTGTGAAGCAGCCCAAAACACAGCCAACATTCCGACGACCCTCTTGGGCAAATAGCAAGACCTGTCCGGGGGGAAAACGAGCTCACCGAGAAAGGTCTCTTACTCTTGGCTTGGTTTTTTGCTCCTGGGTGGTTCCGGTACCCCCTGCAAACGCGTGAATTCTTTGGGGTTTCCCTTCAAACCCTGAATAGCCATTCTTCTGTCAAACCCCTGTTGGTCATATTTGTCCGTACGGCCATGATTGTTACGGTGATTTGCGTATACGACCCGTATGATGAAACCCGTGTGGTGTTCAACATGTTGCTGCAAACAAGCCGAACAAATCAGGGAAGGTCCCCCGTTTTTCGGTCAAAGGCCGTATGGCCAAAAACCAAACCGACAACATGAGAGGTCCCACGCGTACGGCTCCTTCCGTTCCAAGCAGCTCAGCGTTTCAATTCGAGCGACGGGCGAAGTGAGGCCTTCATTGCGGAAGACACCCTAGGGGGCGGGCTCTTCGAGTCCAAGCTCCGGAAAGTGGTCCGCCCCGGCGGAGTTCGGGTTCGGCGAAGGGTCGGTCGTGGTGTTGGATGGATTTGGGTGGATGGTTTCCGAGGGATCGAAAGGGATTTCTGGGGGTCTGGTTAGTTTCCCGAACCAAGCTGAAAAGGGTACCCTCAGGTACCCTCCAAAGAACACAAACCCAAATTCTGGAAATTTGGTGGCTTGAATGGTTTGGTCAGGGTATGTTTGTGGTTGCTTGGATCTGATTTCTTAGGTGGTTCACAATCCTGCTTTTACGGGTTCACCGGGGGTGAGAATGGGGGGGGGGGGCATAACTCGCAAACCATCTAGCTGCGTTGGTTGCCGAATTTCGTCGGCTTTTGGGGAGTACTCGCTCCACTGCAAAGGTTCCTTCTGCCACATGTTCCTTCTGGGCCATGCTCAATGCCACTGCTTGGCTGCAATTCAAGGTGAGGTTCTCTTTCGAGCAGGACAATTTGAAACCCTTCGAAACCCTGCTAGTGCACTTCATACACTGATTGAGACCATCGTTTTTTAGCTGATTGCCTCACATCCTTCTGCCCGCATGTTGTTGGAAGCAGTCGTTGCATAAAAGGCCCCCTGCACACTAGCCACAGAAACTTGGTGACGTCCAGGGTTCTTCTGTCCGATCTGTGCTAGCTCTGTCTACGCCAAGGGCCCCCTCGATTTCTGCATGTGCATGTTTGAGCGCGTGCTCAGTGTTCCTGGGTTTGAGTGCATGTCGATGGTTGTTGTTTGCATTTGTTTGCTTTGATGAGGGTACCCTTTTGAGCAGGTCACGGGAGATCAAGATCACACAACCTCCTATGTTCGATGTTGCCCATGTTGCGCCTACGAACGGAAGCGAGCTCTTTCCATGGCAACAAGGGATGGAAACAAGGGTGATACCTGGCGGATTGCAAGCCAACCTAGAGGTAATGTAAGGCTTACTCGATTCACTCCTACGACTCCTATGATTCATGAAGTTTGGTTCTTAAAGCACCCCGTGTGCCATAATCCAATGCTATCCCATGCATTTTTTTTAGGCCGGTACGGAATTTGGAGTCTTCTTTGGGCGCAACTCGGTGAGCTCGCCGTCTCGCCGTCTCGCGCTTGCCAGGTCGGCGACGTGCTAGGCCCTCCTTTTCTGCGACGCCATGGCTGGTGTTTGGTTGGAGCTGGGTGCAATCACCAGGGGTTTTGGCAATGCCCCGGGGTCACCTTAAGGGGCCTAGGAAGCCAAATGGTGTTTCCTGTAAAGTTGGATTTGACCATGGTGGAGGATGCGCCGTGTCATTTTGGGGCGTCGCCAGGTTCCTTTACGGAGTCATCCTTCTTGTTGGGTGGTTTTCGTCAAACACTTGCAGAGTTTGGCTATGTTTGGTGTTCAGCCAGGTGGCTTCTGTTTGTTTGTTTGTTGTTTTTTGTTTGTTCGTTTGTTTGTTTGTTTGGTTGTTTATTTTGTTTATGTGTTTCTTTGTTTGTGTGTTTCTTTGTTTCATTGTTTCGTTCTTTCTTTGTTTCATTGTTACTTGCTTATGTGTGTTATTTCCTTCTTTCCTTTTTACTTCATTATTTATTTGCTTATTATTTGTTTCTTTCGTTCTTTATTGCTTTCTTCCTTTATTCCTTTATTTCTTCCTTTTCTTTTGTTCCGTTTGTTGATTTCCTGTATTTTGTTCCTTTGGTTATTTCTCTTGTTGCTTTGTTTGCTTGCTTGCTTCCTTGCTTAGCTGCTTTTTTGTTTGCTTGTTTGCTTGGTTCTTGGGTTGTTTTCGGGTTTGCCAGCTTCCGTCTACTACTTGGTGGATTGGTTTGGTGGTTAAGGAGGGTTTTCCCATTTACCCACAAGAACCAGAATTCAAATCCAAATGGTCGGATTTGGACTCAGAACCTGTTGTGCGCAAGTCGTTGCGATGGCTAAGCAGCTTCACCTGAGTTTGATTAGTTTTCACCTGAGTTTGCTTGTTTTGGTTCTGTTTTTGTCTTGCTCTTTTGCACAAGACAAACTTGAATATTGCAGACAACTCCTAAGGACTTCAGTCAATCAACAGGTTTGAGTCAATCAACCGGTTTGTTTGTGTGGTTTTGAAAGTTTGAGTAACAGCTGGTTTGCTGGTTTGCTGGTTGGTTTGTGTGGTTTTGAACAAGTTTGATTGGACGTGACACATCTTCCCGTTCCTCGATGCGTGAGGCCACGACTCGGAGGCCATCCTGGGGCAGTTGGCCGTGGACGCAGCGGTGGCCGCCTGGCAACCGTTCCTGAAATCCCCCCCTTCGCACGCGAGCGGGTCGCACCTTCTGAACACCCCAAAACGCGCGCAGGGGCGGCCTATGTTTTTTTCAAGTTTCCTTGTTGGGCTGTACTTTTTGCTTTCCTTTTGGATTTCGAAATCCAGGGTGGTTTTTGAGCCGTGCTTTTTTGGAGGGTGCCGTTCTTAGTTGGTTTGAAAGGAAGCCAAAAAGAAAGTCACGTGTTTGTTGGTATTTTGCATGTTGATACAAACTCTTTTGGTTTCAATCGGCGTTTACCTCACCAACATTCACCAACCTGAAAGGGGTACTCGCACCAGCTATTTCAAGACACACGCACCGACATGACTTTGTCTCAAAATAGGATGTGGACCACAAAATAATGACAACATGTTTTTGGCTCGTCCGTTTCAATCCGATCAAACGGAGACCCTAAACAAGTGCTTGGTTGATTGTCCCCTTCAGCTTTCTTATAAACAAAAAGAACAAGCAGGTACCCGCACTAACAAAAAACAAGACAATTTCAGAATAGTCCTCACCAAAAATAGGGCCAGAGCCTCCGAGTTGGTGTGTCAGGTATTTGGAGGCAAAACTGACCGCCACGATGAAATTCAAACGGGTGGATACAGGTTTGTAGGGCAACAGTCATCAATTGGAGCGGCAAGAGGCTTTGGCTCTTTGCGGTTTCCGGTCTACCTCACCTGAGGTGGTGTAGACTCCCCCACAAGGCCGAGGTTTACAAAAAGACCTTTACCCTCCAGTCCACAAACATTCAACCCACCAGGGGCCTCCTTTGGAAGCCTTTGGAAGCCCCCCCCCCCGCGAGGTTGCATGTTTCTGGATGGGAGGGCAACATCCTTTTGTTTCTCGTCTACTTGCTACGGTAGTGGTGGAATAACAGCTCCCACCTGCTTGTTCCTGACATACGGGAGGAAACCATTCTGCAGCCCATTCATGAAGTCTGCCATCCATGCTTTGAGTCACATTTGTCAGAAAGGAACCACCGTTCGTGTGATTCGTGTGTCCTGGAGGACGCCGTTGTTGTGCCCAAAAAATGACGGTCCTGATTGTCCTAAGAGAGTCTTCTCCACATTTTCGGACCCTTGAGCATAAAACTGGTTGACTTCCTCTTGGAGTTCCTGCATACCATCTGCTCGCTGCGTGGGTTCCTGGACTTATATATATATATATACACATTGGGAAGACCATTTTTTTGAAACAAAGTGGCGCCTCGTTTGGCTAGTCTCGATCGTCACTGATCTTCAAGCGACAAAAGCAGCCGCTTCACGAATCGCCGAGGTGCATGAAGACGTGGCCGGGCGCGACGATCCAGCCGCCACTCAAGCACAGCCCAGAGACAAGGCCTTGGGAGCCAAAGACACCGACCGCCAAACGAGACCAAAGGCGTGCGTTGGCGTTTACGGCCGGCTTCAGCCCAAACGTCTTTGGGCACATGGAGGTTTTCTGAAATGGGGGGTAGTGCTTGCCATGAGAACTTTGAGAGTCCGTGCCACCTGTATGCTCTGGCTTTTTGGTCAATCACTTTCATGTGAGCGGCCACTCTTCAGCGTCACTTCTAGTAGATAAGGAGATGAGATGGAACACAGATCATACTCATCAAGTCTGAACAGATGAACGAAGAGCTTTTCCCGCGGCTGTGGTTTTTCAAGGGAGGCTGCCTGTGTGGCTGTGCTGGAAAATCAAAGGAACTCCCTCATGTGTCAGGAGCCTAGCGGGTCGCTGGTTGCGCAATCTGTGTCAGGGAGCCAAGCTGCTGTGGTACGTCGGGCCAGCGCCTAAAGCCCATCTCAGGCCTTCGCCAGGTTGTGACCATGTCTTTCTTAGGGGCACCCTTGACCAGGTTCAAAGGAACTCGGGGTCGTTTTGGGAAGCACAAGCAAGGACCAACCCTGTTGACCAAGCTCTCCCCCAAGCGGGTTGCTTCTAAAATGCTCTTTTTCCCCTGGCCGGGCTAGTGAATTGGTCCCAGGCCTTTGGCATGGGCAGTTTGAGTAAATCTCTCCGGCGGCCGGCGGCCCCCATTGGGTTTTGTTTTGAGGCACTATGCCCAGCTTGTCCGTCCTTCAACAGGGAAAGGCAAGAGGACCAGAGGCGGCAAATCGGCCGGGCTATCAGTTGGGCTCTGTTCAGCCAACTGCGAGGGGCTCAACCTGGCTTAGGCGCTTCTGCACAAAAAGAAGTACGCGATCAATGAAACACGCAAGTGCACACCAAGCCAACCAAACAAGAAACCAACAAACAAGCCAACAAACAGACAATCCAGGGCAAACCAAAACAGAGGCAGGTAGACAAACAAACAATAAAACAATCAAACAACCAAACAGACAAGCAAGCAAGCAAGCAAACAAACAAACAAACAAACAAACAAGCAAACAAGCAAACAAGCGCGACCCTAAGCACCAGGGCAAACACAAACACAAAGCAAGCGGACATGCAGACACAAACTGCAATACGCAAAATGGACACGGACTTTCTTGCATTCTCTCTCACACACACACACACACTGTTGCAAGTATGCACACCCACACACACACAGACACACACGCAAGTACCCACGCCCATGCCCATTCGTACGCCTGCTCGGGCCCACACACCGCAAATTAAGCACAGGCAACGAGAAGCAGCCAACTTCTATCTGGGTATTTTTATTGAGAGACAGAAAGTGCTGGTTGTCCTTTTGGTTTCAAAAAACAAGGGCGCCACCAAAAAGACACCCATCTTGTGTTGTTCGAAACCGTCGCAGGTAAGTCTTAGGCCTTTGCATTTGAGGGCTTCAGAAGGGCTGGTTCGGAGCTGAGGATGGGAGTGGTGGCGCTGATTCTGGTTGGCATGCTGCTATGCTGCGTGAGAAGCCGACGCCTCAGTTGGTTCGGCGCGTTTTTTTTGGGCGGCCGAGTCGGGGCCCTTTGCTGGTGACAAGGCGTGAAATCTTCCAAGGAGAAGTGTGCATGTCTGTATGGGTATCTGTGGCCGTTTTGGGCTGAGGGTTTGTTTCCCGGAATTAAGCCATACAATCAATGGTGAATGGTCCCATGAGGCGGTTCACATCGCTGGTTCATACGCATCCCGCAAAAACTAGGGGGGCTCACTCATTTCGTCTTGGGGAGACGAGTCGTTCTGACCATGTTTCATGTAAATATTGTCACCGTAGAATTCTTCGGAAAGCAGGAGAGTGTCAAAAATTGGCCCTGCTTGTGTCCGGTTTATGTTTTGTGCCGCCGTTGTCGGCAGGCTAAGTCGCAGGCATTGCCATAGAATCGCTTTTTGCCTCGCCTTTTCGGGGTTTTCATTTTGTTCCTTTCCAGCGGGTGTCAACTCGTTGGGCGGCTCCGAGTCGGAAAGTGCCCAGGTTGTTGCGCACGCAAGAACCTTTCCGGCGAGTCCACAGGTTTCCTGCAGGCCGTGGGGGTGACGCGTCCAAGCGCCCCTAAAGCCATGGCCCAGGCCAACTTGGCATGAAGCTTGGCAAGATCAAACCTTTGACGTCATGTTGCAAGAGTTCAGGCTCCCCCAATGTCCATAGAGGGCCCACCAACGTTGTGGGGCCTCCGGGCGGTTTGCGGTTTGGCGATGGTCCTGGAGTTTTGGGCCACGGTATAGTCAGCATGAGCCACTGGGGCGACGGTCAAGAAACAGCGTTCTCCCACAGAGTTCAGACGGCGGGCGGCTGAAGGTTATGTTCACAACCCCTTTCAAGGCTACCTGAAAGAAAGACAGAATCTTTGAAGATATGGCTCTCAACTCACAAGCGAGCTCCTCTTGGCGATCCCTGCGTAGGGCGCAAGCATGGTTATGAAGGGGGCCCAATTGGGCTGCGACTTGAGGGGATGTTTGCCCTAAAATGTCCAGGGGGGTTTGTAGAATTGTTTTCACTGGGATTTAGAATGAGGGATTCAAAATCTCCATCAAGCTTGCGGGTGATATTGAGGTTTGATCAACAGTGGCCTGGTTGCAATCCGCGAGATCCAGACAAGGGGTTAGACAAGTGACAAGGGCCGAAAGGATTTGGTCCAGTGGTTTTAACCCGCAGGGATTTTGCAGATCGGATTGGCCAACACATGTTGAAGAGCTAGGCATGCGGAGGGCTTTGAAGACCAAATGGCAAGTTGACGTTGCAGCCAGTCGCAACTCGGCTTTGGTGATTGTGGACCATGTTTCTTCTTTTCATGTTTTTTCGTTGCGACGCGGACATTAGGGACGTCAGGTGAACACCTACGAGGATGACGTCCCCATCTACAAGGATCCCATGAAGCTGCGCCTTGATAAGGCAGAAATGGCAAGAGCCACGTATGTTTTGAGACCCCTTTTCAGCAACTCGGGGTGTGGTACGGGGCCGGGTTCTGCATACCAAGCCCCGATAGGACCCTTAGGGTGGCTTGTTTTTCTGGGGATCTTGCGACTCATTTCTGTTGCTCGAGGGGTGACGGATGGGCCATGGTAGAAACTCAACTGAGGCCTTCTCAGGTCAGGTGATCAGGCTTAGAGTTGCTTTGACGTGGCAATAGGCGCATCCCCCCCAAAACGGTAAGGTTTCCTCTTTTCCCTTCGAACCCCCCAAAATGGTACCCCTAAAAAGACAAACATTTCCGCAGCAGAGAGCAAGTTGTGTTTCCCAGCTTTCAGTTGTGCTTGCTAAGGTTTTCCTCTGGACAAGGCCACTGACGGGCTCTTAGGTTGCGGACATGTCAACCTGGCAGCAAGAGCCTGCCTTGTCTCACGGGACAGAATGCCACAAAAAGCAACGGTGAAGAGGGGCTAGATATTCGCATTTGCACTGGAGTTAGGATACATGTTGCATATCATTATTGCGATAGAACATACATTTTCCAGGGTCTAACTTCAATCAAGATTTAGGCTGGAGAAAGAACGAGGGCCGTCACCAATTCTTCCTTCTTAAAAACATGTTTATGTTTGTTCTGCTTGAGTTCCTGAAGCACTGTCCTTAGGTCGTGGCTTGCACTGTTGCTTGCCTTCGCCGTATCTTTCGCTCGGAAAATTCGCGCACAGTGCAAGAAGCGCTGGGAAACCGGTTTCACTGGAGGATGATGCGAAAGACAGTGACAGAAAGAGCTTGCGCACCTGGAGTGATTTGATTCTCAAAGAGGTCACCTCGGGGTGAAACAAGCCCAAGATGAAGGTCCCTTTTGAGGTGTCCTTCATTCTTCTTGGTGAATCATCGCAGCCCAGAATGGCCTTAGAGTTATTCTGGAGAACGCTATGGATGGTTGCCCTGCGCTTTTCAAACACGTGCACAGCAGGTGAGAACCTCGCCGGTCTGTAACAAGGATGCCTTTTGCTGCATAATTCAAAGCCATGCGACCATGGGTAGGGCACCAGTGCCAAGCACTTTGAGCAAGTGGAATCTCTTGCCATGCGCCTGGCTGTTTGTGGTATCCGTGTCGAAGTTGGGCCCTTCGACTTTGGTTCTTGCCTGGAAATGTTGCTGTATCATGGAAATCCGTGCAAGAAGGTAGCTTATTTGGTACCAAATGGTAATACCAGGATGTTATCGTAATTGAATGTACAGACGTTGCGTGAAGTACAGTTAACAGCCACTTTTCATGGCTCATGTTGAACCTTTGAAGCGACATCCAAATGAAAGCAACCATTTGCAACGAAGCGCTGCTGTGTTTCGTGGCAGTTTAGCCAAGCCCCTCTCGTGCCCAGGAGCGCTGGTGGCACCATGATGGCTCAAACTGGCCCGTGCGGAGAAAAGTCATTTAAGGGAGCGTCATGTCATTTCAGCCCTCACGCTTAAAGCGGAGACGCACACAGGCTGTCAAAACAGCCTTCGAGCTTGTGCGGAGTGACAGAACATGCTTGGTGAGGACTGTGAGGCGACATGCCCCAAGAGACGTTTAACACCTGCAAGCAGGCAAAAGCAACATCCACGCAGGAAAACATGTGATCTGCAGCTAAACAATCACCAGCTGAGTCACGCAACCCCAAAATGCCAATGGGAAGTCTCGCAACAGCCCAACCTCTAAGTTGCTACTTCTCTGTGTTTCCTCAAGCCTCGGCGCAGCTGCGCTGCGCTGACATGCACAGCTCAAGTGGCCAGTGCCCCAGGGGCGGCGTGTGGCCCTGACCACAGATGATTGCAAAATCGAATGAGGTTCTGTAAGGGAGACCTTGCAGAGCCATCCGTGGCTTTGAACTCATAACAGCTCCGTTGCTAAAAGGTGACATGGCTGCTTTCCACCAAAGAATAAAGAAAAGGTTGATGGTGATATTGATCCCCATGTAGATGGTGTCTACCAACGGGCTGATGTCCACCAACGGGCCCCAATTGATTACCCACATGTCCGGGAAAGCTGGCCCTACCGTGTGAGCAATCACCTTCCCAAAGTACAGCCGGGGCGTTCGGGAGGAAGTTGCGCCATGCAACATGTGATTCGTTGCTTCGTCCACTGCCAAACCAAACGGACACAGGCAAGACCCGCCATTTGGGGGTCCAATCCCTTTGGTGCATTTTGCCAAGGGATGTTAGGACTTCAACTTTGTGCCAACTAGTGGATGTTCCGTGTTAAACCACTAAATGTTGAACTTTTAGCAGGAGAGCAGAAAGCAACCGAGTTTCGTTGCTTCGTCCACTGCAGCTGGCCCTCTTGCAACTACTTGCCCGGGAGTCAAATGTATTTTGGGCCAAATATTCCTTTTTACGTGGGTTGTTAGAAATACTCATGCATCATGAACCCCTTAATAAGGCCTTCAGACAAGCATGATGAGGATTCGTAAGGGAAATGGAGAAATTGTCCCTGGCACAAATGTTGCTGAACGAATCACCAGCATGTCGCAACAATTTGGATGTTTCCTAGAATGACCGATTGCCGTTTGGATAGCCTCTTGAGGGGGAGACATCAATTTCCGGTTTCCCGTGCTTGTGCTTCACACGGACAAGTCTCGTTGTGGGCCAAACACGCATCTAGCAAGGGCCATGAAAGCCCGCAGGATGGGTGGCGCGTGCCACCATTGCTGCTCACAGCCAGAGGCCAGCTGCGGCTCCCGTTGGACAAATTGAGTTGGAGGTGGTGACAGATGTTGAATCGCTTGCGCTATCATGGCTAGTGAAATATATATATATATATATATGGGGGCCGTCCGTAATTGCATGTCTAAAACTTGTGAACAGCGACAACTTGTTGAACCGCGCGATTGGTAAAACTCAAGCCGCGGTTGGCCGGCGATTGGACCGCGAAAGGGCAACGAAATTATCATGAATATAGACGTTGCATGTTGCCGACGCACGTCTCGTTCATTTTGACTGCGCGTTCTCGCACAAAAGTTCTCTCTGGAATGATTGCCTTCCAAATCTGATTGCTGGCAAGGGCTGGAAGCTGCAAACCGAAGTTTCACCGCCGAATTCCGCGATTGGACCGCGATTGGACGTCGATTGGACGAGTTCCACCAGTGAGCGCCTGTCCATCCGAGCTTCCTGTTTCCAGGTATGGATGGAGGAAGGCCAGCGCTTGAGATAAGACGGCCGACGTGAAACAGAAACAACAGCGATGCCCAACATTCCTCCGCGATTGGAACTTGTGGGACCGCGATTGGATCGCGATTGGCCGGCGATTGGAACCCCAGGCAAAGTAATTTTGGATAACCCCCACATATATATATATATATTAATTACTATTAATTAATACATATGGTATACATATGATAAACATTTGCATATATACGCAACTGTGTTGGACCCATACGTTCGTCTCGGCTGCGTTGGTAAGAGAGCAGATTCCAGATTCCCTCGTGGAGTGTCGCATAAAGAACATGTCCCTGGTTCGCGTTGGTGGATGTGAAAGTCCTTGCCGATGTCCTGGTAGTCGCAGGGCCAAGGGTGAGTTGACCCAGCAAGATAGCAAGATGGGCCTACTCGTGCAGCAGCTGGGCCAAGAACCTCCATCTCAGTAGCGCGTTCACTCCCGTTTGGCTTTCTTGTGGTTCTTTGAATCTTTTCCACATGCGGATGCAGAAAAACTCATAGTAGCCTCGGCCTGAAAAGATGAAATGGTTTGTGATCCAGGTTGCTTTCCTGGGGGGGCGCAGTGCTTGCCGTGTTGAAGCCTCAACGAAATGAACAAGAGCTAGGTGGGCAAATTATTTTTAAGTGCACATTGGCAGGGGTTCTCAAACTTACTTTGAGCTGGGTGGTTTCCCTGCGAACTGCAAGTTTGAGAGTTGTTTTTTTCCGACCGCTTAAGGGGTTGGGGCTGTTCATTGGAGGGCCCAGGGAACAAATTGTAGGAGTCACGCATCGCCAGGAGGCGGCTAAGGCAACTCAGATTGCGTCGCACCCAGTGAATGCCCACCATCCCCACCACGATCCGCACCGGGAGCGAGTGAAGAGCGAGGACCCCTCGGGAGCGCGGGCGAGTCAGAGAGGGTGTCCTCTTCTTTTCTTTTTTTTTACGTTGGGGGGCTGTGTCTAAAATCAGGGATCCAACAAATGTGTATTTTCCCTTCTGGTTTCCCTACGCCCTCGAATTTGACACAGCCTTGTTGGGAGGTTTCCCATCAAAGTCAACCCAAAAAGGGGTCCAGACCCTGGCTGATTGAGAGTCCCCTAGAAGGAATCCTTTAGTTCGACGGCCTTAGAACTATGTTTGGCCCCAAGTCGTTGAGCTCTTGAGGTACTTGGTCGCTTCCAAAACCCATCTTGGTCCATGGTGAGATGGGAATGGGTTGCAGCTTTCGTCTGCCAAAAGAAAGTCCCGCGCCTTTCGCAGATCCGCAAAGCAATGGATGGGGCTGCGCGATCTTGCGATCTGCTGGATGCTGGATGGAGTCCATGGTGTTGCGAATTGTGGAGATGCGTTTCCCTTGTGATCGTTGTGTTTCCTACTATAGGGTAGATGGATCCAATGGGGTAGGTAACTATTGTCCTGTTGCTTTTGCCTTCGTTTGTCGGAGCCTTCTTCTTTGATGTCAACCCCCAGGATCCCTCATCCGTCGCAGGAAAGCCATGACCACCATGATGCCTCGACCTGAGCTTCCGAACTCACCTGACCTTGGAGTCGAAAATGGTTCACGCTGGTGTGTCATGGTGTGTGTGAACCCAAAGCCGTGGGTTTCCTTTTGCGTTTGCAACTACAAAAAATGGGGGTAGCCTCAATCTAAGAGTAAAAGTACATACCCCAAGAGTACATACCCCAAAATAATGGAAACACCTTCTCGGGGTAGGGATGTGTGCTTGCCACTTTCACTGTTAGCCTATGCCAGGCGCTACTCGTGATGGTTTGTGTTCAGCCCCAGGATGGCAAAAGCAGTGTGGGCAGAACAACGCCCAGGTGATGCCCCAGATTTCGTATTTTGAGACCGGTGCTGAGGAACCCTGGACAAAGCCCACCGGGGCCGCAGAGTACATACCCCAAATTTCTTCAATTTCTTTCGGGCCGGGAAAACACAGCATACCGTGGGGAAAAAAGTACACACCCCAAAATAGTTGGTTATGGGTGCGTCCTTTGTTCTGGGGTTCCTTTTTGTTGGGTATGCGGGGGGGTTGTGGGTCTTGGGGTAGCTTTTTGGTCATTGGGGTGGGGTTGGCGGGGAATTCGGGGGAGGGATGCCGGGTGATTTCGGGAGAGTTTTGGGGGTCAGGGCATTCGGGGGGTGGAAAAGGGAAATCCGGTGCCAAGAAACGCAGGTGCAAGTGAAAATGGGGCACGCCGCCTTTGCAACATTGTATAACCCCTATATAACCACTCTATAGTCAACTTTTTTGGGGTATGTGATTTCGGGGTATGTAGAAAAACCCTTAGACTCAAAAGAGACACACCAACACCATCTCCAGAGTTCTTCGGTGAAAATTAACGAAGCCCGGCAAGGTTGGCAGAAGGTGGACCTTGCTCGAAGATTGTTGGGGATGAATTTGGATGATTCCAGCTGTTCTTTTTTGCAAATCTCAGAAAGAGCCCCACTGGGTTTGCTCAGGATGCCTTGTCTCGCAACGTGGAGCCGCTTTGTGGTGTTTCAAGGGCGAGAAGGGGAGTCAGCCATTTCAGGGTCTTACTCAGCACGATAGGAGGAGCCCCCTGCACGGTTTTGACGGTTTGAGATCTCCGAGGGATATCATGGGGGCCAACTTCAGAAGAGAGCCCAGTTACAGGCCGGCAGAGGGCGTGCCGATCGGTCACCGAGTCAGTGAGCTTTGAGGCAATCTCCACAACGCAGCACCTGTTATGCCAAGCCTCTAGACAAAAACCAGGCAGCTTTCTTGAAATGCATGACCTACGGGAGGATCATGCAGGCGTGTTGTTATACATGATTGCTAAGATTTTTTGTCACATTGCCACGTCAGCCAAACGATCTCCACTCTGAGCTTGCTCGGCATCCCCGATATCAATGAGGGGTCAAAGAGAAACACTCAAAAACATGTGCAAGACCCAAATCATCATGTGAACCATTCAGTGAGGCAAACTAAGACCCGTAAGACCCTGTCAAACATACGAGCCAAGGTGCAGGGAGCGACGGGGGTTGCTCTCTTTTTTGAGGGTACCCTTGTCAACAAAAGGCAGTCTCGGAACAAATTGGGGTCCCGTTCCAAATCCTAAATTTGATACTGACTGGGAGTGGTTCCATGACTATCTTGAAATTGGATTCCCTTTTGATGCAATCCGTGGGCTGTCCCTACCAGACCCGGCACTGCCACAAACACGGTACATTTGCACATACCCAATTGGAGCCCGTTTGTGCATTCCATGACTTTGGGGCAACATGCCAACATGGGAAATTCATTGGGACCCTACAGCAAGGAAGCAACCTAGATGGAGGCTGCAAGCCCCACGCGGATGCATTGAATGGAGCCTACCGGCCAGGTGAAAGACGGGGGCTTCGCTCTGGGCAACTTCGCAGCGACCAACACCGGCCGGATCGAGGCGAGAAGTTCTCTCAAAGCCTCGCGGGAGGGGAGGGGAGACGAAACTCAAGTTGTTGCCCAGGGGGGGGGGGGGTTGGGTTGGAGGGTGCTGGTGGGGGGTGAGTTGGGGGGGGGTGGAGTGGGGAATAAAAAGGCTGCAATTCTGCCTATGGCCGAACTCATGGATGCTGAAAGAATGCAAGTTCAGTGTGGTGTAGGTCCGTTACGTTTTTGGTTCTGGAGGGGTTTTAAACTTTGCAGAGTGAGGCAAGAGACGCCAACAACTGAGGGCTCGGTTGAACAACGGTTAAAAAGTGGAGAGCTCACCGCTTCGAATTCCCGAAATATATTGGCAATGAAACGCTCGCATTTTCACACGCCGGGCTGTGTTCACTTCCAACAGGGCCCTATGTGCCCACAGGCTAATTAAAGCATCTTGGAGCACTTGTAGTTGAGTCTCCACGCGGTGATGCTTAGAGGGGAATGAGGGAGCCCTGTCCAAGCTACCCGACCCACACCAGATGAGCATCCAGTTTATGTTGGATCTTTAATTGCTTTGGAGCCTGACAGGTACGTTTGCGGGTTCCGTGAAATTCCCATTTGGCAAGCCAACCCATCCACATTGACCAACAACTTTTCCGGCTTGCAAAAACACAGTTGAACATGGATGGGGTTTTGGTGTCCTTTTCGAGCGCCCCTTTCGGGTGTGGTTAAAGGGAAACCAAAATCATGCTGGTGCTCAGTAGGGACTGAGGGAATGACCCCTATAAACCATCCCTCGTGGCTTCTTTTGAGGGAATCCCCAGGTTCATTCCCACATCTGCTGAGCACCAGCAAGAAAAACTGAAATCCACGATCCCCCAGTCCTGACTGGGCGCAGGACTACTACGACATCGAGAAGCAGAAGCTCGGGGAGGGGGGGTTCGGCTCTGTGCGCAAGGGCAGGCGCGGGAGGGGATGTCTTTTATGGAGAGAACTCACACAGGGTTCTCTTTTTGAGGCTGGGGCTTGGGTTTGATATTTGTTGGATTTATATATATATATATATATACACATATTTTTGGGGGGGTGTCAAGATTGGTTCTGGCTTTTGGGGCTTCCGTGGCAACAACAGCCACAAGTCTCAATGACCTCCGGGCAAGTAGCCCTTCAAATGGGTAGGTTCCCTAAAATTCCCTTCACAAGAGACTCAGACGGGGGTGGCCAGGGAGAAAGAAAGGACGCTGGTTGCTTTGGGCCCTAACAAGTCAATTTGACTCACCGGGGTTCGAGGGGGTTCTCAGCAACGAACTGCCTACCCCCTGGCCCCTAAGCATCATAAAAGCTCCTCGAAAGCAGCATGGGTTTCCAAGAAGGCTTGGCCATGGAGCGTGGGTCATGAAACTTGACTAATGTGGTTTTGTCCAACACCTGCAAACAATCAAGCTTTTTGGGCAAGAGCTAGCCATCAAGGACTGAGAACCATCTCGGGACTTGCAAAACCACATTTGGGCAAACAAGTTTGAGACATAAAAAGGTTGAGTTTGCATCCCGGACTTGCCACTTACCCGAATGGGCGGCTGGGCGGAAGGCCGTGATGTTTTTTGCCCTTGGGGCTGTCCTGCAAGAACACTCTAAGAATCGGCATCACTCTCATTCCTACATGCCCAGCGGGTCTATTTACCTGTATAGTACGCAACCAAGGGAACTACCCTTTCAATGCCAAAAGGAAGATAGCTGGTTACCCACTACAAGGGCAACTGGGATTCACTGGGATGGTTTGGAGCGTTTTGTTACTAACTCTGGCGCATCACTTGGACCATGGCAACTCGGAGGACGAACTGATCTTCCGAGAGTATCCTCGAAAGAGCCTGTTCAATGTATCTCCACCGAAAAAAATCCAATGCAGGGAGAGGGTGTAAATTCTAACAGCCCAATTTCCTCGTGGGGTGGTTTGCTGTTGCCAAAAGGGACCCGTGCCCTCAAAAAGAAAACACCCAAATCGAGTTGCTGTCTTGTCCCCACCACCTTACCATACCTTCCCAACATGTCGGGGGGCACGGCGTGCTGCACTCGATCCGGATCGCTCTCAGGGACCAGCGCACGGGGAGGGTCTACGCCATTAAGACCATCCGGAAGAAGGGGGCGCGCCCGGCCGATTGAGGAGAAAGGGGGGGCCGACTGTTTATGACAAAGCCGGGAACAGGGAGAACAAGGGAGAAACCATGGTTTGGCCAGATGCAGGGCCCTTTTTTTGGACCTCCAAGGGGCAGTTGTGAAGCATTTTAGGAATTTGCATGTGCTCTTGGAATTTCACCTTGGAGGGGAAATCCAGTGACCCCTGTCAATGGCCATCCAGGAACAATGGGAAGAATATCATCAATTCCGCAAGGGACCTTCATAGCGAGCCAGGAAGTAGGGAGATCAATCATGGTTTCTGGTCAGGGTTGTGGGATCAAAGGGTTTCTCCCCACTTCTGTGATACAAGGGAGTCCCCTTTTATATGAACAAGATCGTCTTTGGGAAGCCCTTTCTGTTGTATCACAGAAGTGGTCATTCCCCACAGCCCCGTTTCTGGTTGGTTTTTACTTGCTTTTTGTTTCGCTATGCGGCATGCCTAGTTGGATTTTGTCTACGTATAGGGACGGTTCCACGTTGACCTCCTTTTAAACAAATCCCCCCCTCACATCCCTAAAATGCACAAATGTTCCTGGTATTGCCGGTCCGCTATTTCGGACCCGTTCATCGAGAAGCTGAAACAAATGTGGGGATTGCTCCCATTTTGCACCGGGACATCCAGCAATCCCCATGAGACACTGGGCCGGAGTCAACTGACCGAAGCCATGTCCGCTCCCTGCCGCCTGTTGGCTCACCGAAAAGTGGGCAAGGGTCAAAATTCAACCACCAGGAATGGGACCGCGGGTTTTAGTCCTTGTTTCCATTTGCCTGGGTTCCATTTTTGGGTAGCTATTTCTGGCCCACACCCAAGTAAAGTGGAGGCAAACGAACAAGCTTCCACTTTACCTTTTGAGAAGCTCCGCTGACCTGTTTGAGAAGCCGGTGAAATGTTGAGACATGGGGACTCCCAAATTGGCGGATGTTCTTTGGATGGCTTTTGAAGCCAACCCCAAACAGGCTACGCTTCACCTCAAAACGGATCCCCATGCGGCTTTCGTCTTGAAGCCCTAGCGCCAGGTGGAAGAGCCTGAGAAGCTGAAGGAGGAGATCGACATCATGAAGCTCTTGGACCGACGAGCGTCCGAAGTGGGCGGCGAATCCGAAACTCCGCTGGCTGAGTGGAGGTAAAAGGTTGGGGCTGTTTCACTGCCCAAGGTGTGGGCAATTTGGGGACAGCAAGTTGAGTGGGTAAACGAGTTCATGCATTTCGGGTGGGGTAATGGACTCAAAGGTGTCAGAATGTACCTCGACAGAGCTCCCAGGTTTGCATTGCATCACGCCGTCTCTGCAAGCTCCAGTCACCCAGTCACCCAGTCACACGGCAGGATCACCCCAACATCGTGCGGTTCCAGGAAAGCTTCGAGGACGGGGGGGCTGAAGGGCTGAATCGGATTGGCCAAGCCTTGGCAAGCCCTTGCAGTGTAATTATCTGTTTCTGAGGCTACGAGTTGTTATTTTTTGTGATTTCAAAGAGACACCAAAAGGAACGCCACACAGTTGTGGGCTCCCTAAAGACATGGCATGTTAAGCCTGTTTGGCACGTTCCAACCAATGCGCAGAGAGGACCACCGCCTTCTACAACTGGTCCTTGAGCTGTGCGAAGGAGGCAGAGCGTGGGGGACTCTTGTTTGTCACCTTTCAAGCAGGTAGTTTGGCGGTCGATGCCCGGATCATCACCAAGAAAACCGTTGGTAAATGTCACGATCACCGTGTCGGGGCGGCATTGTAGGTGTGGATCTCGTGTTTATTGCAATCAGAAAGGCCATCCGTGTAGACCTAAAGAGGGCTCTGCTCACTTTGAGACAGACCCTGGCATTTTGTTCGGCACAAACTCGGTACCAAGGAATCGAGTCCTCTTCAAGGTCAAGTGGGAATGACCCATGACCCGGCTATTGGTACATTTGAGGTACGCTCATTTGGGTTTTCTCGGAAACCAAAAGGGACACCGGAGCTAACAAATCCTCCAGTGTATTGTAGCTTACAACACGGTGCCACTTTTGTTAAGATTTTTAAACACAGCGAGAGAAAGAGAGAGAGAGAGAGAGACACACGCAGAGACAGACAGACACATATTGTGGGTGTGAATTTGTTAGTTGACCCTCAAACTGGATTTCGTGTTTTACTTTGGTCTCCGTTCAATGCCCCTGCAGGTCTGGCCAAAGACCAGCCACGTTCCTCGCAGGTGAACTCATCGAGCGGGTCTCCGCGGACGGGTCCATCACTGAGAGGCAGGCGGCAGGCGCCGGGCGCGCGTTATACGTGGTGGCTGGGTTGTTGTTTTTTTTCGCGGCAAGGCCAAATTGGATTTCGGGGTTTCCTGGTGGTTTCCCTTTGAAACCCGAAAACACAAAAGGTACCCATAACTTGATTTCAAGTTTCCTGGTGGTTTGCCTTTGTGGTTTCCCTTTGGAAACCCATCAAGGGTTACCCCTCAAACTGGGTTTCGGGTTTACTGGTGGTGTCTCTTTAAAACACGAAAAGGCACCCCAAGCTTGATTTCCAGTGTTCTGGCAGTTGTTTTTTACAAACCCACAAAACAGGGCTAGTTGTTACCTGGGAAAATTTAACACTGGCTTCGTATTCGTGTGTTTAAGCGCGACTAAGCAAGGTGTTTATCTTGGGGGCTGCTGGGGGGTACCTTGAATCAGGTGGGGGATTTGGGGATGCCCAAGCAATGATTGGGTATGGTTTTTGGGCGAACCTTGTAGGCCCTGTACTTTAATACGGGTGGGAATCTGGGAGGCCAAAGGGCTGACGCTACGATTTTGTCTTTTCAAGGGGACCCCGCTTTTGGTTGCTTTTAAGGGGGAAACCATATAAGCAAAAGCGATTTCATTTGTTTTTTTTTGATGCCCCCAACCTGAAGACAAACCCTTGTTTGGATCGGGGAAAGTGCCCTTGATTTTGACAACTGCCTCTGTCATGTGGGTTAGCACCGGACGACAGCACCGGACGACATGAAACTCGGCGTGTGTTGAGCCCGTCTCTTGGGCTGTCCCAGTCATTGTCCACTGCCAAATGGTTCATATCCCCGGGCCTCCGGTGCTGCCTTGGGGTCTTGAGGGTGTCTCCCTTTTAATATCAACCTAGGTCTCCCAGTGCCCTTTTACCGTTTCTTTTTTTTGGAAGGGCTCCCCTACTAAAATAGACTACAGCAAAAAGGGTGCCCTTATTCGAACCTCTCTACTGGAGGACCTAGCAACGATACGAACAGAAAGGGTGGCCTTTTTTCCCCATGCCCACTGGTGGTCGTGGTATCCGCTCAACTAGCTCAGCGTGCGCTTCGCCCACGTGGCAGGCTGTGTGCGCGACATGCTTCGGGCCATCAACTACTTGCACATGCTGCGGCCTTAGGAGTGTGTTTTTTAGGGCTTTCAACCAACCCCCAAAACGGGTACCCTTAAAAAAAGACAGACCCTTGGACCTTGCGGCGATTCGCATCAGCTTGGCCAACTGCAAAGCGCCACGCACTACGCAGCCCTAGGCCTCCCCAGCTTTTGGCGGCGTTTGCCTGGCTATGGGCATGTGCCAAAGTTATGGTGGTTTTCTGTTGGTGTCCCTTTAAACCAACCTGAAAAGAGTACCGATGATTGGCTTGAACCCGATGCCGCTGAGGAATAACATCGTGCATCGCGCCGGGTGGCCCAAGGAAGTGCCTAGGCCCTCAGACAAGCCATCTTGCAAGGGAAGCTAGAGATACTTTGCTTTGCACAACTGTTCTGAGTCGAAACCTGCGACGGGAACCATTTGTGGCTTGCTCAACACCTGGATGCCTCTTTTGGTCCTTTGAGCCTTCGTGAACCCTGAACTAGGAGGCCAAAGGCAGGGTCAACAAAATGATTTGAGCCCAGCTTCCTTTGACCAACCCCTCAAATAGGTTGCAGTTTTGTTTGGTTTCGCTGCATTTATCATTGGCTCAGTGCCACAAAGGGTACGACCAAAACACATTGGCAGCGGTTTGAGCAGCGGCTGAAGCACAGATTGGCAATCACGACTTGAACAACCACTTGGCTCGTCGTTTTGAGCAAGAACTGGATCCCATGGAAGTAAGTAGCTTTATTATTTTGTAACTTTATATGGGTCACTTCCACATTTATGGGTCAATTTATGGGTCACGTCCGCATGATTTTTTTGTTAATGCCGAAAGACCAAAAACCGACACATCTCCACTTCCCCGCGGAGCTCAGGACTTGAAGCCGGAGAACTTCCTGCTGGCCACCAAGGAGGAGGCGCCGGCCGGGCGGAAAGCCGCTCGGTTTCGCTTGGGTAGATGTCATTTGGAGTGGAAAGGGCTGGAGGTCTCACTGTCTCACAAGAAAAAAAGAAGAAGTGTGTTTCTTTGTTGTTTGGAGTGTTAACAAAGGGCAGGGGAGCCATCAGCTTTTCGGGAGGGTCAAGTCAGGTGGGCAAGACCGCGCTGAAGCTCATCGACTTCGGCCTGGCCAAGCCGGGGGCCTCGTTCGCCATGCCTCGTTCGCTCGCCCACTTCGTGGCTGGGGGAAGCCTCGGGCTCGGGCTCGGGAAAAGCGGAAGGCCGGACGTGGATGGGGTCTAGGTCTATAGAAAGGTGCTTCCCCCAGTTTGAGTCCAGCTTGGCTTCTTTTTTTTGGGACACCCGCCTTTTGGGGGTAATTATTTGCCGGATTTTGGGGTTTGTTTCGAGGGAATGGAGGTGATTGCCGCCAGCAATGAGACTGGTACGGTAAGATGGCCAACAGCTATGCCTTCCGAGTAAGGGACCCCCCCAAGGGAAAAAATGCAATTTTGCTGGGTTGCCGCTTGCGACTTCCGGGGTCTTCGTTCCTTGTGGCAAAGTGGCACGTGGTTGACAAAAAGGGACTTTCTGAAACTGGTTGGTTCTTTGCAGTGTTTGGGCACGAGCTTTTTTGGAAGCAACGCCTCTTTCCACTCCAGCAAATATTGATCGCCCGCTGTCTCACACCTTTTGTTCGGCGTGACCCCTCGCTTCGTCGCGAGAGCAAATGGAAGGTCCCCAAGCCAATTGGTATCATTCCGTTTTGGCTCGTTATCTGTTTCCAGCACTTTGAACCCGCGTGGATGCCAAGGGTGGGTCAGGGATCCGTTGTGAGTTTGGTGTTGTTCAACAGTATGCGACCAGAAACCAACACATCCGCTGATTCAGCATGGAACAGGACTTGTTTGTCAATCCTCTCTGTGGTCCCCGCGACAAACGTAAGGAGCAATGTGGGCGTGTCAAACACGGACATCCCCATGGTGGGTGTGTCCTTGTTTAGGGGAACTCACCAAAACAGTGGGTTTCCCTTTGGTTTCCCATTAGGTTTCCCATTAAAAACCACAAAATTGAGGGGGGTAGCCTCAACAAATATAGACACAAATGGTGGTTTGCCTTGTGGTTTCCTTGATCTAAACACACAGCCGGCGCCATTCTGCGAGCCCGCAAACGAAACTTGAGGCGCTTTCATCCTGGCGAGCACATGCGGACCAAGGCCGCGGACCTTTGTCAAAGCCGCATCACTGAACCCAGACCAATTTAATTCGTGGTAAGCAAACAGTTTGGACTTTTTTGGCCAGTCCACTCAAGAAGGAAGTGAGTGAAGGATGTTCACTAGAGAGTCGCTGTGAGTTTTTACCCAAACAGAAGATTGGCTGTCAAAATGGAAGATCAACCAAGCAGAGTCTGAGTTTTGTTGAGAGACTTGGCCTGAACCTTGAAACCTGATCCTTCAGGAGTTGAGTGCCACATGTTTGAGGTAGCTGCTTTTAGTGGAACTACCCACTGTCATAAAGATTCATCTATTTCATATATGTATATGTATAGGATTTGTATGATTTTGCTACTTTGGGTGGATGACATTGAATGACCGTGGGCCATGTGAGTTTTAACCATGAGCTACATATAGAGTCCACGTAGGTGTTTGCTGGCCTGGTCAGCAGCTGGTCAGTGCAGTTGTTTTTTTGTGCGGATTGCGGAGGAAAAAGCACTAGCAGGGGAGCCGAACAAATGGACGGGTTGCCTTTGCGTTCGGCCAACAACAGGGCAAGGGGTTGCAGTTCCCGATTTTGGCAAAACACACATGTTCGTTCACGTGCTTTTTTCTCCAAGCATGGTCATGCGGTATGAACCGAGCCCTGTGAATGAATTAGACGACCACGGTCCCAAACCACCCACCTTCTTAGCATAGTCTTTGCCTATACTTTCAAGCCGACTTTACCTCAATCTTGTTGCCTTTGTTTTTCCCTTGATTGTTGCCACAATTCCACACGCGACACTTGTCGAGTCTACACCCTGACCTTGGATTCGACCCCGGTTTCCAGCCTTCAAAGAAATGGCTAGGTGCCTTATTGGATCCAGTGGCTTTGTGCTCCTTTCATTTTCCCATTTTCGTGGAGTTTTTGGATTCCGCTGACGCCGGAGCCAGGCGGGCACGCCCAACTACGTGGCCCCAGAGGTCTTGGCGGGGCGCTACGACGAGAAGGTGGACGCCTGGCCCTCGGTTTTGTTCGGTGCAGTTGGAGAAAACGGGAAAGAAGCCAAGAATGCTACAGCGGTGGGAACCACAGGAAGACCAAAGGTAGAACCAAAGAGGGGGAATGAAAGGAGAGTTGTGTGTATGTGTTTTTTGTTGTTGGCACTTTCGGTGACTGGCCGTGGGTTCTGATCTTCCCGTCGCACTGTAGGATTTGTGGCATCAGTTTAAGGGTGTGGATGCTGGATGCTGGATTCTCAAGTGTTTTGTTTGCCACCAAGTGTGATTCTGTTTTGGGTGCGAAGCAGCTGGAAAACACCCGCCCTTGGCCCTTTAGAGCCCTTTGCGGGATCGATCAGGTTTTCTCAGTGGCATGGCCTTTTGTCTCTCTTGTTGATTTGGAGTGGTTTGGGATGGTTTGGGGTATGAACCCCCGGTTCTTGAGGGCAAATGCCACGGTATGCCAAACAGAGGGAAGCTATACATTTTCGAGGCGTGGAGCATCGGGGTGATCGCGTACTTACTTCTCTCGGGCAAGCACCCCTTCACCGGCAAGACCGTGGAGCAGGCGGGTGGCGCTGGCTTGGGCGTGCCGGGAGGCAGGCGATGAGAAACGTGGTGCGAACGGCAGAGATTTGGTGTGCCTTTGGGGAGAGAAGAATGAAGGAATCGGTGTTCGCATGTCAAAAAAAGAAGAAGTTCAGGTTCAGGCGTATTCTTGACGCGAAATGCCGAGCCAAGTTATGTCCTTCCGGGCAAGGCAATGGCTGCGAAGGGTTGCTGGCGGCCCCAGGTTTGAAGTTGCATGAGGGGCATGTGATGCGGCTAATGGTGCTCGTCAACTACTCAGATGTTACTTTCAGAAGGGTAATCCTTCAAAAGGCACTCCCCTCCACAGCCAAGCCAAACAAGTTGTTAAGGCACAAAACTTCGCCCCAACCGATCGGCTTGGGCGGCGAAGGTATTAACCTTTGGTTCAAGTCCCCCCTCGCTTGAGGGATCTCGTCACTTTGGCCCAAGCACATACTTCCCTTCCACATGATTGATTGGGCACAACACAATCATGTTGATTTGTGTACATTGCAAACTTCAGATCCCCAGCACCCCACCGACTGTTTTTTGCCATGCCCAAAATCCCAAGTACTGTTACTGTCCACAAGCAGTTGGGGGGGCTGGACTGTGGTTGCATTCTCAATGCCATTGGTCAGCCAGCGAAGCAAAGTTTCACAACATGGATCCTTGATGCTTGTCATACATAGGGGGTGGTAGACAGCCCAGTTGTTGGCATGTTGCTTATTGAGTTGTTATGCTGCAACACCCAATTTCGTGTTGCTTCCATACCAAGGACTCAGAAGACAAGGTCAATAAGATTGATTGTTGTGCCTGATGGCCGTCGATTCGCTCACCTTGCGCCAGGTGCTTCAGAGAGTGAAGAACGCCAACTTCGCCACGGCCTTGGGTCGTAAAGCCTTGGGCCTGGGGCAATGTGTGAGAAAGGATGAACACAGTACTCAGGGATCTGGCTTGTCTGTAGAGTTTACCTTTTTGCTGCAGCCATAGGTGGCATAAAACAGTTGCCACCAGATTGAAAACAACGAAATTGACTGGTAAGAAAGGTTTCAATTTGTCGAGAGGCAGCTTGTCAGCCTATGTCAAGCCCCATTGATTGAAACGAGAAGGAACAGAGAGAGAATGATGCTTTCAGATCTGGCCCTTCTCCTGAGCTTGCCATTTGGTGGGCTCTTCTTACCAAGGGAAGCAGATTATTTGGTCTCAAAGGCGACTGGCGTTTTCCGGGTGGCTCGTCTTTTTAAGGTTGGAGCCCCCAAAATGGCGCACACCCATATGACTGCAACAGTTTAGAACTTTCTAAACTGCGCACCTAGGTTGATTGCTTTCCAAAAGTGACTTTTGCGAATCTGAAAGGCAGCAGCAAACCCTGTTCTCGAACAGATAGATTAGACAGACGGAGGGACAGACAGACAGGCAGGCAGATAGGTAGATATGTATATATATATATATATATGTATAGGCATATGTGTAAACATGCAAATTCATCTGTTTTCTCGGGTTGCATCTTGAGCCACTATGGGCGTGTCTTCTTTTCAAGGCCACCCCCAGCGGCGCAACGGTTTTCCTGTTGGTTTCCCTCTAAAACCATAGGAAAGTTCTGAGTCCAAGACACCAGACCGATATGAAGAAACCCCAACCCCCCTAAGAGCTCCTTGGAGCTGAGGTGACGGAGGGAAAGCACTGGAAAGGTGTCTCCGTGGATGGCAAGGGCTTTGTGCAGGAGAGCTGCGGTTTTTCTCGCTCGCGTTGGCAGGTTCTGCGGGTTGAACCGGAGAAGCCGCGTGAAATCGCCGGAGGAGATTTAAAGTTTGAAAGGGCGCCCCAGTGAATCTATCCCAGGCGTTTCGCCCTAGTGGTAACCCTTCGCTACTTTCCTGTTGGGTTTTTGTATCGGGTGGTTCCCTTGGTTAGGATAAATGGATCCACTGGGCACCTTTTAGCAAAAACATGCCTGCATGTGCTTTCTAGGTGCGCATAGCAACACAGAGGCACGAATCACTGACCCGATGCATCGTGCCACCCCTTTGTGAAAACCCCCTTTACCATGGAAGGTACCCCCCGAGAAAAGCGACAAGGCGATGCTAGTTCAGCCAAACCGTATTCCGGTTGGGACCGTTGTGGGGGCTTGCTCGTCTGAATTTTGGGCTGACTTTTGGATGTCATCAAGCTGGGCTGTTCAAAGGCAATCCTCAATCCTTGCTTTCTACGTAAGTCCTGGACACAATGATTGAGATGTTTTGGTTGCAAGTGATTTTCCAAGCTGATGATCCCTTGTGTTTGTTCTTAGTTGTGAAAATCAAACGATCCTCCAGGCTTTGCGTGCCACACAATTGCGCACTGCAAGTAATTCGCTTCAGTTGCTTTTGAAGGGCATAGGGTGACAACCAAGCCCTGGTCCAAGCCAAATCAAAATTCAACGGGAAACCAAGTTTTTATGTTTTTGCAGAGGTGTAATTACACCAATTCAAAGGGACACCACCAACATGCTGTTTGCGCAATGTTTGTTTCGCAACCTAAGCAGGATGTCCACCTAAATGAAGCGAACCTGAGTTCGGAGGTGTAGACATGAGAGGGAGGGAAGGGGGAGGGAGCCCGAATAAGCCCTTATGAAGGCCTAAATAAGGCCTTACTTAGGGCCTTGTTGGGCTCCCTCCCCCTCTCCTCCCTCCCCCCAGGCCCCATGAAAACATGAGCCCACCCAGAAAACCCATGACCCGGCGCCGTCGCCCAAACCTCTCTCCGAGGCGTGCCTGCAGAAGGTGCCCATGGCGCGGCCCTCGGCGGCGGCGTGCCTGAAGCATCGCTGGACCCCGCACGGATTCGAGTCGGCTTTTTGGTTTTCTCGTCAGAGGCGCATTCTGCCCAGGGATGTTAGGACTGTATTTGTTTGCGTAACTAATGGGTTTTCCGTTTTAAACCACCAAAAGTTAAGCTTTTAGCAGGGGAGCAGAAAGCAACCGAGTCTTGCTGGTGCGAGAGGGAAGGAATGAGAAATAGAATGACCCCTAAGCCCTAAAAAAAACATCCTTTTTTTTAATTGTTGTTTAATGGGTTCCTTTTTTTTCTCGGAAATTCTCAGGTTTGTTCCATTTCTCATTCCCTACCTCCGAGCACCATCAGGTTTTGGTTGATTCGAAGGCCTCGCGGCTTTCGACGCCTTCCGGATGTCGAAACAAAGACGCGGAGCCTCAGATATGTCTCTTTTGTGTTGTGCGTGTTTTGAGTTGTGTTTGTCAAAGGGACTCGCACACTCGCACCCCCCATGGCGGCTTTTCCTGTTTGGCTTCCCTGTAACCCGAAAAGGCTACATTGAGTCAAATAAGCACCCAGTTGTGCCATTTCCTTTTGGTGTGTCAAAGGGTGGGAAATCCCTTGGTTGCCCGCTATGGGAAATGGAATAAAGAGGCTGTTCTCCTACAGATGAACATGGAGCGACAACAACTTGTCGTGTTTTTGTTTTTTTTTTGTGCCGGGAAGGTCTCCTTTGAAAATCGAGAATCTGAATCTTGTTAGCATAGGTGTCCTTTTCAGGTTAGTGTGGCTAGAAATAGATGGCACTGGTTCAGACTGGTTCTTTTCCATCTACCAGGGCCATCTATGACTCAAACGTTCACCTATGCTTGTTAGGCCACCCCAGAAAGACTGCTTTGGGGTCCAGACACCTGACATCTCTTTTCCACAGATTCGGAGGGGGGATGCATCTTGCCTTGATTTGGGGGGATGTCCAACTATAACTCCATCGCGTGTTGCGAGAAAGCCGGCTACTCGAGCTGCTTCATGGTGGAGTCCTGTTCACTCTGTTTTGCCACCGGAACCCGGCCAGGAGTTCCCTCTCATCAGGTTCCAACTTGGGGAGGAAAGTCTTCTGAGCAGGAGGGCAAGCCCACAAGATTGGTTTCCTGTAGGCTTTGTTGGTTTACCTAAGCCCACCAAAGGAGGTCCCCGTGGTCCCCCAAACAAAATATATATGAAATGAAACACATTGGAAAGAGGGGTTCCTGTTTGGCTTTCCCAACAAAATGTCAGGCTGTGTGTCATTTTGAGTCGGCGCCAGGATCGAGCGCCTGGCGGAGAAAGAGGATGGACCAGTGTCCGCCCTGCAGATCGACGGCCTGGCGGCCTTCGGCCGCATGCACAAGATGAAAAAGGCGCCTTTGGGCCACGGAGCCGCGGAGCCGCGGACCTGAAAGGGAAGCCGCTTTGAGGGGCGGAGGTGGGGGTGAAACTGGGTCCAGTTTGATTCAAGTGCTCGGGTCTTGAGTGCTCAACATTGCTTTGGGGTCCCTGTGGTTACCCTCAGGCATGAAGGAAACAAGGAGTGTGTCACTTGAATGGATTTGAAAGTGCCTGAGCTCATCCAAATGGACTGCCTGGCGAGGGCATGGCGGTTGCAGGGCACTTCTGTTGGCAGGCTGTGGTCACCGTGATCGCCGCGCAAATGTCAGAAGAGAGGACGGCGGACTGCGCCCGTCGTTTTCTGTTCGCGCGGAGAATGCCGGCGAGTGGGCCAAAGGGTTGAATGGGTCAGAAGAGTGGTTCTGGCATGAGCGTATATTGATTCCCCTGGCGCATCCTGGCGCCCTGGTCAATTATGCCACCCCTCCCCGTGCCCAAGAGACGAAGAAGATTTGTTTGAGCCTTAAGGCTCCATCCTAAAACAAAAGCTAAAGGTGCGATATGAAAATCATGCTGACCGGACACACAAACCTGAATAATGGAGGGGTGGTTCCTCGAAAGGTGCAGGGCCCTCTTTAAAAGACACCAGCCCCATGTCATCCACCCGGGGTCAACATTTGATACAGGAATGTCTCCTCACCCGGAGCGCCGATCCTCCGTGGGTGGCGCAAGGCCAGGCTACTTTCAATGAAAAGTTGAGGGGTGGGGCTACGAGGCCTTTAATCTAGGCACCCACGAGCACAAGTGGAGCGCTCCCTTTTTTTCCGGAAGCATAAACAGGTTCCTGTGGGTTCCAGCTTGCAATTTGTAGAATATAGCATGGATCCCATTTAAGTTGGAACCCAGAAGAATTGGTCGCCCGCAATTTGACGTTGAGATGGCAGACTGGGTGACAGGATAGACCAGCTGCGGAACATGTTCATGTCTATGGACCGCAATGCCGGGGCCCAAGCTGCCGAGTCGCTCCGGATGTTGCCCCTTACACATGTGGGCGGCTCGTTTGTTTTTGAGGGTACCCTTTCTGTTGGTAGTTTAACAGGAAACCAAAAGGACGGCCGCCATTTTGTGCATCCTCGTAAAGAAGGCGTGCCCATATAGGTGCAACGGATTTTGAGGCGGATTTTATGTCTTCAGTGGCAACTTGGTGTCCCTATTTGTCTACGGCTGAATTCGCCGACTGGCTGCCCTTGCCGAATTCACGGTCCTGAAACAAAGCAGATCCTACGAATTATCCTAGATGGTTTTCACTACCGCGAAACCAGGACACTGACGCCCACTCCATGAAAAGGCAATACCGTGTTCCCCTAGACGCGGTCGTAGACAGTTGTTTGGGAGACTAATTAAGTTCTTCCTGAATAGTGGCAGCACCATCGTTTTGAAGAGCAAGCCCGGTATTGATGCACAAAGCAGCTCACAAGAGAGCCATGCCAACCCTGGGCGCCCGTGGACAAGGGAAGCTCGTTGATTACCACCGACTTGGCTTTACTCCCCAACTCTTGACTCACGGCCCATCATGGCGCATTGGGATTGGGCCAACCATTTGTGTCCAAAGTTTCAACTACAGGTGGGTTTGGCTCAAAAATAGGGACCCAAAATGGAACCCTGGCAAATGGAAACATTGACACAAATCAACCCCAGCCTGTGGCAAAGCTCCTGGCAAAGCACGGCGCCACACCATTCAAATCCGCAGTGCTGAGGGGGATGGCACTCTGACCGTGGCGGAGGTGAAAGATGCCTTGGACAAGGTGAGGGTTGAACATGGGCAACGGGTGTCTCCAAGGATTTGCCTTTGGATGTCTCCAACCGATGGGTGTTCCCTGGATGGGTTGCTTTGGTCCCGATATGAAACCAACCAGAAGCAGGGCCCCCCAATCTGAAGGACCCACCAACAATGAATGGCATCCGATGTCCGCCTTCCTAGTGAAAAGGGAAAAAGACACCGGCGGGCGGAAAACCGTCTTGAGGTGCTAATCCGAAGGCCAGGTGATCGGCAGAGCAGCGAGTCCGTTGATTTGTGTTTTTGTTGATCTAGTGGTTGAAAAACAGCAGAAGCCACCCCCACGATCCACAGCGCCGCGTTTGCCATGTTTGCCATGCAGTGAATGTTTTGGGGCTGTGAATCATGGGCTGTGCTTCGTGTTGTGTGAAGTTGTCGGAAAAGGTCGGCCCATTTTGATGGGTAAGACGTTTCTCAATGGCCCTTCTCTTACTCACTTCCTGAGTTTATGGACTTTAAACCTTGTTGGCAGATCATTTAGTGGTACATTAAAAATGTGGACTTTTCTTGGCCGATCCACTCAGGAAGTGAGATTAGCTTGCAGTGTTGTTGGGGGCACGCTTTTTGCTTGGCCATGTGCTGCACAGTATCACCCACAATATGGGGTCAACGTCCCTGCCACAACAAAGTTGACGTAAAATGAGTGGCGCGCGTGTGTTTGTGTCAAACTACCCCTTCTGTGCTTGTGCTACAAAAGAGGGCGAGCAGGAGCCAACCCGCCTGGAGGGGTCCATCCAGGTTTCCATCCACTGCTTCCTGGTGAGTGGATCCAACACATGGTTCTTTCCCTTTGGTCTTCCTGGAGCCGTAAACATGATGAGCAACGGACTCGGACAAATCTTGTTGATATTGTTGTGGTAGTGAATGGTAAAGCCCCCCCCCTCCCCTCAAACAACCTAAGACCAAAATTGGGGGTCAGAGTTGGGCCTACTGAAGCGGTCCTCAGTTCTCCACAATCCTTGGTCCTCTTTGCTTAGTACTTGCTCATCGTTGGAGTTGAGTATTCCGGTGAGCTGGCCCAGTACTGTTTAGAGTTGGTGTAGGTTTTGTATTCCTTGGTACTGGTTCAGTAGTGTTTAGTTAGTTTCGCCTTTGGAATTCTGTATGTTACTTTTTGGGGCTTCCCTGTGCCACCCCCTTGAAATATGCTTGGGCGGCTGTTTTAGAAAAGGGTCTCAGAAAGAAGTTGGCAGTTTGTGGCCGCAGTCAGCATTGCTGGCTCAGGATTGGCTTAGTTTTAGATTTTGTATTAGTTAGTATTTATTTATGAATGATCAGTATTAGTTTAGCATCCCCAGGGCTTGGAATTGTTTTTTTCTCACTTTCTCACAGGTGGACGGAGAGCCATATGCCCCCCTTTTTGCTTTTCAGGGCGGGGAATATTGCTTTCTTTTGTTTTCGAGTTACCTCCACTTTGATTATTCGCAGTTGTTCGTCATGCGACATCAGTCTGCTGTTCATGTGGAGAGGACATGGAGAGCCTACCCAATATCCTCTATTTCTCACAAAAATAGGGGGCTTCTCCAATTGAGCCAACTGATAGTAATATGAGAAGAGTTCCCAAGTTTGACAAGCTATCCGCAGCATGTTTTGGAGGGCGCCGAGGGCGCCCATGGTGCAGGTCACTGTTGTGCTTTAAGGCTTTGATGGCCGTAGGGTTGGTTTGCAAAGGGAGAGAGCCGCATCAAGCCCCTGAAATCGCGCACCCAAAGACTGGCAGGCGCACCTGGACATCCCCAGCAACATCGAGCAGCTCCTCTATGAGGTGGGTTTTGAATTGGGGGTTCGTTTTTTTGAGGCTAACAAAATGGTACCCTTGGGGTTGGTGGAAAGGAAAGTCAAAAGGAACACCACCATTCTAGGGTCCCCTAATTTGACACATGCCCAATTGGACATGGACCCCTATATTACAGAAATCAGTTGAAGCACAGAACGAGCATTGGCCGACTTGTTCACTCGGCATTTGACTTCGTGGCTGTTGCTGGGAGAACACCTTGCTTCTTTTTGGACATGGTTGACTGGTTTCCTTCAATAGGAGCCTCCCTGGAAACAAATGCTTGCTTGGGATCCCTTCTGTCCTATGAAGTTCTCCACATCAATAGTTATAGCACTTTGAACTCAGCACGAATCTGGGCAAAGAGATCTGGGGAACGGGCTCACCCAGAAGCCTTTACTTGGGGCTTGCGTGTTTCCTATTTGGATGCACCTCTTTTGGACCTCCCTAGTTTTTTTTTGGTGTGTGTGTGTTTTTGTTTTTTCTCGGAAACCAACGTCATTGGCAAAGGGTTCACCACCCATGTTTGGGGTCCCCTATTTTACGACATACTCATGTGTGAATTATACTGTACATCTACAAACCCAACTGGTCACCCACAGCGCGTAGAGGCAGCTATAAGCGCTTATGTCGCGGGTCCTTGTCACATCAAACCCTGCGAATACTAGCATAAACCACCTATGTTATCACTCCAGACGTGGTTTGTTTGTCCATCAGCAGGTGTTTTTCAGAACAACATTAAAAGGAAACCAGTTAATGTTGACCCAGGATTAACAAACCCGTCCCATTATTAGGGGGGTGTTTCCTGCAAAAGTGATGAACCCGGACACTCCCCTATTAATCAACCAGGGGTTTATTAATCCGGGGTTAACATTCTAGGGGGGGTTGGGGTCCCTCGATTTTTAGAGACACTTGGCCTCCAGGCTGACACGGACGGGTCGGGTGTCATCGACTACACCGAGTTCCTGGCTGCGACGCTGGACAAGAAGGTGTACGTGCAGGCGCGCAGTTAGAAGACTCTTCTCACTATGGTATGGCCTCCACTCTTCACTTTTGTATGTTCCTGACAGGATCTCCAGGAACAACTGCATAATGGAGCATGATGTCTGGCCGCTCGGTTTTCCGTTTTTTTCCGGCTTCCCGGACGTGCCCAGAACGAAACTGAAACGAGGGACATGGCCGGTATTAGGGGGACCATGGAAGGAGGTTTGAAAGTTTGTCTTGTGAAGGAACCCGTGAAATTGGGTCTTGTGCTTTTGGCTTCCCTTAAGGATTCATTTGCAAGGCCTCGCCGAAAGGCAAGCAGCCAGGATTGCTTGCAAAATTTGTAGCGTGTTTTGGTTGGGGCCGGCTTTTGTTTGTCGAATGGCTGTTGGGGTCAGAATCGAGGACGATGTTGTAAAGAAGAGAAAGGGCACAGCAGGGTTGCGTTCAACCTTTCAAAATAATGATCAGACAACAAGGTTTGGGTACACAATTGTTTGGGTCTTGTAGTTCTCCTGTTCCAGGGAGCCACATTGAAATTGAGAAACCCTCAAAGTTCCTTATATATTTGATTGGTACCAAACCAAACACGAGGCTCCCGATGTATGGAAGGTTGATATTTACGTACTATAGGGACAACCCCTCTTTCGATACTCTTTGCAGGGAACCAAAGGCAACCGCCCAAAATATGTTGCAACAAACCCATCTCGGGGCATTTGAGGTAGGAGTCGTTACCAGGTTGGAAAAGCCAAGTTTCCACGGATCTAGATGACGTTCAAACGGATATGCATGCAAGAATCGAAACGAGGATCAAATCATCGGGGCTGGTTTGCCTAACTCAAGTAGACTGCATCGACAATAAAAAGCGTTCCAACATTGTTGCGAGCTCACATAGGGATCATAATTGAGCTTTCTCATGATGAAGGTCCCTTGCCCCAATGTGTGAATTGTAGTAGTTCTGGCTCCAGTGTAAAAGTAGAAGTATATACCACATGTTCATATCCCTCGGTGTCCTGTTTCCCAACCCACTTTGCAATAGGGTCTATAATCTATACATCTATACCATTTTGTGGCGGGCATGAACACAAGCACGGACTGCAAATGGTCATTTACCACAAAACTGGCCTCATGGCTTTTGGGCAGGATCATTTACGACATGACTTTTTCTACCAGACCAAACAGAACCCATTTTATATTTGTTCTTTTTTGTGGGGGGGAGCGGGGGGGTAATGTTCAGGTGGCCGATATGTGCAGAACAAAGAATCGTGAACCTGTTGGCCGCCTTATGTAGGGCGGAGAGCAAGAAACTGCTAAGAAAACTACATGCAAGTAGGCTTGGTCTCCTTCACAGGCAAAAATTCGCAGCTGCAGGAAGCAACGTGTGCAGGGGACACCTTGAATTGGTGGTTTTCCTTTGAACCCCCATTTAAACCACCAAAACGGACAAAGACCAACCACCGCCCATGTGCATCAAACGGTGAGGAGGACATCGTTTGGAACGCCTTCAAGAAGTTCGACTTGGACAACAACGGCAGCATCGACTTCAAAGAGCTGGAGCAGGCGGAAGAATCCGACCCTGCCAACCTGATTGGATGTACTGGCGGGCAGGTTGGGACTTGCGATTTTGCCATAAAGAGTTCAAGTTGAAGCATTTAGTTGAGTGCTCTTTGGTTGGGTTGCGACCCCCCCGCTTCTTGGGGAGGAGCACTTCAAAAGGAGCCTGAAAAGGGGGCTTGAAGCCTTTTGGTTGGGTCACACTGATGCACCGTCTCTGAAGGGGTGATCAAGCCGGAGGTGATTGGAGATGTTGACGTGGCGCAAGCCATGAACCTGAAAGACAGTCTCCCGGCGACGGAAGCTGACGATCGGAGGGGTTTGCAAGAGGGGGACGCGATGAGTTGTCAAAGGGGTGCCCTTTCTTGGCCATGGTTTGTGTGGCCCGCTATTAAAAGGGGGCCAAAAAGGGGGTCCATATTGTCGTTGACAACCCACGACGTCCAAGCTCCATGATTTTGGAAAGAGGATTAATGGCATGGAGCTTTGGTTGTAGTCCGGGTTTGCTCAGCCTCCCTCCAAAATCCCCAGTCAAGTGATCATTCTTCGAAGGGGAAGTCCAGTGGCCCGCATTTGTTGGCCGTGTTTCCAAAGGTCGATCCCCCACTCTTCTCGAGGAAGCATAGAATTAGACCTGCTTAGCTTTCGGACAAAATTGATTCACCTATGTTAAGGGTCCGGGGGCTTATGCAGAACCCGGCGGCCCGTGTAATTGCCACAGCCAGAGTTGTTTCAGGGGTCTCAAGACAAGTTTTGGAGCCCCAAATTCCATCGATCGGACCCTTAGGGTAGAATGTTTGGAAGGGGTCCCACTCATTGAGGGCAGCCTGGCCGAGCGGCAGCTCGGCAAGGGTTCTACTATGTGATCCTGAACATGTCGATGACATGCATGAAAGTATTGATTTAAGTAATTTAAGTATATCATTTGTACATGGGTGTGTTTGTTCTTTGGGGACCCAAAACTTGTGGTTATCTTTTGGGGGTCCCTTTAAAGCCACAAAAAACAAGGCAGACCGAGCCTCGAAAAAAGACACCCTCATATGCCTGTAAGAGTTTGCAGCAGCTACCAATGCGATTGTTGCGCTGCAAGTCTTTGCTGGGAGATACTAAAGGACTCCCCCCTAGTCCACAGAAAGGCGCTAAGCAATCCTAAGAGCCCCCTTTGGAGGGTTCGGAAAAGCTTCCTAAGAAGGGGCTTCCCGCTAAGGGGGGGCTTCCTCTAATCTAACGCTTCCTTCCCAGCCTTTTCAGGCCATGTGCCTTTGCTTTCCTCCTTGCTCCCAGATTCACATGGAGCACGTATCCCTCTCAAAACGGATGGCTTGTTGTTTGGGGTTCCACGCAAAGTTGTGGTCATCGCGCTCGCTCGCTCCCTCGCTCCCTGGCCTTCCGACTCGCCGAGGCGAGTCGATCAACAACATCCAACAGATCTTCCAACAGGTGGACCAGAACCACGCCGGCGCCCAAGTCCGATCCATGCGATCCGATCGCGGACCACCATTTTGGGTTGGGACATAGCACCTTTTTGAGGGTTTGTGGTTCGTGTTTTGTTTTTTTGTGGTGTGGGTTAGTGGGTAAAGAGAAGGGGGAGTCTCATGATTGCCAGTTTAGAGGTGGGGAGTGTTAGCTGCGCATGCAGCCAGCTCAGGCAGGGACACACGGGTGAGCCATTTACGAGTCTAAGTTTCCAAGGGAAAACGTGAATCCAGAAGTAATGACTTTTGGGTGTGTCTTAAAATGGGGACCCCCAACAATTTTTGATGTCCACTTGGGTTCCCCTTAAAACAATCTCAATCATGGTACCCTCGAAAAAAGACAGCCGTTTCATGTTATTGATTGGACTGACATGGTGTGAAAGTCTATAGGTGTGTGTTTGCATGAGAGGGCCTGGTCTTTGGTTTGCTCATTTGCCATGCCGAACGAAATGCCTGTGGCGCCCCTTTTTTCGCGGAACAACCAAAACGGGCTTTGCACATGGAATCTTAATAATTATCCCAGGCGAGCCATAGCAGGCAATCCCTTCGTCATATTCCTTGTCTCAAGGTGCTAAATTCCTTCCCATGCTGGGAAGACCATAGTGGCAAACAACAGGTTAGGGCTTTTGATTGGCCAAACCACTCAGGAGGCAGGTAACCCCCAAGTACGGTCCTTTTGGATTCACAAACTCCGGTTCATCAACTCGGTGGCCAATGGGGGAGTGGCTCCTCGCAAAAGTGACTCCTTCCCTTCTTACATGGGACACCCCCCCTCTTAGTAGTCCACCAAGGGGTGATCAATTCTGAGCTCCCCCTCCGAAGTCCACAAATGGAACAATTCCCCCTCGTGTCAAGCAAGTCTTATTCCCCACACCAAGCACCCACCAAACCGGTACCGTAAAGTGGATGAGTCTGGTCCCACCGCGAAAAAAGGGTTATTCATCCCCCACCCATGGACCTGACTGTCCCGGTTTGAACCATTTCGTCAAGGGACCGAGCCATTGGTAGATTCCAAATTGGAGACCACTTACCCATTTCTCAAAGGAAACGGTTCTGCCCTTTTGCGGGTTCCCCCTTTGAGACAAGTCCAGTTGTGTCGTTTTTAGGGAGCCGAAATGGCGAAACGGCTTTCCTTTTGGTTTTCCAGGCCCATTGATCCCGGACAGCTTTTGGATCCGGACCTATGGGTCATCCGACAGGACGGCAAGATCGACTTCGAGGAGTTCTTCACGATGATGCGCGGGGCGGAGAACAGCAGTCAAGCGGACGGCCAAGGACGCCCACGGCCTGAGCCTGCGCGGGGGTGCGGCTTTGGCGCCTCTAAACGGAAGAATTGGGTGGGTGACTTGATGAGTTTCATGTGGTGACTTGGGGAGGTTCATGTTAGATGGGATCAGCTTTTGATTCCGTTCCTCGAAAAGAGCGCCTTTGGTGGGCTCCAACGCTTTAATTGGCATGGTTTATGGTTTGTTCCCAGCCACTGGCAGCTTGGCAAGCAATCCTGGCCAAGCTTCGCATACCACCAAAATAGGGGGTACTTTCCCAGTAGTTGGTTGTTAGTTGAGAGCAATCGCAAGGAACTTATTCCATTCCCGCTTGAGATTTTTGCAGGCTGGTTGCCAGGCGTGAAATGTCCCCCTGTCTACAGGGAGAAGAAGTGTTCAGCACCTCAGTTTCAAGACGGAATTCCCTTCCCAGCTCGAAAGGCCCCCCGAAGTTTCCAGATAGGAGCCAAAGGAGAGTCATGGCAGTGGCTATTTATATATCCCGTTAAGGAGGATTCAGTCACCTGCTGCTTGGCCCCTTCAAAAGATGTGGTCCTTTTGGGTGTTGAACAGGGCTCAAATCAGGACTGACCCGTTTTTTTTTCTGGAGCCAAGACACTGTCGCCAGGAACCCCCGCCCACCGAGATGAGCGACAGAATCACAAGCAGGGGCAGCGGCTGAAGCTGTCAGGCTGAGTTCGATTGAGCTGAGATCGGCTGAAGCCGAGATCGGCTGATCGCAGGGCATCTTACTTTGCAGATGAACATGGAACCCAAAAATCCATCCCTGCTAGAGGAAATTCCTTCTGGGGGACCCCCAGTATGAGGGGTGCTTCGTTCACCCCTGTGTCGCCCATTTTTTCTGGCGGATCCCGCCCCAAGCAAGAATCACAAAAAGCAACAAAGAAGAAGAAGACGAAGAAGAAGGAAGAAAAAGAAGAAGAGGTTTGCCTTTTTCCTGTTGCCTATTGCACCAGATCAAGAGGAAACTGCAATTTCTGTCGGGCTAATGTTCAGGCGGATAATCTAAAGCCCTGTTGCATGTGTGTTTGCATTTTCCTTCGATGTTCCTGTATGTTGATCATATTTTCCTTGCAAAACCAAGTGATGGACGTCTAAAATGTCTGGTAATTGATCGGTTCTGGATCCCCTCTTGGAGCAACCAGCTGGGCCGGAAAAACACTCCTCCAAGGCCCATGACCATTTGAGCCGATATCTTAAAACCAGGCTAGATGAAGGCTAAGGGCCCAGGCATAGGGCCGATATCCGCCCGTTTAGTTCTTGGGCGACCATCTCAATGCCAGGCTTTGATTATGACACATTTGGAAAGCGTCAGACCATGCCAAGGGCACCAGCTTTGGCATGGGCGAGGCTGCATTGCCTTCCCGCGCATGGCATTCTGAACTGGGATGGTTCAAAGGCAATCCGCAAGACTCTGAGCTTGGGTTGCGAAAGGGGTCCGAATTTTGCAGTGGTTGTCCGATAGGGAATACAGTATGGATTAGGATTGACCAAGCCTCATTTCACACGGCCCTGTCAAAGCAAGACCAGAAGCGGATAGATGAACCACCACTTTCACCCCATCCCCAAGTCAACCAACCAACGAGTGGGCGAATGTAGGCGAGTTCCCGGCAGGCCTTTTGGAAGACTTGGATGATGGAGGTGCACAAAAAGTCCAGGAGGCGGTACGGGGGTGCTGGGTCAAAGCACCTTTTCCGTGGAGTTGTTTACCTGAACTTTGGATTCATTCGAAGCCTGCCAATGAAAAGGGGCCCGCTCAAGATTGACCAGCTGTTGAGCCACCCTGATTAGCATGTTCCTTCTGCTTACCTCATAGTCAACATGTTGGATGGTCATGAATCGTTGAATAACAATTTAGGCAACTGCTATTGAAGGAAGCTTGACATGGGCCCACATAAAGCGTTTTCTCTATGATGGCCCATGTGCGGGCTGGGGGTTTGTCAAAAGTAGGAATATGTGTGGGACATTTGGAGCGTGCGCAGCCTGTTCAGGTGGTCCCCAAAAGTGTTCACCATGTTGTCGATTCCTCCTTGTTTATCGGCATCGTGCCCCTGTCAGTTGTGTGTGTGTGTTGACCGGTATTGTGCCCTTGGCGGTTGTGCGCATGTGCATTTGTCGTGTTTAAATCAAACGCAATCAACAAAGTTTGGCACAGTCTCCGAGCACCGCATTGGCCACGCAGACACCTGGCCTTTCTTGGCCCCATCCAAAGGTTCCCTTTGTGCTCTTGGTTTGAGAGGGGTTCCTTCACATCAGGGTGAAAGTAGGCACAATCCCCAGTAGATGTGAGTAAAGGGGATGTAACTTGCAACCAAAATGGGCAGGGACTGCACTCGCCACTTTGGCCCTGAGAATCCAGTAGAAAAAGTGGCCCTTCCATGCTTTCCCCCACAACCTTTCCAGACTTCACAGGCCGGGTTGAAGGGAGCCCCAGATTCGATCCACAGACTTTTCGCCCCTTTCAGTGGGTTCCCCACAACCCGAAAGGCGGTTGGCCCTTCTTCGAACTTGGGCTCACTGCACTTCATGTTTTTTTTTGGCTCTCCATTTTCGCCAACTACAGTTTCGGGCTTTGGTCAATCCACTCCATGGGTACGCTTTCCTACCAACTCCGGGTGGTTTCAACTGGGGCAGGCTTTCTGTTTCCACTGCTTGACCCTCCCGTGCTGCGCAGCTTTCGGTGAGTCAGCTGAAGCTTTCAGCCAAGATCATCTACTGAGTGAGCTGAACTTTTGTCCGGCAGAGCGCCGGAAGCAAATGCCATAATCTTTGACTCCAAGGTCGAGGACCCGTAGTCTGTTTAGGTCAGTTGCCTGGAAAAGCGTTGAAGGATTCCAATGGCTTGAGGTGCGACTAAGGATCCAATGCCATCTATTGTTCCAAACGACTCCTCGGTCAAGGAAGGTTTCACCAGAGTCCCACCTGGCCTGATGGAAAAAGCCATTGGGCTGCAGCGTGTATCAGTAAGCTCGAGAGCAGACCAGGTTTCAAAAGAAGCGCGAGCAAAAAAGCGACATACAAAATCACTCTTCTTGGCAAATTTTCAGGCAACCCCAAATTGGTGGTTTGGATTAGTGATTTGCATTTGGATTTGAAATTTTGGTGCTTGTAGAGGGCAAATAACAAACCAAATAATTAGGGGGCAGCTGAAGGTTTTCTCGGTTTTGTGATTTTGGTTCTGATAAACTAGGCATCAAGCAGGTGGCCAGTGCCATGTCCGTTTCGGCGAGCTGCATCCGGGAGCTCGATCACCTGTTGCGTTTTCTTTTTACGGGGGGGGATGCACTTCCTAATTATTTTTAGGGATTGACCCTGACCTTGGGGCAAACAGATCCTCTTGAGCAGCGGGCGCCGGCATTGCTTTCGGCTCCAGCCGAAGGCATTGCTTTCGGCTCCAGCCGAGATCCGTTGTGTGCGAAATGCATTTCCTGTTGGCCTCGGCCACGGCGGCCGCTGTAGCAGCTGTCCGCCAAGACTTCTCCAAGCATGCGAACCCGACTTGCGAGCCTCTGAGAGGGTGCGAGTGCTGGGAGAACAAGGCGGGAGCTGGCGGGTTTCCTGCCTGTTCAGGAACGAGTCGCAGCCAAAAAACACCTTTCATCTGGAATCGCGCTGCCTTTGCCTCACCCTTTCTGCGCTACTTGGTGTCCCTTCTGCCAACTCGGTTTTTTTTTTCACCTGAGGGCCTCCCCATGTCAAGAGAAACGTCGCAACAACCCCACCGACCTGGCGCCCCTCGCCTGGAGGAGGGCGGGGCTGGGAGGGTAAGCCATGGGCCAGGTTTGCAGCTCGTGCTCCTTGAGCTCCTGCGGCATTGAGGCCTGTGAGTCCAAAATGCTGCTGGTGTTCTTTGGATTTCCGTTCAAGAAGATCACTCAACCGGCTTTTTCCTTAAAATGGAAGCCAGTTCGTTGTCTGAGGAGGCTTCTTTGAGATGACAGCTGATTGCCAAACAGGAACCATGTTCTTTGGATCTTGTCTCAAGAAAAAAACATTTTTTGGCTTTTAAGAGAACAACGGCACCAACCTTGTCGGAGGGGTATGATTCAAGGCGGTTTTGTTGTTTCCCCTGCCTTTTGTTGGCTGGATGTGCGTTTCGCTTTTGGCTTTTGTTCCCCAAGAAACTGAGAGATCCAACCACCCCCCCCCCTCCCCTTTTCTGGGCCGTCCGTTTTTGGAGCGTGTGGCCCAGGGCGTAAAGGCGGCCTGGCCGCTGTCCGGGGGCACCAACCGCCTGGCGCCGCACCTGGCGGCGGCCTATGGGCTGCGGGATTCGAAGGGCCGGAAGTGGGCGCTGAAGTTGGGGGACCAGGAGGAGCGGAAGTGGGGAAGAGGGGGGAAGAGGGGGTGATCAGGGGGTGATCAGGGGTTGAGGGGGGTTGAAGGGGGGTTGAAGGGGGGTTGAAGGGTTGAGGGGGGGAGGGGCTTGGGGAGGGTGTTGGGGGGTGTGGGGTGTTGGGGGGTGTGGGGTGTTGGGGCCGTGCCTTCTGTAAGAGTGCCGCCTTTTCCAGATTGTGCGACACGAGAAGCCGGAAAAGCGTCCACCAAGCTGGTCCTCGCAATTGAGAAAAAGCCCCACATGCTTCCTAGAGTTCAACCCTCCTTAAAACAATGGTTGACCTATTTGGATGATAAGAATCCTCATGTAAACAATGGTGGCTGTATGAACCCTTGTTTTTGGATGATAAGAATCCTTATGTAAACCATAAAGAAGTGTATGAACCCCCCTTGTTGTAATGGTGGTGTGAACCCCAGGCTGCTTCCTGCGGGCCCTGCGCTTCGGCCGATCCGATCGATCCGATCCGAGATCCGCGATAGGATGGCGGCTACGACAGCTCCGTGGAAGCTTCGCAGCTCGCGCACCGCTTGGAGATCTATACCCCAAGGCCGGGTTTTGGAAACGCCCGGCAGCACTTGCCCGTGTGGGCAGAGGACCAAAGCACCAACTTTCCCTGCAGCTGCCAGGTTTGGCTGGAGTTTTGGGACCCCCTTGAGGTGGGTTCCCCCCCTCCTTTTGTTCTTTCCTTTCAGGTGGCCGCCGGTTTTTGTTTGGGTGGTGTCCACTTTTTTAATCTTGCTTTTTTTTGTGGTTTCCACTTTTCTAGGCGGCTTCCCCCCTTGTTGGCGGTGTCTTAGGGTTTTTCTTGGGCCACTTTCCCGGTAGGGTGCTGCAGATCACGGAGGCCTCCTGCCCCGGAGTCTTCAAGAGCCCTGCCCTGGAGGAGGCCGTCGAGGCCAGCGGTGAAACGGGTCTCCCTGGTTTTGACTCGCATTCCCCGGGATTCCCGTGCGTCCTTTACCAATCGGGAAGCTTAAGTCACATGGAAGAGCGTCAACCAAGCAAGTAGTTCCACTCCCCTGAAGGGGGCGCCCCTCTTGAAGGTGTGTGGTTTGGGTCTTACAATAAGTTCCATGAATGAAATTTGAAGTGGAAGCTGATTCAGGAGTTCCGGAAGAGTCGGCACACCGCGCTGCTGCAAGAACTCGTGGAGGACGAGCTGCCCTGCAGCACCAGCAGAAGCTTTTGGGTGCAGGCGCCAGCAGAATCAACTTGTGCGTGTCTCCGCTTTAGATTTGTTTGAAAGATGCTTTTGACGTCAATGACACGTTCGCGAGTGCCCCTTCGAGTTTCTGAATTTCTAGCGATGCCTCTTGCAAGATGAGCGAGAATACCTTTCTAGGGTCCGTATGCATCAACCGTGGAGGTTGTCAAAATTATCCTGACCCCTTCAGAATGAACTTCAGTTGGTTTGTTTCCTGTTGGTCTCCGCTTCAAAACCATCCACAAAAGGGGCCCTATTTTGAGAAACAGCCCTTGCTAAACTAGTTTGGTCAGCTTTTGGTGACTACTTTGCTAAATAGCAAGTTCATATTGTCCATACCAAGTCAAATGGGCGTGCGTTTGTTTAGGAATCGGACCCCCAAAATGGTGCGTTTCCTTCTGATTTCCCTTTAAAACCAACCAAAAGGGAGTACCAACTCAAAAAGAGACGCACCCAAATAATTTGTCGAACTTCTATTTGCCGCGGTTGGGGGATGGCTTGACCGGGTGGGGCCCGCTGTAGGCCGGCAACATCGCCATGTTCGACTGGCTCACAGGCGGATCTGACATCCAGTCGGGATGTTTCATTGGTGTCCTTCCCCCTTCGGTGCGTGTGGTTAGGCTTCGTTGAGTCGAGCGTGGCTGTGAGTCGATAGGAAAGCCCGCAACAAAGTGGCTGGGCAATGCCCACGCAGACGATCTCCTTTCAAGGGCCCCGGTATGTCCCGGTGAAGATTCGCACTTTCTATCAACGCCATCCAAAAAGCGGGCCCTTTCCTGGCAGAATTTCAGCGCAAGTGCCATGCAGATACCAAGGGAAGCCAAGTCACAAAGTGGACTTCGGGGGAGGCTCGTTTTTTTTTTTTGGGGGGGGGGACCCACAAAATCGCGCCGCGGTGGTCCTTTTGGTTTCCCTTTAAATCGGGGGTACCCTGCAAAAGACGGACGTCGTCCAAACGGAAGATCGCATTTTTTCGGGTATTTTGACACAGACCCCCTTTTTTGTCCCCACTATCGGCAGGCAGGAACGACCTCTTCAACGACTTGCTGAAGGACGGGGTGGCAGCCATGGCAGACAATCTGGAGACCAACCAGGACAGAACCATGGCAATGTGGAGGTCCTTGAGCCAAGTAATTAAAGGCTTTTAGAAGCAGTAGTGGCAGTATTTGGCTTGGCGTCGTTTTGCACATCGAGTCAGCGCGAATTAAACGGGTATGAGTCAATCAAAGTAGACCCCAAACATGATCTTCCCTTTTGGCTTCCCTTCAGACCAACCTGTAACCTGAAAAGGTACGAAACACATTGCAACATATATGGCCCCTTCGTCTTTCCTCATTTGAACCATTTCACATGTTGGGACTATAAGCCTCATAAGTGTTTCACCCTCCTTTCTTATTTGACACATCACGTGTTGGGCTCACCTAAAATTGTTCTCCCCCCCCCTCCATGTTTTTGGGGGGTCCAATGAAGGGGTGCCTCTGGCGGAGGACAACGTGGTGGAGACGCCGAGTCACCTGGCGGAGATCGATCTGGGCTTCGGCACCCCCTGCTGCCTGCAGGACTTCCAGCGACTCAGCCCGGAGCCCGCCGGAGCTCGGGAGGTCTTGGATTCGTTGCCTGTTGGGCGGTGGGCCCGCCAGAAAGGTGTTTGTCCTCTGGGTTTCCCGTGAAAGCCACCTCCAAAAAAAGGGTCCCCACAAATGAGGCATTTTGTTGGGTCGATTGTTGTTTGGGGGGGGGAATCCCTTTTGGTTGGCTTGTTGGAGGTCCCCGAATTTATGAGACATCTCTTTTGTTGAGTTGTTCCCCTCCTTTTTGTAGGTTTCAAAGGGAAGCCAAAAGGAAACTCGGTTGCTTCGGGGGTCCAAAAAACAGACACCCCGTTGGGTGTTTCTCGGAACGGCTATGAACTCCGAGAGTTCGAGCCATGGATCCAAAAGCGGTTGGACATGACGATTTGCATACTCAAACGGGGCTCCTTAAAAGATCTCCATGTTGCAACCATTTGAAACAATGTTGCTTTTTCAACAGAAAGGGAAACAACACCATTTACAAGTTGCAATGTTCAGGTGTATAATGTAAGGATCCTTGCCAAACAGGGGTCTCCAGATGTGTTGGTTTCTCTTGGGGTTTCCCTGCCATGGTCCTTGGTCCTTGTTTACCTCTGGTTTGCGTCAAAAATTGGCCAAGCTCTAAACCTCGAAGTATCACGTTTCAAAAAGATGCGATTCGCGAAGATTGGCGTCAACCCACGTTACGAGGCACAACGCAATGCTTGATTCAAGCGCATCGCAAGGGTGTTCTGCTCCCAAGCCAACCAATTCAATCCAGCTCAAGCCCACGGTTGCCTTTTGTTTGGTTCTGTTTTGTGGCTTAGAGAAGCCCAAGGGAAACCACCCTGAGGGTACCCTCAAAGCATGCGCTGTCCTTTGAGGGGTTTCCCTCGGCCAAAATACGAAATAGGTTTGTTTGGGCGCTGGGATCTGGTCAGCAATTCGGGTAATCCTTCTACTTTGAGTTTGGGGATTTTGTTTTTTCAGGCTCACTGGAACCCCCCTTCACCCGAACCACCGGGCTCCAAACCGCCAGTTCCAGGGAAGCTTTTCAACAAATCGGAGTTCGCCCACCGCGTCTTCGGACCGGCGATCGATCGAGCGAGCCTCATTTCGCTGAGGCAGATCTTGCGGGAGCTCCAAGAGGGCCGAGGTCACGTGGCCTGGGTGCAGAGCAACGTGCTGGTGCTCCTCTGCGAAGGCCGCTCGAAGCTTCGACCACTTAAACCCGCCGGCGGTTTCGGTTGCAAAAACCCCGGGGGGGGGGGAGGGGGGCTGGAGGGCTGGAGGCTGGGGCGCTGGCGGTTTCTGTTGAAAAACCACTTGGGGTCGGCTGATTTTGATGGCCAAAAACACATGAGACCAGTTTAAGATGGCAGCTAAAATGAGGAGTAAGCCTACTCAAGAGAGTCTTGTAAAGGGGGTTGACTGGGGGGTAGCTGGGGGGTTGAACATGAATTTCCTGAATCCATATGCGGAGGAGGGATTTTCCATTTTGAACAACCCAGGGGGTGTTGATGTAAGGGCAATCCCTGATGTTTTTCTCTATCCTGGCAATCAGGAAGTGCAACCCCGCCACCAAACGGGCTGTCGGACTCCTTCCAAGAACCCATCATCATGAAGGTCCCACAGCAGCGATTCCTTAATTCAGTGGGTGCCACGGGTGAATCCTGGGGCCCCGTCCTTCAACACCCTCCCGTCCGCTTCTAATTGGCATGGCTGAAAAAGACTTCGGTTTTGGGACCCAGTCGTTGGAATGTCGATGTGTGTATGTCTCTTTTTTTCAGGAGTTTCAGGGGTGCCTGGAAAGGCTTGAAGTTGAAACCAGGGGAAATTGAGGTCCCCGGCAAAAAAAATCTGGCCTCAACGGGCTTTGAGCGGCGAAGGTTGGGCAAGGTTGGTTCAAGCCGCCCAGCTCCACAAACCACTTCCTATAGGCAAAGCCTATGACCCGGTGCTAATTCAAAGAACCCCTCCACCGGTTGATTTGCCTCAGGCAATTTATTTGAGCTCTTGATGTGCTCTTGTGACACGTAGCCATTTGTTGCCTTTGCCCAGCGCTGAAGATCACGCCGAAAAAATGGTAGACCTCCCAAAGCTCGACATGGTCGGCATGAATCTGCAGAGTTCGCGTGCTGTACTTTGCCAAAACCACAAGCAGACCATCCCCTTGTCAGCCGCCGAGCTGTTGATGCCTCTGTCAGGACTTGCCAGTGTGAGCGCAGAACCCTGCACAACCTATGATGGGCAGCTGCTGGCAGAGGATAAAAGTTGTTTCCACTTGACAAACTCAATAAAGCCCTTGCTAAGCCTTGATATCCCGGACAACTCGAGGATCATCTAAGGATACAGGACTTCGGAGTAGAGGGATTGAGCGCAACAGGCACCGCTATCTTCGGATACCAAAGGACCCACAGGAGCTCGCTGCATCTGCCTGCACTCAAGTCGCTTCCTGAGCCCTGCACTTTCTGGTGATGCTGCGCAACATTTGGTAAATATCCTTCCTATGCGTGACTTCTTTCTTTGATTGCTGCTGCTGAGATGGTTGTGTTGGTGTTTCTGGTCTGCTGACTGATTGCACTGCGTTTCTGAACCCGCAACGACACGCCATTGGGCGCCTGCTGATCCACGCTGGCTCCGCGCTTCGCCGGTTTCGTCGCAGGCAAACATGGCGGCCTGGGCTCTGGCAGCTGCGCGTCGCACTTTGGGCAGTACAACGCGCGGCTTGTCTCCGTGATGGCACTCCGCGGGGGGGGGGGGGCCTAGGGTGTGTCCTGGGGCACTCCCTTTCAAGGCTGGTTTACTGGAAAGCCACCCATTTCGTTCATCGTGTTTTTGGATTTTGAGGGTGTCGCATTTAGAGGCAAACCTACTGTGTGTCCCAATTTACTTCAAAATCAGGGAATTCGGGGGGGAAGGAAAGATACCTCCGAACAAGTCCGGGAAATTGAGGTGTCGGTAAGGAGGTTTATGCTTTAGATCAGCAGTTGTGCGGGTTGTTTGGCACCCTCCCAGGATGGAACCTAGGTCCTACTGTGTCTACTGTGGATGGACAAAGTCCAAATTTTATCGGCAGTGGATGAATCCCGATCTGACTGGAATGAAGAAACACTTTCGCATTTGCCCGTGGATTTGGTCCATCCCGACCTTGTCAGATATTGTTCTTGCTGATTCTCAGCAGGGAATGAGTTGGAATGAACCCCACAAACCATCCATCCCATGGTTCCCATGGTTCCTTTAAGGTACTCCTATGGTTTCCTTTAAGGTAATCCTATGGCTTCCTTTAAGCGGATATGGTTTTGCGTTAAGCGGATATGGCTTCCTAGGACATCCCCCTTCCGGTTCATTCCACCCGACTCGCCCGACTCACAACCTGCCAACCAGGCATGCGTTGAGGCCCAAGGCCTGGGATGGGCGGCTCTCCAGGACACAGGCGCGCCCAGCACCGACCCCCCCTGGCAGAAGGGCTCCCGAGTGATTTCAATCCCAAGTTTTGGCGGTGATAGAAACAGCAAGAAATGGTGAGTTAGTCTTGGTAAAGGGGATGTTTTGGGGGAATGACTCGGGAGCCCTGTGTCTCCCAACCCCCCCCCGAAAGTTTCCTCCAAATTTGCCGGAGGGTGGTGTCTTTTTGTGGTACCCTCCGGACAGAAAGTCGTGTGGTCCGGATTGCAGCAAGTCGGAGTCGGGGTAATCACTCCCAATCTTTTAACGACAAGCCCTTCTGCACACCCCTGGCCCAGATCGACCTGGGAATGGCGCAGACGGCCTGGCAAGCGCTGCAACTCCAAGGCGAGGTCCTGGCAGCCCAAGGGTTTGCAGATCGTTCCTTTGTGGTACTGGATGTGTTTTGTGCAGCCCTGAAGCAAATGGAGGTCCGCAAAAAGGCGACGATTCGAGGACCATTGTTGGTTGGTTGGTTGGTAAATGTGAGAATAGATTGACTGTACCTGGTTCAGTTTGGCGTTCTTGAGTTACCAGGGCCATCCAATTGCACCCAGGGTGGACCCTCCGCAAGGGATTGCAAATCCTTTTGCCGGCTGTAAACTCTCTGAAGGGGGATTAAGAATGATGAGAGGAATTCACGAAAGATTGACCGTGGAGAGAAATCCGGTGTCAATGGTTCATGTTTCTGAAGCAAATGGATGTTCCATCGCTGATGTATTCGACGGGGGTTCATCACTCCAAAGTGGAGGTTAGGACACTTTTTGAACGTGCTCCAATTGCAAAGTCTCCAAATAATGTTGTTTGCAGAAGATGAGAAGCGCTTTGGCTGAGCATGGGCCCTTCAGCTTTCAACTTGCTTGAGCCGAACTTGATCAGCTGAGGGTACGACGTGGTGCCAGAAACGAATTGACCCTAAGGCCAAGTGCAGGGACCAGAACGTGAGCCAAAACCAAAAGCTTGATAACAGTACCTCAGAGCACATTCCCAAGTAGCAAGAACCGGCTGCCTTTGTAACTCCTTACATGCGGTTGGGCAGTGTCCCCCCATCGGTTTTGCAGGTTTGTGGGTATCGACTTTGAGCAGGTTTCTGGCAGTGTCAGTTACAGTGGGTTGTTCAGAGAGCCTTAAATCTCCCCCCCCCCCAACTAAAAGCGGGCAAGTCTACCTCGGGGAACTTTTGAATTCGTCTGAAAAAATGGTAATACACAGGTGTCCTTTTTCATCAGGTCGAAAATTGCTGGCCGGGTTTTGGATTGGTTCTAAGATTGAAATCGTTTCTCCATGCCGCTGTGTCTTTCCGAAAGGACACCCAATGAATCCACTCCCTCCGGCCTCCATGCGAGGAAATCCCCGCGTCGAATGGCTGGATGGTGTTAGCTCGCCTCCGTTGTGCCTCCTAAAACGGGCCACGTTTTTGCATGCGGGTTGCAGTTGGTGTCATCTATTGTCTCCCATTTTGCTGGGGTTTAGAAATATCACCTTGCAAGCCTCTCATGTTTTAAAGGCAAGAGAAAGGGAGGTTTCGCATGAGGCAGTGACGGATGGCCGTTCCCGAATAGCACCATGGACATGCTGAAGCGCTGGGGGCGAAGGACGGCCCAAGATGTCGCGGAAAGGCTGCAGAAGCAGGACAGGGCCGAGCTTGTGCCATGGGGAGATTCTCAACATCTCACTTCACGAGATCCTGGACTCTAAACTTGTTGGGAATTCTCACTTCCTGAGTTCCTGGACTTTTAAGCTTTTTGGGCTTGGACCAGTTTGGTGGCGAATAAACAAGTTCAGACTTTGTGTGGCCAATCCACTCAGGAAGTGAGTCAAATGTGGTTCAGACTCCTACTTTGAGACCATGGCCAACTATGGTTTCGCAGTACGACAAGATATACCTAGACGCCTAACAGTGTCAAAGGAATACATGCACTCTTCTTTTAGAAATGATTCATCGAGCTTGCTTTGACCCTGTTCAACTTCGAGTTGCTTTTCCAATCGCTTTATGGAAACGGAGGTGCTCAGCCTTGGGGCCCTTTTTGAGGCACCAATTCATCCCCCCCTTGCACCGCTAAGAAGCCAGCGACACTGAGTCACGGCGCCTTCAAAGAGGTCCGAGTCTTTGACATCCAAGTGGAGCTTGCCTTTCGGCCAGACGGGTTATAAGCTCCGGTTGCCCTTGCCTTTCAGGGGAGCGCTGAGGTCAAGGTGCATCGAATGCTGGGGAGTGAAATGGATTTAGTTGAAGGTTGAAGGAGTTTCCCATGTGCACATGGAGCCAAGCCTGGGAAACCAAGACGAAACCAACCAAAGACGTGGCACTCCTTGCTTGTGTTGCTTCCCCATCTCGTTTTTTGGATTGCCCTGGCCTCAACTGTTCGCGGTTGCACAACCCCGGCTCCCGACCCTTGGTTTTCCCAGTGCCAAACTACTTCTGGCCCCGGATGATGATCTTGAGGGCTATGCAAAAAGGTAACCCTGAATGCTTCCCTGCCTGGTGCTACAAAAAGGACTTGTTCACATGTTGTAGTTATCTCCCAAAGCGTATTTTGGAAAGTCGAAAAATCGAAACGCCCTGCATCACAGCATGGTCAACATGTTTTGGGATTGGTAGGCATACTTCACATCCTGAGTTCCTGGACCTCATGTTTGTGTTGGGGGCTTGGACCATTTTAGCGATAAACTTCAATCCAACGGTTTAAACCTTGTTTGGCCAATCCACTCAGGCGGTGAGAAAGTCATGGATTTCTTGCGGATTATGGGCAGCTATAAGGATTCATCACGGCACCATAGACAAGGCCAACATGTTTGTGGAGTTTTGAGCGTGCCTGTTTTGGGCTCAGTTTATGGCCCGTTGGCTTCAGAGTAGTTATTATTATTATTTTCCCCTGATGGGTTTAAAGGACAACTCTCACTATACTGGGGAGAAGTTTGTTTGAATATATTATGTTTGTTCCAGGGGACTTAAGCAAATGGATGCAAAAGATGTTATGAGTGGGACTCTTAGGTTGTTTGCCCGGAAATGGCAGCAAAAGGAAACCGGTCCCCCATGTTGAGAGAAGCCCATACCTATTTGCGGTGATAAAAAATCAACCCGATTGCCTGGTAATATGTCCATCTCATCCACTTTCAGCATCACGGCAAATGAGGAGCCCCTTCAAAAAGCGGAGAGAAGCTAGCGCAATACCCACTGGGCGAGTTGAATTTCCGATTTGACCACTTCCCCTTTGGAAGATGGAACCCTTCACCACGAGGAGAAAAAAAACCGCTCGCGTGGGTTTGTTTTCAGAGAGGAGGCATCGATCCTCGCGGAGCTGCGGGCAGAGAAGCAGCAGTGCTGCCAGCTGCACTGCGAGTACCAGGGACCCTTTGAGCTCAGAAGGGGAGAGGGCGGGGACAGGGAGGGCAGAGTTTCGTGCTCCGTATGTCTTAACATGTTCCTTGGGAATGCGTGCGGCTGTGTCAAAACCAGGGTAGAGTTTCGTGTTCGTCCCGCAACCCACTGTCCAAGGGGCCACCATCTAGATTTGACACATGTCTATTTCCCCTGTGTGTCTTCTTCGTCTCAGGTTTCGTGGAGAAATTCCTTGTCAGGTGTCGCTTTCCTTCGCCACCTTTTGGCTTCGTTCCCACAACATCCACGGAGTCCAAGTAGTATTGACATGGTTGCGGCAGGTTACCCATTGTTGGGTGGTGTTTAAGGGATGCCAAGAGGAAAGCACAGAATGCAGATCCCCTGTTTTAAGAGACGCCCACGTCCTGGAAAGGGCCGTCCAAAGATTGTGAATCGATGTTTTGGTTGCTTGCTGCTAGGTGTGTTGCTTCTGGGTGGTGTCCTTAGGTCGGCAAGATCGGTGGGAATGTCGCCTTTGCACATTCTTGGCAACTGGGTCCAGGAGTTTGTTCAAAGCCAGAGCTCCGGGTGGATTATTCCACTCATACCTACTTGAGTAACTGTAGCCTGTAAAAAATCAAAAAACATGGGCCCTGGATCACTTTGAACAATGAGATCCGATGCAAAAACTCTTCGGCCGAGTGGAGCTCAGAAAAAAGTTGGCCAGCAGCTCCAAAGTCGGGGTCTGTGATGCGATCCCGCGAGTCGGTGTGCCCATCTTTCTCGTTGTCTCGTTGCTTTCCTTTCAGGATCCATCCACAGAACAGGAAGGCTGTTTGTTTGCTGTGGCACGAGCAAGCTCGAAAACATCCAAAGCAGGTTGTCCCTTCCCACTTCGAGACCAACTGCTCGGACCATTCATCCAAGGAAGATTTTGGAGGTGGAAGGATTGCACCACAGCTGCACCTGGACCTACTTCTGCTCAGCTCGGCGAAGAAAAAAAAACTGAGGTGGCACAAAACCCTGGAGGACCATTAAGGCAGGGGAAAAGTGCAACATCCAGCTCAATGAGTCTTGGTGGCATTGTTATGGCAGAACCCACGGCAAGGTGTCATGCTTGTGCTTGTTTGGCTTGTTTGTTTGTTTGTTGTGTGTGTGTGTGTTTTTTGTTTGTTTGGTTGGTTGGTTGGTTGATTGGTTGGCTGCGTTGGCTGCGTTGGCTGCGTTGGCTGGCTGGCTGGCTTGTTGGTTGGTTGGTTGGTTGGTTGGTTGGTTGGTTGGTTGGTTGGTTGGTTGGTTGGTTGGATTGTATCTTTGTTTCTTGTTTTGTGTGTCGTTGCGTGTTTGCTTGCTCGCTCGCTCGCTTGCTTGACTGTGTGCCTGTTTGCAAGTTTGCTTGCTTGCTTGCTTGTTTGTTTGTTCGTTTGTTTGTTTGGTTGTTAGTTTGTCAGTTTGCTAGTTTGCTTGTTTGTTTGTTTGTTTGTTTGAGGTTTGTCAGTTTGTTTGAGGTTTGTCAGTTTGTTTGAGGTTTGTCAGTTTGCTAGTTTGCTAGTTTGTTAGTTTGTTAGTTTGTTAGTTTGTTAGTTTGTTAGTTTGTGTTTTTGTTTGTTTGTTTGTTTTTTTGTTTGTTTGCTTGTTTGTTTGTTTGTATTTTTTTTGTGTGTGTGTTTGTTGTGATGTGTCTAGTTGTTGTGTTGTGTGTGGCTTGTTGGTTTGTTGTGGTGTTTAGTGTTGTTGTGTGCGTAGTTTGTTGTGCTTTGATTATCTTGCCTGGTTGTTTGTTTGGCTTTGGGGCTTTGGTTTTGGTGTTCGCTTGGAGTTGTGTTCTTGTTTCGATTTTGTTTGTTTGTCTGTTTTGTTTGTGTGTTGGTTCATTATTTAGTTTGTTCGTTTGTTTGTGTGTTATTTTGATTGTGTTTGGGCTTGTACGTGTGTGTGCGTGTGTGTGTGTGTGTGTGGGTGTGTTGCATCTTTTGTGTTGTGCCTGAGGGCGATGCAGGCAGACCTGAATGAATGTGGACTCAGGCAAGATCCTCAATGCTGCAGTGCTCTCCAATCTGCAAACCTGGCAAAGAGGTGCGTGCCAAGGTGGTTGTGACAGAGGGCGCGTGCTCAAACTGAGGGAGAAAAGCACTGGGTATTTCCCCAACTGGTGGGTGTGTCTTAAGATTGTGGACCCGCAAAATTGTGGTTTCCCTTTAGTTGCCCTTTAGACGCTACACCCAAGCTTTCTTTCCCTTACAAAAAGTGCCTGAAAAAGACACCCACCAGTGAAGCCTTCTCTCGGATGGCGGTTTACAGTCAAGGAAACCAACCCGCAGTCCGCAGCTTTCGAGCGGGCAAGAGTTCTGTATCAAGGCTGTTAGCTCCGGAGCGCTTCAGCCCGGGGGTGGTTCCAACCGAAAACCTTATGCGGGGACCTCGGCGTTGACCATTTGCGGCTGTTTCTGTGGTACTTATTCTGATTCACATTGGACCGCCGTCATGTTTACAAGAATCTTCTTTTGGGCACCCCCTTTTCGGGTTCCATTTGAATGTAGAAGCATCTCGCATGGAGTTTAGCAGACCTCGCCTGGGCTCTTCAGCAATGACTGCTTTGGAGAAGACATTTCACCCAGAGACAGACTAAAAAGTGGATCGGATTGGAGCGAGCGGAAATTCCACAGGAAGTTAGCCCAAACCCCTGGTTTTGGAGGGTACTTCCAACTTCCAGTGCAAGTTCCTGTAGCTGGTTCCTGTGATCCTTGCAGAAGTGTACTTGAGCGTGGCGCTTGGCACTTGTGAATTGACAGACTCCTCGCCGTGGCTCAGTAATTCATGTCATATTTTCTATGACAATTTCCCCAAAAAGTCTCAGAGCAAGCACGGCAGAAGACAGAGAAAAACACACCAAGAAGGGAAACTCGCTGCAGACAACCCCCCTTCAACTCCTTCGGATTCGATCCGTGACCTTTCCCTTCCCCACCACCAGGCGTTTCGAACCATCCGCGGGGTCTCTCGGGTCTCCATGGGATCGCGATGAACGAGCGGCTGCCGCTGCTGTACCGCTCTGAGAGCAACTCCAATGGGCCGCCGAATGGGCCCTCCACGTTGTACGCGGCTTGACCGTGTCAAATTACTTGAAACAGACGGGGTATGGCGCGTTTCAAATTGAGCCTCCAAAAACCTCCTGAAGCAATATTTATTCTTCAGAGCGCTCCGAACAAAGCCTTGCAAAAGCTGAGGCGCGCCGGGCTTGCCTTGCGCCCACAAAAAGCTTGCCGCGTTTGGGCGAATGTTTGCAGCCTATGTGTAGATGGCCAACCCGCCGCGAAAGCTCCGGGAAAGTGATCAATAGAAAGACGCGCTCGAAAGTGAGACGCGCCGCGTTGCTTCACCGCGAAAGCTTCCGCGAAAGATGTTTGGCGGCAGAGGGGTTGTTTGCAGGTTTTGGGCGCCATTCAATTGGGACCTATTGTGAAACCGCCGATTTTATGGGGCGCTGGGCTTTTTTAGGTTTCAAGTTTGCAAAATGGACCAATACCAACAAGCCGTTGCAGAATCAATTCTCCCGCACGTGCCCTTTAACCCAAAAGAAGAACGTGTTAGTTTTTTGTTGGGGGGGATGAGGTGTTTTTGTTTCTCTTATAGGGCTGGCTTGTTTTTTCTTACGTCTGGTTCCTTGTTTGGATGGCTGGTGGTTGGGTGCACCTCTACCCCGACAGGGAATTATTAAACTAATACCTTTGTTTTCATGGTGACTCAGTTTAGTTCAATGGTCACCCCAACTCCCTGGGTGGGAATTTTCGGTTGAACCCCTGCATCCTTTCCTTAACGGAAATTCCAAAATCCAAGCAGAACCCCAAACGTTGAATCCGAACCAACAGCGATTCCGTTTTGGACATTCCCCTCCCAAACCCACAGGTCCCTGACGTGTTCCAAACGAAGCCAAGGAGATCAAGAGCCACGGCACCTCCAAGCGGACCCTGGAGAAGGGCTTTGACGCCCGCCACAACTTCGTGCACTTCGCGCCCAGTGGCCTGAAGAATCATGGCCTGACCAAAGTCTTGAACTGTTCCGTTTGGAGCCCCCAAACACACCTCCAAACATATTATATTTTTGTCTTTCCAGGGAGGTTGTTTTTTTGTTGCCTTGTTTTTTGGCGGGGTGGGGGGCGAGATTTTGGGAGGATGCCCGCTTCAGGGCGGTGTGAAACTCGCCGACTTGGTGATTTGCCTGTTTCTGGCTTTGTGGTGTCGCCCTCATGTTGTCCTTTTGGGTTCCCTTCATTTGTTCCTTTCATCCTCAAGTCACCTGGTTTCCTCAAAAACAAAACGGCGACTCTCCTAAACTTCATTTCCCTAAGCCCTCCACCCCTGAGCACCTCTCGGCGTGTTTTTCCTCTCATTCGTTGCCACCCAACCGAACCGCGGAACGGATCGGAGCACCGGCGAGGAATGTGGTGCCGCTACAGGAGCTCATGGAGCGGCCCGGGGCGCCTTGGGCTGAGCTGAAAAAGTCGGGGGTCTGCCCGGTGGATTCCGCCCGGTTTTCCTTCTTTTTTTTGGGGGTAAGGGTTGGGCATTCCGCCCGGTTTTCCTCTTTTTTGTTGGGATAAGGGTGCCCCATTTAAAGTCAACCCACAAAAAAATCCGCCCGGTTTTCCTTCCTTTTATTTTGGGGGTAAGGGTGCCCCTTTTAAAGTCAATCCAGAAAAAAAGGGTGCTCTTTTTTTCCCCATGGCCCCTGGGCATCTGAGGAATGGACCGCTGGTTTTGGTGGGATTCCCTACATGTAGCAAAACATGTTTTTTCCCCTTTGGGTGTGGCTCGGTTGTGTACAGGCTCGGTACTCTTGTCACCTTGGCCGAAAGGGAAACCAAAAGTGAAAAGGAACACCCTTTGCAGGGCCCCCGTGTTGATACATACTCTTTGGAACTTGGGGGAGGAGGTCCAAAAAGCTAAAGTGTATTCATCCCCTTCGGCTGGATGTATTTCTCAAGGGAACCTGTAGCCCAAATGAAACTTTAAACGAGAAGCTGACCTCAGTCCTTTTGGTGTCCCTTCATCGAAGACCTTCCAAAAGGGGGGTCCAACTCGATTTTCCCATGTTTCCCAACACCTTTGCCCTAAAGCCCCAAAGCGAGCTTCCTTTTAGAGAGAACCCTGGGTGCCCTCAATCCTAAACATGAGAGCCATGAACCCCCAAAGGCCTCAAATAATGAGGTCTTAGGCTCCTAGGGAGAGAATTTCAACTTTGTGGTATGTGTGTGTGTGAAGGATGCGCGTTTTGCTCCGCGGCCTGTTCTCGTTTCGTTCTCGTTTCGTATCGTTTTGTTCTCTCTGGCAGGTCCGGAACTTCCTCTACCGGTCCAAGTGGTATCAGAAGCCTTCGGTGGTACACCTGCGAAGCTTCATGCGGGGAACCGCCATCTCCATCTGGTCGTCTCTCAGCTGAGGAGATATGTTTTTTGACTGGGACCCCCAAGAATGGACTGAAGTCCCCCTCTTCTGAATTTTGGGGGGGAGGGGAGTATTATTAGGGACCCCCAAAAAATGGACTGTTGTCTTCCTCTTGTTTGGTGGGACTTCGGGTTTTTGTCCACTCCACCGCATCAAAAGCAAGCGATGGCCGAGGTTCATCAGCCTGCTGATCGCGCTCTTCTGCGGGGATCTCTTCGCCCTGCTGAGCGCCCGTCGCTCAGTCAGGTCACGTACCAAAATGGCCGCGGAGGTTTTTGGGGCTCAACAGCCCCCTTGTCGGTGGTTGAAAGGGGAACCAAAAGGACTCCAAGCAGTTTGGGTCTTTAATTCGAAGTTGGAGATCCAGATGAGTGGTTTTTGTTTAAGTAGAGGTCCGCAGGGCTGCCCAGAAAGCTGTCTGTATCGGCCAGTTTGTTTGAGCCCGTTCCAACTGGTATGTGACGGTATGTGTCAAATGGAGGGACTTCCGAAATGGCGGTGTTCCTTTTTGGGGCGTCCATTTAAACTGACGTGAAAAGGGTACCTTAATATTCAAAACAGACACCCATTTCTGGGTTGAAGGATCCCACAGTGCAGCTTAACAGGAAGTGTTTGTCTTTACCCGAGCCGCGGGTCGATCTATTTCTCCGGAGGTTCCTTCCTTCTATATTGATTTTGGTCGTGAGTTTTCTGCTGCGCCTTTGCAGTGCAATTCAGAGCCAACTCGCACAGAATGCCATTGCAGCCTTCTGGTGGCTTCTTTGGGCCCTGAGTGTTGAGAGGCAACCGCCTCAAAAGCAAATTTGTTGGACATGAACTGCCTAAATCTGATGTCCGCAAAATTTGGACCCATTAAAGATTCAACCCTTGCAACACATTCTCTGACGCAGACTTGGATTCTGACGCCAGGTGCCTGGCAACACCCTCTGCGACGCCATTTTGACGGCGGCCTTCGTCTTCTTCGTGCTGGAGTTCCTGGGGAACGCCCTTTCGGATAGGCAGCTTCGGCCGCAGCCATGTGAAGGGGAGGAGGTGTTTCTTTGAGGCGAAGCCTTGGAGTTGAAGGGCAGAGCAACGGAACATCCATTTGCTTGGTTCCGAGTCCGTGGCCTTTTGTGTGAACCCGGATTTGCGGATTCCAAAGGAAACTACAGAACGATGGCGACGGCGCGGCCTGGCCAGACCTGCTAGTTGATTCTCCTAAAACGAAACGAAGAGGGGCATGGGGTTTTGCTTGCTGGATCTCAGTAGGGAATGAGGGAATGTCGGAAGGACCCCGAGAAAAAACCATCCCCTATGGTTTCGTTTAAGGGAATCCCTAGGTCCATTCCCACAGCCTGGGTCATTCCAAGTTAGTTTGCAAGTTATTTCCCCCCAAAGCCTCTATTTAGCAGCTGGCTGATGCTGGTGGCCCTTGATCTAAGTCACTGGTCCAGTGCTTGCCGTATTGTTTGAACAACTCCCTTCAGAGGGATGGTAAAACAATCGTGGATGAAGCTGGCCCCATTTTTGGGGCCACTGTCAAGGTCAAGTGGAAGGTTAAACGGAAACCACCCGTTCCCTGCCCAACACCCCCCCCGTTTTGAGATGAAGCAGAGGTCTCAAATTCGGCCCCTTCCCAAGGCCCGAAGCTCGAAGCCGGCCGGGCTTGGGTCGGTGCAGTGAAGAGTTGCAGGCTGTTGGTGAACGGCGTTGCATGGTTCAACCGGAGGAAGCTTGATCGTACTCACTCACTTCTCCAAGATTATCCAAGGTGGCAACGCTGGTGTTGCTTTTTTGCGGGATTCGGAACTTAACAAATCCACCTCTCCCCAAAAACCGGACCTTGGGACGATTGCGCCATCAAATCGCTGCGCCGAGGACCTATCCCTTGAGCTTCTTCTTCTACATGGACCTGATCGGGACCTTCTCGCCCTCCCAGCTCAACTTACGAGAGGTCTGTGAGACCTCAGTCCACGTGTAGACCATACGGGTGCTTTGTCTTTTTGTTGAGGCCGGCACCCCCTTGTTGTTGGTAGGTTGCAAAGGGAACCATGAAATACTACACAGCCACTAGGGTGTGTATACACCTAATTTTGCCTCGGTGAATGGTTTGGAGGTTGAAACCCTCTTTGGACTTCACAAGTTTGTGTGACCCTACGTGGGTTCTAGCAAATTTGGTTCCTTTCGGATGCTTCACACACAAGACTGCCCTGTGGTGCATCAAACGGTCCTTTACATGGGGTCACCATTAGGGAAACCGCCGCAAAAGATAACTTTCGCCACACTGGAAAAGTTACCCGAGGTCGGTTGGGGGCCGAATGGAATGTGCCAGGATGGTCTTTGACATCTCCTACATGTGCGGCCCAGATGCCACGGCGCTGGAGAGGCGCGCGAGCAAAAAGGGACCCGGCGGTCAGTCGACTGCCAACCAACCAATTTCTTCAGAAAGGAGAATGCGATTGTTGTTTCTGAAGGTTTTGTTCCTTGTTGAAGGTACCCTTTTGTGGGGGTTAAAAGGGAAGCCTTCTTTGTTCTTGTTGATGTCTGTCAGGCGTTGGGCCCCGTCGGAAAAGCACCGGTCATGTCAGTATTTGCCAAGCGTTTTGCTTCAGGCTACAATCCTCTGGGGGCGGCGGTGGTGGCGCTTCTGGGATGGCAAAATGGAGCTTTTTGCATGAGGGTTCATACTTCAACCCAGCCCCCCCCCCCGGTGAGTGGCACAACATAGAGTCAAGAGACTCAAATGCACAAACCTGTCTCTTGGAAGACTACTTTTGGAAAGAGCGTCTGTGCACTGCCATGTTTTCGGAAGGGAAGGCAAGGCAATTGGGTGCGTTTTTCTTTGAGGGTACCCTTGTTTGGTGCTTTGCCATGCAAACCCCAAGGACAACTACCCATTTTGGCGGGGAGGTCCTTCAAACGCGACACACCCAGAACTTAAGCTCCCAAAACAAGGCACATCTTGGTTTTAAGACCCTCCCAAATGCAAAGGTGGGAACTCTCGCCGCTTTCGAGCCGTCAACGAGGTGATCGTCATGCGCGCGGCTCGTGCTGCGCGGATTGGAGCAAGAGCAGGTCGGCTAAGCCGCGCGTGGGACCCAGACTCAAATGGGCGGCTCGTCTTTTGTTTTCTTATTTATTTATTTTTTGGGGGGCCCTACGATAGCTTCGGTGTTCCTTTTGGTTTCCCTTTGAAGCCCCTCAAAGATTTGGTACCCTCAAACGACAGACCCATGTGGGTGTTTCTTCTCTCCAAAAGACAAAATGAGTAGATTCTGGTTGTTGTTTCCTTCAACAGCAGCCAACATTTCTCCAACCGTAACCCTCTCCCCGCAAAACAAAAGAGGGGTCCCCCAGCAAAACAAACAAGATCCACCAGTGCGAATATATGAATGCTATCCGACACGGATGCTAGCACGTTCGTTTACAAGTCCTGAGGCCTGAGTCAGGTAGCTGCAGGTTGAGTGAAGGCAATCCAGTCAATGGGTTGCTCTAGCACGTGCACGTTGTAGGGCATGCAAGAAATATGTCCAATTTCAAGGTGCGCCGACATGCACGTTCGCACTTCTTTGGTAATGCCCGTTTACAGATGGAGTTGTTACCCTATCCTGTGCTAGCGTTCCAATGCAGATGAGCCTTGGACCTCTGCGGAAGCCGTTGTTCTCTGAATGTGACTGCGTTACATTCTGCTCTGTCGCTGGGACGTTTGGGATGAGTGCGCATAAACTTTCGCTTGGCGTGTTGCTCGAAAGAAGCAATTCAGAAAAGTCCCCTTCTCGACGACAAAAAAACAATGGCATAGACGAGCTCTTAGCGGGAAGTTGCGATGAAAAATCAATGCTCAATCCTTATGTCACGTGGTAGTGGTTTCCCTTATTGCATTTCTGGCGCACCGCATATTACAAATTAGGAATCCCAGACCCCATGGTCTCTACTGGACCCGTGCCAAGGCCATTTCAGTCAACTCTGCTGCAACTTCCGTAAATATAAACCCGTGATTAATGTCCCCTCCGAGTGATTAATCAGGGGTTCCGCCTGGAAGAAAGGAATCCCCACTAAAAAGGGACCTGTCTGATTGACAACTAGGCGGGGTCTTTCTCACGGGTCGGCAATATGGTTCACTTCAAGCCAGCTTGCTCTGCGTTAGTCCCATTCTCGCACCATTTTGGGGATCCCCTAAAAAGAGACACACCCTCATCTTCCCTTTCCACCTTCCATGGTTGAAACCGCCTCGTCTTGTGTTCCCTTCAAAATTGGAATCTGGGGATTCGATCTGATCGCAGGTTGCCAAGATCGTCCGCTTCCTCTCCGGGTCTGAAGTAGAAGAGCAGCGAAATGCCTGGGCTCCAAGCTGGGATGGTGGGATCGGACACTGCGGGGCAACGTTGCACCAAAAGGGCCCATGAGTGGGCCTTTGGCTTTCCATGTTCTTGGTGGTTGCACCATGGTTCGGAAAGACAAGCATGTGTGTTGGGAAGGCCTCTGCTTTTGACCCCGCACAACAGCCGAGCTCGGTCAGGGTAAACGAGCTACGTTCTTCCTTCTCAAGAGGAAGGGGTTGATGTTGCTGGTCAGGAACCTATCTTTACAAAGACAAACAGATTCAAGGCCCTTGCAAGGAGTTTGGAGTTTGCATTGTTATTTTCAAGGCTTACAAGCCTCAAGCACCTTGCTACCCCTCCTTCCGACCACTTCTCGTGTGCAAATACGTGTATATTGTGTTCATGCACAGCACCTTCCTTTGCCCTCTCATGATGCTTGCTGTCCTTCAGCCATCGACAAGGCACTGCGGCATATTTCTGGTTGATGTCTCCAGTTGTGCGACCTCAGTGAGCAACGTCTCCTTGTCTTACACTACACGACTATAGGATTTGCATTGACCCGTGCAAACACACATAGGCCGCCTGGTGTCATTTGGCATCAGCAAGCCGGTTCCAGAACTGGTTGAAACCAGCAAAACTCACGACGCTTTCTTCAGAAAGTCCTGTCATCCATGCGACTTCGCTGAGGTCAGGATGGCTAAGGTCATCTCCAACAAGCTGTGGGCGCCTAAGGGCAGGAAGCCACCAGAGCTCACCTAAGATTTGACCATGGCTCGCAGTGCCCCCGAGATCCTCGTGCTTGGCCCCGTCCCATTTAAAGCGGAGTCGACTTCGCAAATGCCACCAGCATTTTTGCAGGGACATGCAAGGGAAAGATAGGAGGGAAAATTGGCTCAAATTCAGTGAATTGGTTGTTTTCCCTCTAGAGGACCCCCAAGCCTTTTAAGGGAGAGGAAACAAGCAAGATTGGACGATTGACTGTGTTCTAGCACAGAAAGCCAGTGTTGGCCGTTCAACAAGAGAGAAAGGTCTGCCAACTGTGGGATCATAGTGAAACGGGAACGTCTAAGTTAAACCGATACAACCATTTTGGTAACACAAGTTCCGTCATTCTGTGACACCTCCTCGGAAACCCAGCCGTGGGAATCTGCCATTTCGTTGGCTTGACTAGGGAGAGAGGGATCAAATAGAAACTGCGCAGAGACACAGAAGAAGCCGCAAAAAAAGCAACAACTCCACGGCGAAACAAGCAGACAGACAGGTAGACAGACAGGCAGACCTTCAAAGAATACAAGACACAACAACACCAAACAAGACAACAATAGCAAGTCAACCATAGCAAGACAAAGAAGAAACAAGCAAGCGAACAAGTCCCAAGCGGCAGAAAAAGAAACCGCCGAACATTTCCTCCAGGTCGGACGTGCTCTCCATCCGCGTGGCCTTCGTGGTGATTTGCATCGCGGTGGTCCTGCCGTGCCTTGGCCCGCCTTGGGCGAAGCCACGCTCCGAGAGCTCGCAGACCGGAGGAGATCCGACGGGTTTTCTTTCGGTATCCGAAAGGAACCCGTCTGTTCTGTTAGGCATTCAGCGGGGGACCCTCAAAAAGGTGAGGCCCGTTTTTTGGGCCTGATGTTGTCATGTCCACCAAAGAGACATCCATCAAATCACCCTCCACATGATGGTTTACAAGGAACAACCCCAAAAACGATTTTCGGAACGTGCTTTTGTCGTTCTTCTGAGATGCTTGATGGTTTAACAATGGTTTAACCATGGTTTAAGGGGAAACAACACCCCCCCCCCTCCCTGCCCCCCCCCCCTTGGGTCGTATCCTTTGAGGTCTCTGAGCATCTTCGAGTACCCCGCCATGGAGGAGTCGATGACGGCGTGGACCACATTCCTCGCCTCGGAGGCGCAGGAGTACGCGCAAGGCGCGGGACATGGAGCAATCGATCCAGGAGACCCACGCCCAGAGCCACTTGCTCAAAGCCTGGGTACCCTCCGCCTAACATGGAAGCTCCCAGGACTGTTTTGGTTGACTGGGTGCCATTTACACTTCTGGGAGCTTCCATGTTAGTCTGAGGGAGTGTAGATGAAGATGAGTAAGGGATACTCCCAACCAGAAATAGCTGCGGATATCCGCCTTCTTAATTCTGTACATGGTTCTGGGTCGACCATTTTGATACCGGGTTTTGATTATGACTCAGTTGGATTTTTGGGCTGCGTGTCCCATGGTTCCCTGGCTGGTTTTTGGGGCTGGATGGCACATGAGCAGGATGCGTTATCAAATAGGCAAGAAAACGACGGATCATAACAAGCAAGTGGGAGGTGTCCATGCACAAGCTAGTCAAAACCTAATGAACAAACCCACCCTGAAGAAGGAGGTTGCAAAGAAGTCGTGTTTTTTTTGGGTGGTTTCCCCGCTCAATATCGACAGCCCGCTTGGACAGAGGGGCCCCTCCTGCACTTGGTTTTCGCTAAAGGTGACCCAGTCTCCGGTTGGGTTGTCCAAAACCGATGGCGCCAGTACACGTGGTTGGTGCCAGTACGTGGCGCCTTACCCAAAAAGGCAACCTAATCTTGACATCCCCTCAAAACGTGACATCTTCAGCTTTGCGAAAGCTGAGATAGGCAAATTTGTCTCCAGGTAGATTCTGTGGGGCGAACGGGGCATACAGGAATAAATTAACTCCTGATTTTTGGGGGCCCCCGAGGAGAGAAGAACAGAGGGGCTTCTTGTTTGAATTGCTTTCTGAGGGGTCCTGTTCCCAGATGTATAACTCAGGGGTGAAGCCAACATTTGGGGAGGCGGGAGGCAAGCGGAACCTGCTTTTGCATTTCAGCGGGTTACTTTGGCGATGTGGCTACATCTGAAGCCGAGGTGGCAAGCTAAGCGGGAGAAATGTGGAGCTGTGACTTCAAGTAGTTGGGGACTCATTGGGTTGGCTTCCAGGAATGGATCCAGTGTTGGCTTCCCCCCCCCCCCTTTTCTTAAAAAAAAAAAAAAAACAAAAAAAAACAATATTTATCCTTGGGGCCCTGTCATTTTGAGGATGCCTCCCCCCGTTTTTTGTTTTTTCTCCGAGGGGCCATCGGAGGCGACGTTTTTTTTTTTCTTCCTAGGAGTGGCTCGCAGCTTAGCAAGGGCTCCAGTACCGGTTGGTTGGTTGGTTGGTTGGTTGGTTGGTTGGTTGGTTGGTTGGTTGGTTGGTTGGTTGGTTGGTTGGTTGGTTGGTTGGTTGGTGAGTCGGTCGGCCGGCCGGTCGGTCGGTCGGTCGCTCGGTCGGTCGGTTGGTTGGGATTGAGGGTATTCTATCAAATGGTTTCTATAAACCCTGAAACTACCATCTCGGATATCAAGCATGGCCACTTTCCCAAGCGGTAGCTGTAAAAAGGAGCAACTCGAAAATTTGGTGCTTTAGCAAAACTCTCTTCATCGCAACGACCACAGCTTCGCATTTCTTCGCACACGTGCGCAAGGTCAGCGCCCGAAGCTGGTCGAGCTCAGCTCGCGCAGCGTTGGCCTGCCGAGTTCGCGGGCATTCGGAATTCGCTCATGTCTTATTTTTCTTGGCTTTATGAAAAATGACCTTCATTGTTTGACATTTCCGCGCCATCATAGCGGAAACAGAGAACCGCCATTCTGGAAAAGATCTAGCAAAGGCATGGCTCTTTGCATGTGTCTGTGTATGCGCATCTGTGGGGGCACTCCTGTGCGTGTGCGTTCCCTGTGTGTGTGTGTGTGTGTTCGCGCAAGTGTCTTCAAGCGAGCTTAGCAATTTGACTCCTCATTTCCAGAAAGCCTTGCGGTGTTTTTTTCGGGGCGAGTTTAACAGAAGGTAGGCCTGCCAGAATCTCTCGGGTAAGTCAAGGCTACAAAAGCCAATGAATCGTAGTGCCTCGAGCCACATGGAACTTCCAAGGGCTAGGAAAAGCAAACAAAGGCTGCGGAATCGAAAAGGCTAAGGGCTACCAAACATTAGCATCAAGGGCCCCAAGGGCGACCAGACCAAGGGCTCCGCACCTTGCTTCTCTGTCTATCTCTCTCTCTCTCTTCGTCTCTCTCTCTCTCTCTCTCTCTCTCTCTTCTCTTGTGTCTCTCGTTTCTCTCTGTCTGTCTTTCTCTTCTCTCTGTCCTTTTTGTGTATTCCTCCTTTCCAGGAAGCCGCCCAGCCGCCCACGCTGCAGGAGCATCAGAGCTGAGGCAGGCGGCTTGTGAAGGCGGTTTTCTAGAGGCGGCTTCCCAGAAGCATAGACACGCCACCAGACATCCTCCCCGAAGGTCAGCTTTCCAATTACATGACGAATGGAGGTCGGAGAAATTGCAAGCTACCAAAGGCATGGCCGGGTGGGCGCTTTTTTTCAAAGGCAACCCCTTTGGGCACTGCAATCTCCAGCGTAGACAAAAAGAAGGGGTGAGGAATCGCGAGGCCGAGAACCTGCAAGCCAAGATGGCACACCGTTCCTGCTGCGCTCTTTTCAGCACAGTCTCATGCGCAAAGTGTCACTCGGAGGACACGATGACCAAAACAGCTCTGAGCAGTATCAGGGGATTTGTCTTCGTGTTTACTGCGCAGAAACTTCTGATTTACGCCAACCGACAAGGCAGAAAACATAAACTACAACCTCAGTTATTTACCTCGCAATGGTTAGACTGGCACTGGCGGTCGCGGTGTCAATAACGTGCGTTTGCTAGCTCAAGGCAGCTTGCGTCTGTTTTTACACCCACTGGGTCATTCGGTCGCGCTTGGAAATCGCACCCCACAAAGGCCTCAACACAGGGCTAGCAAAGCAAAAACATCATCACAACAAGAAACAAACGGAGGCCCATCAGGGGGTACCACGGTGTGCACCATCACTGTGAGACTGGCAAAACTTAATGGTGACATACAGAAGTGAGAAGATCGCTTCAGATCACCTCATCCAGAAACTGCACCTTCAGAAAACGAGCTTGTTCCGCTTACAATTGCCGGCTTTCTTTGTAACATTCACCTCACGGCGCCATCGAAAGCAGAGCAAGATGCTCCTCCATACAAAATCTGTCTTTCTTTCAGACAGCCACAGACTGAGAAAGCATTTCACAGAGCGACATATATGAGCTTACCACGAGCAGCACCGAAGAGCCTGATTCGGCGCATTGACTACGTCCCGGCCATTGACCTCATCCGAGAGCCAGATGCGCTGCAGATGAACAGGGCTGCATTCTTGACAGAGGCAAGAGCATGGGCTTCAGTTCCTTGAGTAGAGAGAGAGAGAGACAAACAGACAGAGAGAGACAAAGAGAGAGAGAGAGAGAAAGAAAGAGAGATGTAGAGAGAGAAAAAGAGAAAGAGAGAGGTAGAGTGGAGAGAGAGAGAGAAGGGGGAACGAGATAGTGACACTCCTCAACATGAGATTAAGCTTGTCAAAGACATGAGGTTAAGCTTGTCAAAGCTTGCGCTGCCAGTCTCCCCACAGGACGACGATGCGCCCGTACAGCTGTGGCGGCCAGACCTGCAGCACCTGCCTTTGAATTGTCTGGTCGGAGCAGTCACCAGGCAGGCCTTCCGAACACCAAGCCATCAAAAGGATCAGACTTGAAAGCAACGGTTTCCGATTCGTTGTTTAAGTACTGCCTGAACTGAACATGAACAAAGTAGAAACAATGCACTCGCTGTGGACAAGTTTGACGGCGGGTTCGTGCTCTTCCACACAGTGGCGCTCGCGGAGAATCTGAAGCTTCTGCGCCTATTCAGTCCTCCAGAGCACCTGGGTGCATCAGCAGGCGAGCGAGACCCGGACGACCATGTGTGTGTGTGTGTGCCAGGGGCTTCAGGACCTCAAATTGCAAAGGCGGTTGAAACTGGAATCATTTGTTGTTTTACTTGAACAGAGGGGTAGCGCGATGGAATTCTCACGCTTCCTGGGCCACCCTCAGCCTGCAAAAAAATAACGTTGTTTCCAGAGACCACCACTTTTTGATAAGCTTCTCAAAAAAACGAAGAATAACCCTCCTCTAGCGGAGTGGCTCCGGAAAACATGCGTCATGTAAGATGCTCTCCTAGATGCAAGTATCCCTGGTGATTCGCTGCTCCTTGTTTTTGTTTGGCCCCCACGGTGTCTAACAAACCTGCGAAGTCTTTCCAGGGTTTTTAAGATTGGAAAAGATTTGGTTGCTGCGTTGTCCAGTGCCAAGTCTGACGGTCAGTTCCGGGAGTTGTCTTGCTCAGAAGAGCAACTGCCAACAATCGCTCTTGCAACACACAAACCTTCTTGCCAAGCTTTTCAATCTATTTGGAGCAGGCCCAAAGAAAGCGAAGCCTGACCTTTGAGACGTCATGCTCACGATGTCCCTTCCCCTCAGCTTCACCCTGTGTCAACCCTTGCCCGCAATGGTTCTGCCGGTAAAATCATTCGAGGATTGAATAAAAGAATTGTCTGTAGTATTTTCTACATCTAACGAGCTACTTGTTCCAGAAATAGAACTAGATAAGACCGATCTAACACGACATTCGGATAAGAAATCCTCGACAATTTGTCAATTGGAATTACGCTTGTCATACCAAGCTTTGAACAATTGCTGTGGCAGCTGGGATCCAAGCGCATTATTGAAAGCTCAAGCGTGGACAACGCGAAGCTGCGCGTTCAACCTGCTTTGCCAGAGGACGCCAGTGGGAGAAGAAAGGCAAACTTTCCAGAAATAGGACTTTCATCTAGCTTTTGTTTTCACCCTCCCCTTCCTGCCCTTCAAAAAGGGTGGAGGGTGGTTGTTGCAATCCATTTTTTAGCAATTGACCCCTTCCCCCATGCCGGTGGCCCTTGTAGTGGCGCCCTCCTTGTTCTTGCTCAGCTTGCGTGTGGTCGGACGGACCCATGTTTGTTTGTTTTTTTGTTTTTTGCTGGGGAGGGGCGGGACGTACCCCGGATTTTTTTCATGCCCGCCCGCCAATCCCCCCACCCCTTAAATGGAGGGGTGTTGTTTTGCCACCATGCCCTGCAGGGCAGCGAGTCTGCGGTCTTTTTGGTGGTGGCCGTTGCCGGCTTGCAGCATAGAGCGCGGGTGACTTTGCCGCAAGCAAAAAGCCACATCGTCTCGTTGCAGCGCAACTTCAGGACTAACAAACTACCTAACTTGCAAGAGTCGCCGTTTACTCCTGTTTTGTCGGCCTGAGGCCCATGTGCGTGTCGAGTCTAGACTCGCAGAGACAAACTCCAGAGAGACTCCCACAAAAAGACTCTCAGAGACAGACTCCCCAAACTCCCAGAGAGACTCCCACAAAAAGACTCTCAGAGAGAGACCTGCAGAGAGAGAGAACCCTCCTCAGAGACAAACTCGCAGAGAGACTCCCACAAAAAGACTCTCAGAGACTCCTCAGAGACAAACTCCCAGAGACCACAAAAAAACTCTCACTCAGAGACAAACTCCTAGAGAGACTCCCACAAAAACACTCTCAGAGAGAGAGACTCCCAGAGAGAGAGACTCCAGACAGAGAGAACCCCCCCCTCAGAGACAAACTCCCAAAGAGACTCCCACAAAAAGACTTTCAGAGAGACACCCCCAGAGAGAGAGAACCCCAACAAAAAGACCCCTAGAGAGACTCTGAGAGAGAGAGAGAGAGAGAGAGAGAGAGAGAGAGAGAGAGAGAGAGAGAGAGAGAGAGAACCCCTCAGAGACAAACTCCCAGAGAGACTCCCACAAAAAGACTCTCAGAGAGACTTGCAGAGAGAGAGAACCCCTCTCAGACAGAGAGACTCCCACAAAAAGAGAGAGAACCCCCTCAAAGACAAACTCTCAGAGAGATTCCCGCAAAAAGACTTTCAGAGAGAGACTTTCAGAGAGAGAGAACCCCCCTCAGAGACAAACTCGCAGAGACTCCCACAAAAGACTCTCAGAGAGAGAGACTTGCAGAGTTGGTTCGTAGAAAACCGGCGTGTGGAGTCGTTCTCTGCATGTCAGGCTTGGACCAAGTTCGCGAGCGAGGAGGCTTGGCAGGCGGCGCCAAGGGAAGTCCTTCAACTTGCTAACAGCCGTGAGAGGGCTTCATGATAACGTCTGCTGTGACCCCACGCGGCCTTATCAAGTCTTCCAATTGCCGAAGGCCCCCAGAAAAAGATAAGTATGTCCAGCACTGATAGCTTCCTTTAAACCGAAGTTCGAGGCCTGCTTGCCACATGTACGGCTGAAGTCTGTTAATTCGCCAGTTGAGTATTTTTGTTTCGAGCGGATCCGTCGGAAGTGAACCGCTGCCAGTGCCACGTGGTTGTGCTGCGGCCTACGAGTCCTGAGTGGTGGTGGCAGTGTCAAGAGGATGCAGCAGGAACGCCTTGTTCACTCTGCTCATGCCTGCCCTTTGCTTTGGGGGCCACTTGCGAACACGAGCAAGTTGCCCAAGCTCTGGCAGATGGGTCAGACACACTTGCAGTGATCGGCAGCCGCGGCGGCCGACCGCCGACGCTATCGTTCAGCGTTCGAGGGCTGAGCATGACCGCAGCGCAGCGACAGACCAAAAACAGTCAGCAGCGCGGGAGCGGAAGCGTGGCAGCAGTGATGGGCTTCAAGTAGCCCCGAGCTCACAGGCAACGCCGGACAGCAAGACAGAGGCGCCGCAGTCGCTGCACGAGGTTGCAACACATGCGCCACAGTCCGAGGCCGCGGTTGCAGGCGCACAAGCTCGCAGGACAGCAGGAACAAGCACGGCGTCAAGCAACGGAGCAGATGCGGTCACAGAACGAGCAAGCGGCAGCAGAGGACCCACGCAGCGCCGGACCAACTTCGACCTCGTCCAGGAAGTGCTCGGCCCCGTGCGCTTTCCCGCCGGCACAAACATGTACTACTCGGAGCAGCACCAGGTGCGAGTTAGACAGCTGCGAGCAAGCATGCGTGAGCTTTTCTTGACGGCGCGGGCTAGCCAGGCATGCAAAGCGTGGCGGCACGTTGTCCACAGCCACGCCAGCGTGCGAATGCACGGCAGCCACGAAAGCGGAAAACCAAGTGACTGCGGAAAGTGGGCGCGCTGAGGCGGACACGCAGTGTTTGCGCGACAACAATGCTGAGCGGCTCACTGCGCCTATTTAATGGTCCCTTTGCCCCGTCCAGCTTAGCTCAGCACACGACCTCCGGCCGCTACTCACCATGTCGTCGACTGACTTAGGCATTGCAGCAGGATTTCAGCATTGACCAGAGTGCTCCGACATGTGCCACGCTTCGCATTTCTGTCCTTGTGCACCGTCTTTTTTCGGTGCAGTCGGCATCTTTCCTTTTGCGTAGCATGACAGCCAAGGTAGCATAATGCTCGCCTCGCCGCACAGGAAACCGCACCCGTCCCGCCACCTGTCATTGGACACTTCACTTGCTTGTTGCGCAGCTGCCTGGACGAAATGCACATCTACTGTGGTTCTGTGGTTCTGGTGTTTCTCAGCTGCCTGCTGCGCGTTCAGCTTGCGAGCGACGCCTGAGAAAAGCTGGGCCGCAGGCACACTATGGTCCTGGTGTTCCTCAGCTGCCCGCTGTGCGCTCCGTTTGCCTCCGATGCCTCAGTGCAGCTGCGAGAAGCTAGGCTCCTAGATTTGTTTTTGTGTGTGCGCTTCTTGGCTCCCTGCCACACGTGCGCTCACCCGTGAGGCCTGGGAGCCGCAACAGTCACGGTCATGTCCGTTTCAGCTACGCTTGGCTTCCGAGTTCCTGGCAGTCCGTCACCTTCCTTCCCGGCCTGCGAAAGCGCAAGCATCAAACTGGTTAACGTGTCTTCCAACCCTTGCCCATGCATGATTAAAGCGCATGTCTTCAACACGTGCGCTCACGCTGGCATGCGGCCAGCGTGGCGTGCACCTTCGCTTTGGCTTTGCACAGCTTGACCTGCGCCTTTCTTTGCCTGCCGGCGGTTTGCGCATGCAGCACGCAAGCGGCTCTCCTCGAGCCCCCTGCCTCGTTGAAGCTCTTGAGCGCGTGGAAGGCGTATCGAATCGCAGCTACAGTTGCCCACTTGGCCACTGTCCACCAGTAAGCCATTCCTAGCAGCGAGCTTGGCTTCCACTGCCACAGTTGCACACTTGGCCACTGTCCACCAGTAAGCCACTCCTAGCAGTGAGCCACTCCTAGGAAAAGCCATTCCTAGGAAATAAAAAACGTCGCGGCCGGGGCCGTCCTCATTTGGAGGATGCCAATTCGGGTCCCGCAGGCAGCCGAAGCGAGGAGGCCACAGCCAAGCTGGATGGAGCCCTGAGGAGCTGGAGACGGTTGGTCGAACATATTCGGGGAAGTGGGCGAAAACACCCACGAGACCCAGGTGTTTCTTTGTTTTGTGTGTGTTCCTTTGGAGCTACTTGTTTTCTGTTTGAAGAAGTTGTTGCTTCTGTTTTTTGGTTCTGCGGTTGTTGGGATTGCCAAAAGCATGGGCTGATGTTTAGACTTGTGATTTGGGACCGCCCTTGACACCAAAATCGAGCACCTGAGTTTGTCAACCCCAACTGTGTCTTTTGTGGTTTGTCCCTTTTTGTTTGGGGAGTTGTTGTTGGAACCGTTTTTTGATTTTCTAACCCCGGCTCGGGGCCTTAACCCGGTTGGCTGGCTGGCTGGTTGGTTGGTCGGCTGGGCGCATATCCAGCATACTTGGCGTTAGGGCTGCATATTGGCCGTGATTTGGGCCGTGACACCTCAACCAGTTGTTGTTGGGATGTTCGGTGGTTGGGCTGTTAAGAAGTGGGTATGTTGGGGTTGGCTGCTGTGGGGATGCTGTTGGCAGAACGGATATCGCTTGCCCTTGGACACCTTCGAGTTGCCCCTTTATCAAGGTGCTTCTGGGCTTTGAGCTTTGTTTCTGCGTCCAGGGATTTGTTCTTGGAAGGTGTTTGGTCTGTGTCAAAAAGGTTCGTATGTGGATTCTTGGGTGACACAGTCTCATGGGCCATTGGTCAAGACGGATAGCACGTGAGGCTCACGGAATGGCTTTCTGCCTGGGAATCAGGCCTCTGGCTTCAGGAAAGCCAAGCAATAAGATGTCCGGAAGCCGGAAAGCGGATAACCTCCCAGAAAATCAACAGCTCCCAGATTCTTTGCACAGACCTCTGGTGCCCTTGGACACACAAACCAGCGGCTTCCTTCCCATGGCCGCTGGGAACGGCTTGGTTAGATTCCCTGTTTTCACTACCACCCCGCAAGGTGTTTCTTAGCGAAGCCAAAAAGGCGTTTGTTTGAACCATGACATAAGCCTTTGCTTAAGCAACCCCCCCATCCCCCTCCCGTTTCAAGCCAAGGCCGAGGCATGGCAGGTTGACTGGCCCATCCGAGTCCAAAGAAATCGAGTCGCTCAGTCGGCTGGCGGCCTTCTACTCCACCACCAACTACGGGCCCTTCATGGCGTGCTACCACGAGAAGCCTTACCCCGGCGGCCCTGAGGTCGGGTCTTGTGAGGCAAAGGGTGCCCCCTTTTTTTTGGGAGGTTGGTTGAAAGGAAGCCAAGAGGAAACCGAGCTTTGTGGGAAGACCTATGTTGAGCACACACCCATATGAGGCTTTCCGTAAATAGCTGTATTTGTTGTTTAGTGGCTAGTGGCGGTGGTTATGTTGGTAAGTAAGTGAAACGCAGGCTGCGGAAGCTCCGCGGAAGCGGCGCGGAAGCTGCGACCGGTGATGTTCTTTCAAACTATTGGCTTGTCTTTAAACATGTTACACGCATGTACCGAAAAGTTACGATTCTCAAGCTGGATGTCGGAAAGTGCACCTCGCGTACTGCATCTGTGTATGAAAAGTTCCAGATCAACGAGCTGGAGCTGAGAAAGTGGCCTTCGCGTACTACATTTGTGCTAAAATTTGCGATTCTCCAGCTGGAGCTCGGAAAGCGCCCGACGCGTACTGAAATAAAAACCCCGCGCCTTTTCGTTATGTAAGGGGACGTCCCTTAACTTGTTTTGCAGGCCCAAACCATTGTAAACCGATACAGAGGGAAAAACAAGATACCCCCAGAAGCCATCAAGACACACATCAGGTCCAAGCTGTTGTCGCAAACCAAGATTGCGGAATCAGACATTTGCAGGGCCCAAACCGATACCCAAACCGATGCCTAACCGATACCCAACTCATTAGCTGCTGTACAAATCAAACTGACCATGCCTGGACCAGAAAACGGTTTGGTTTGAACGATGCCCCGAACGATGCCCAAACGATGCCCATATCGCTGGCATAGCCCAGAAACTGGAACCAAGCCTGTCCCGGAGTGTTCTCGAGATCTTCTAAGGAGATTCCTTGGTTTGGATCTGCTGAATAACCAATCGCAATTTCACAGCTGACCAGAGCAGATGAAGAGCATTCGCAGCTATGGATGCTGCAGAAGGTACGCTTTGCGCCGCGGAAGCGGCGCGGAAGCGGAGGGATCGCCTTTTTTTCTCAATGGGTGTGCGCGAGTTTTAGGAGTTGGTACCCATGCTGCAAAGGGAAAGCAATGGGATTTGTTTAGGGGACTCAACATTTGGAGGCAAAGCCATCTTGTTGGGAATGTGTTCATGTTGCGTGGGTTTCTTGCTGCGGTGGCCAATGGTTTGCTGATGTCCGCAAGGAGCATCCCTGGCGCGCAATCCTGAGAACTCTTTCCCGAAACGCATGGGCAGGTCTTGGCGGGCCCCTGCTTGGCTTTCAGAAGCTTCAATTCCCCAATTTGAACCGGCAAATCACTTCCAGAAAGGGTTAAGTAGAGCATACACAGAATCATTAAGTCAAAAGGACATGAATCTTCCAGGCACCTCCCCACAGGTGCCAGGTTAGTTGGAAGGGTAGGAACGTTGTGAAGTTCCGAAAGGCAGGCTGAGGTGCCACCCAGGGATGCTAGCCGCACCACGTCAATTGGGGCCGACATTACATGCAGTAGCTTCTGACGCCCTTGATTCTTCCCGGATTCCCAGGGTTGGCAACTTCCCTTAAAAAAGGATTTTGTTTTTAGCAGCGTTCTCCTGCTACTTCACACGAAACTCCACACAACAATACATTGGATGTCTATAAAAACCAACCGCTTATTGAGTCTCTTTTTGGGTAGCTCAAAGGAGGCGAGTTTTGCTTCACAGGAGGAGTTGGAAGGCTGCGGCGACGGCGCCAGCAGCTTGCGCCTGGGGGAGGAAGCCTTTCGGAACTTCTCACAGCCGAAGCGCCAGGACGTCCAAGTGGGAAGGGCTTGAAGGGAGCGGGTTGGGTTGGGTTGGGTTGGTGGTTGGGTTGGATTGGGTTGGGTTGGATTGAGTTGGGTTGGTGGTTGGGTTGGGTTGGTGTTTGGGTTGGGTTTGATTGGATTGGGTTGGTATTTGGGTTGGGTTGGTGTTTGGGTTGGGTTGCATTGGGTTGGGTTGGGTTGGTGGTTGGGTTGGGTTGGTGTTTGGGTTGGGTTGGTGTTTGGGTTGGGTTGGTGGTTGGTGGTTGGGTTGGGATGGGTTGGTGGTTGGTTTGGGTTGGGTGGGTTTGACACAGCCAACCAGGCCAATTCGCCCCAACCGTTGGAACGCCTCACATGAGCATTCGATAAAGCTGTCACACTTGCATACCCAGAATGGGCATGCCGACATCAGTGGTTATGGCTGTGTTCTACAGGGGTTGTACAGATTGAGGCTAGATACCCCAAAAGAAAGCGTATGCGACGTTTTACTTGGCGTGTGTTCGGTTCAGGTGTGTAAGTCCGCAGAAACGCTTCGTGCGCGTGAGGAGTTTATCCTGGTGACGAGCGCCTTGGAACATGGGGTCAAAACTCCAGAGGGGTGCTGTTGGTGTCCTTTTTGGTTTGATTGAAGAATAGGGGGCGGATTCCTGGCTTTCCTGGTTTTTCAATCATCTACCATGGGTATGGGTCAAAATTAAACCACCAGGGTTTTAGTCCTTGGTTCCATTTACCAGGTGTTTTCCAAAAAGGACACCTATGGTAGTGGGACCCATGTTATCCAGCGAAAAGGTGGTGCTCAGAAGCCCCCAAATCGACAGTCAGATGAGAGGGATGGACCAGATCTCGGGAAGCTAGGCTCTGAACGCACCAGTCTGCCGGCCAGAATCCATTTTGAAACAAGACACCCGTGAATCCACCAGGCGTTCCTCCAAACCCCCCTTTTTGGATCCTCAAAAGTCGCAGCTTCAGTGGAAACCACCAGGAAGTTGCAAGTTTTGAAGGGGGCATCTAGGATCCCCCGACATGGTTGAATCCACATAGTGAAAAGAAAGCGCTAATAGCGATCCGCAAAACGTCTCCCCTCAAAAAACCGCCTGGTGGACCCTGCGCCTTTGGCGCTGCCGGAGGAAACGACAATGAACGGATGGTCAATCCCTGACAATCCCTGAGAACGTGTGGATCCTTTTGGGTCAAAGTTAAAGCACCAGAATGGACCCTATTTGGATGGGTGTGTCTTAAACTTAGGGAACCCAAACAAGCGCCGTCTTTTGCTGTCTCCTCAAAACCGACCGAAAGTGGTTTCCCTCAAACTCGCTTGCCCAAAGCGACTCGACCTTTTGACCTTTTGTTTTCCCCTGTTTCGCCCAGTCTTTATTCATGGCCCCAAAAGGTTGACCTTGTATTTCCAGGTCTTTGAGCAACTGAGCCAAAAGACGACCTATTTGAACTGCTTCAGTCAAGGCGTGCAGCACCTGGACATTTTTTTCGACCTTGCAGCTCCAAAGCGACTGGAAGCGCTGATGGGCATCAGCCTCATCATGTTCATCATCCTGGTCATGATCATCTTTAGCTTCTTGCCTTGGAAGCTTCCATTTGCTGAAATGAATATTTGTGTATTTGTTTCCCTTGTTGATGTTAAAGGGAATACTACTGGATATTTTCATTTTTTCCCAGGGGGCTTAAGCAAATGGAAGGAAGGTGTACGCAAGAAAAACCGGTTGGAAAACTGCACACATGGAAGACCGTTTTGTTGCAACCTTTGCTGTCCCTTAAGTCTCCCTTTGGAAAATCTGTTGGCTTCCTTCATGTGAGTTCTCCCTCCCCCCAGAAAAATCAGTCACGCTGCAGGTTTGCCTGCCAACCATTGGAGGCTCAAAGGGTTGACACGGCAATGCTGGGACCTGGGTATGGCAGGACTTGAACGAAGCGGCTTGAACGCATGGGACAAGTGCTGAAAGTGACAGTAGGGCTATGCCCAGATGAGATGACTTGGCTTTTTGCAACCAGATGTGGCTTTCAGTGCTGGGTGGCACATATTATGTGTCCATCAAAGGGTCCAGCCAAACAAGATTCATACTCAGGTGTACCTTGTTTCGATATATTGGCAACGTGGTGGTATACCCCCATGTTGCGTTAGGGATATGTTTCATTCGAGTAGAAAGCATCGAATCAACCAAGCACCGTTTCGTTTCTCCGCGAGTGTTTCGTTTCGTTTACTTGCCGTCTTTGAAGCGCAATCAACTAGGCACCTACATATGGGCCATATCCCCATGCTGCCTCCATGTTTTGGGACTTTTACTGGGGTAGCCTCGAACTCACCCCACCGTCAATTTACCTGGTGCTGCTTTGCCTTTGGGGGTTCTGGAGTGTGGTGGGAGGGGAAAGGGGGCAGTGCAAGCCATCGAAATGGGTATGAGTCAAAATAAAGTCACCAGAAAACCGCGGTCTTGGTCTTTGGTTCCATTTTCTAGGACAAGCCATTTCGGGGTACGCATTTTTCACCCACAGCCAAATCAACCAGGCACCATTCTGAGCGAGAACATCTCCACAGTGGCACTGCTGCCCTTGGAGCGGATGCTCGACGTGGTGCGCCAGCGCTGTGCACAGATCTTCCGATACACGGACGAGCTTCAGGCGAAGGGTCGGAGGGTCCGAGGGTCGAGTGGTGCGTTCCGCGCTTCCATTTTGCTTAAGACGTGTGTTGCATGGGCACGAATTTGGAGTGTGACCCTTCGGCGCCCCTGTCAGTCTTAATTGCAGAACATCCATCACTGCTGGATGTTTCTTTTTTGAGGGGACTAAAGAAAATGGAAGCGGGGTTGTCCAAGTTCATGCAAGTCACACGAAGCCTGGGCGACGGTGGTATTTTGCAAATCAGGAAAACCCCAGTTGCCCTTGCAAGCAATCTTTCGCTTGGGCTTTGCTTTGAACTCAGTTTTGGGGGACAGTGGTGGTTGGATTTTGGGGTGCTCAAGGGGGGTCACCCTCCAAATCACGAAATTTAGCTCGGGTCTCTTAACATGAACATTTCAAGGCTCTCGAAAAACAAAATGGGGGCCCTTGAAACCACGATTTAGAGGGTTAGGGGGTGGTCTCTTCAAGCCACAATTGTAGAGGGTGTTTTTCAAAATGTCACCTCAAGCCCCAGACCCAGTTTGACGTTTGTTTTTTTGTGGTACTTCCCTGCTGGGTCTTTCGAGGGTTGTTTGGGCCTGCAGTAGTTGCCCCGCATGTTTTACGACACCTTTCTGGGAAGCGCAGCCTGTGTGACCTGGACCGGCGCCAGCTTGACATAGGCCTGGGAAGGGTCTAGGGATGTGAGTGCTCGGAGTGCTCAAGTCTTTGGAGCCGGAGCTGTTTTTGGCGTAGAATTGGCGATTGAGAGTGGCTTCAACAGGGGGGCTAAGTGGTTCCGCCCTTGCTGAGTGGTGGAATTCTTGTGTTTTGCGCGTCATCAGTTTCCTTGGGCAAGACTTGTGTTCTGTTTGATGGGGTGAGATGACAGAATTTGCATCGCGCTCTAATACGAGACCGTGGTATGGTGAGCCAGCTTGTCTCAAGGTGTGCATTGAAAGAAGGAACGCATGGTTCGAAGGGTCATTTAATCTCGGATTTAGTCTGAAGACCATAAACAGCCGATAGGGGAACCATGTTTGCTGGGTATAGTATGGTCCTCCAGATGAATCGGAGGTTTCCCTTACCTTGGGTCGGTGCATTTGAGGGCGGCCGGTGCTCTGCACATGTCACGTCTGTCTGTCGAAAGCAGGAGGAGGAGGAGGAGGACGAGGATGCGGCAGAAGCTGAAGCGGACGAGGAGCACAAAGACGAGGACGTAACGGGGGTTTGCTGGGCGACGGTGAGGAGCGATCAGCTAGCAGCGGGCCCACTTCTGTCCCAACTATGTCCTGACGCATCTCCAAACTGTGTGAACCCATGGTTGGGTGCTGAGTGACTGCAACTCACTGTGGTGCCTTCGGAGTTTGATCACTCTCCAAGCCACAGGTGGTCTCCAAACCTCCAAGCTATTTGGAGGTGCCAAACGACCGTTTGACCTGCCCTGCAGTCGGGGGAAAACGAGCACTTCCGGGCCCGCAATGCTTGGTGAATGTTGCCCCCGTCAAGCATGGCAATGGACCGGCCGTTTCAAAGCATCATCATCCAGCCCCCTGATGTGTCGAGTTCGCGAATAACTCTGCACCTTGGCTCATGTTTGCACTCACTTCTTAGTGGGGTGCAAAGTGGAAAGACCCATTCCGATTTTCGGGGCCCGGCTCTCGCGATTTTCGGGGGCGAAGATCGCAAGGAGGCGGAGCAGGATAATGAATTTGCTCTGCTGGAGAAGGCCGGTGTGAAGCATGCCCACTGAGAATTCCGGGAGCCTGACTTGTGGTGTACCCCACTGTTGTCCCAAAGAAGGTCACCAGGCCCTAAGCGGTTGCCCCAGTGGACCATCAGCATGGGGTTGGCCTTGCAGGCTGTCGCCAAGTTAGGCGCCATTGCCAGCCTAAGCACCAAGAACATCGTGAAGGAGGCGGCTCGGTTGGGTTGGACAGCCGGACTCATTCGCCTGCCATGCGCCCTTGGGTTGCGTGGAACCCTTCAGGGACCTGTGATGTGTTCCCATTGGCATGCGAAAATCGACATCCAAGAGGCTGAGTCGAATGGATGGAGCTCCGATTTGGACCCGATTTGGCGGTTGATCTCAAATTCCCGTGATCCGCTGCTAGTCTGTAGCACAGGCCACGCTAGGAAATCAGAAGCTACTTCTGTTCCCACAATTGATCGTTGCTTCATCGCCTTTGAAATTCTTGTACTCAGTGCCCGCTTCTAAAAGGAAAGGCGAGGCGTTTTTTTTTAAGCTGACGCATCCCCATGTGGTGGGTTCCTGAACTGAACGTAAGTCTAGATGTGTAGAAAGCCCTTTTCTCAAGCTGGGTGTGTCCTGTTTTTAAAGTTGGACCCCCAAAATGGCGCAACTGTTGTCTGTTTGGTTTCCTTTAAAAAAACAGAACAAAGGACACCAACTCCAAAAAAGACACTGCCAACTTGCGATTTGCCGGGATTCATCCTGGCTCGCTCCCCCCTCGGGGATTCTGCATGGATGTGTGCGTAAGGGGACCGACCTGTTCAACGGGTTGTAATACATGGGTTTCAGCTTGCACCAAATGCGGTCTGCATACAATGTTGCACGAACGAAAACAATTACTAGAAGCAATCAGACAACTACAAATCAACAACATGCGGATTGTATGGTGTACAATTAGGGCCTGCGTTTGTTAGAAGTTGTTGCGGCGTGTTTCAACTGAAACAAATTATCCGTGTGAGTCTGGTGTGTTTGTGTGTGTGTGCGTGTGGGGTGGGTTCGTTTCTCTGTTAGTGGTTGTGTTTGTGTTTGTGTGTGTGCGCGTGTGTGTGTGTGTGTGTGTGTGTGTGTGTGTGTGTGTGTGTGTGTGTGTGTGTGTGTGTGTGTGTGTGTGTGTGTGTGTGTGTGTGTGTGTGTGTGTGTGTGTGTGTGTGTGTGTGTGTGTGTGTGTGTGTGTGTGTGTGTGTGTGTGTGTGTGTGTGTGTGTGTGTGTGTGTGTGTGTGTGTGTGTGTGTGTGTGTGTGTGTGTGTGTGTGTGTGTGTGTGTGTGTGTGTGTGTGTGTGTGTGTGTGTGTGTGTGTGTGTGTGTGTGTGTGTGTGTGTGTGTGTGTGTGTGTGTGTGTGTGTGTGTGTGTGTGTGTGTGTGTGTGTGTGTGTGTGTGTGTGTGTGTGTGTGTGTGTGTGTGTGTGTGTGTGTGTGTGTGTGTGCTGTGTGTGTGTGTGTGTGTGTGTGTGTGTGTGTGTGTGTGTGTGTGTGTGTGTGTGTGTGTGTGTGTGTGTGTGTGTGTGTGTGTGTGTGTGTGTGTGTGTGTGTGTGTGTGTGTGTGTGTGTGTGTGTGTGTGTGTGTGTGTGTGTGTGTGTGTGTGTGTGTGTGTGTGTGTGTGTGTGTGTGTGTGTGTGTGTGTGTGTGTGTGTGTGTGTGTGTGTGTGTGTGTGTGTGTGTGTGTGTGTGTGTGTGTGTGTGTGTGTGTGTGTGTGTGTGTGTGTGTGTGTGTGTGTGTGTGCGTGCGTGTTCCTTTGCTGGGAGACTATTCAGAGAAGTGACTTTGCATGATATACCAAGCATATGTGTGGAGAAACGCTGGAAGCATTCATCTCTTCGCATCGCATCAGGTCGATGTGTTGTTGTCCTCTGCAAGTGTTGTAACTGGCGCCATATAGGATGGACAGCGCAACATTTTCCTGCACAATCACTCACCATTCACCAGCTGCGGACGGCCACGCTATTTTAGTCCAACACCAAGATCATCCGAGACTCGCGGCCAGCCAAACGGAAGCAAGGAAAGTTGCGTTCTCTGGAACCCTCGTGAGGCCTGGCAAGAATATTTGGAGCTGTGGTGAGACAAATACCAGTTTCCGAATTGGTTTTGATCACTATCTGAGAGTGCCCATGCAGCTTTTGATAGCCATTGGGGCAAGTTGTTGGGCTGGCCTCAAGTAAGGCAAGACTGAAAGGAAACCTTTGGAATCGCCTTGTCGCATGAGGGTCTGGGGGGTGTTTTGTTGCAAGGATATCGTGACGGAGGACGACCTCATGGTGCGCTCCCGAGTTGGGGTTTGGCTTGACAGCGGGAAATGGAGTCCGAAAGTCGGGGCCGTGAGTTGTATCTGAGTTTTGTTTTCTATCAGCTGTTTGTTTGGAAGTGAATCCAAAGCGAGCAGACACCCTCGCCATTCTTTTTCGTTCGAGGGGGGAGACCAACCCATGTCTTCGTTCTGTGCCCCTTTTCCACGGTTTTGGTTTTAGAACCACAAGGACTCACAGCTCTGGACATGGAATGGCTGGCGCGCTAAACTCGGCAGTTTCGGAAGATGTGTTGAATCCAGTTGCCTTCTTGCCTGGCAGCTGGCAATGTTTTCGTCACATGTGACAACCTTGTTCATCTCAAGCGGAGTCAGACCATATCTGCGCGTTTTGTGTGAAGACATACCCAAGTGAAACTGGGAAGGCGGAGACGTGTTTCAGCCGCATGGTTGTGGAAAGCAAATGACAAAACACTGGGCAAGCTACCTCCACACCGCATGGCCAGACCAGCTAGCCGATTTCGCGTTTTGCCTTTTTGGGTTTCCTTCACTTTCATGTTCCACCCGGAAATGGTTACAACTATTGGGGATCTGATCCATGTTGGATAACAATTGGGGGAAGCTGTGAGCTGTCAGCAGCAGAGATTGCCATGACTGAGTCTTTTGCAGGGTACCAACACCTGCTGAAAAGACATGATTTTCGCTCCACCCCCACATGGTGTTCCAAACCCCACCCAGCGCTGCCCTGGTTGCCTTTTTCTTGGAGAACGGTTCCTTCGCAACTGTGGGAGAAATATCGAGACGCCACGTTTCATCCGTCGATAAATTCACTCTTGGGTGGTGGGAGGTCTGGAGAAATTGGGTCCTTCGCGAAGGGCCCAAATCAGATGGCATTTCCCCTTTTCATGGTTGTTGTTGGGAAACATTTTACATTTTTGCTTATTGTGGTTGAGTGGGAAATCCTCAATCCCCACTTAACCTTTTTTTTTGCTCCCCTTCCAACGTCAACCAAGCTTTCCCCGTTGCCTTGCGGGTTGGGATTCTTTGGGATTCCGAAAAGAAAACCGAGCCCCGAAGCTCGAGGTGCAGGGCTGGAGCCAGGGCATCCGCTCCACGAGGAATGATCCGGTGGAGTCGACGGACCTCAAGATGAGGCGCGGAAGGGCGGAAGGGGGGTGGGGGGGCGGGGTTGGCTGCCAATGTGGCCAGGTGCCCCGAAAAAGATGCCATCTGGGTGTATCTTGTTTGGAGTTGGTCCCATTGTTTCGGGTTTCTAAAGGGGGGCCAAAGGAAGACCACCACTTTTGGGGCTCCCTTGAAAAACAAGCTACATGGGTGTTTCCAAAACAGACGGGGTGGCGTCAGTGTTGATGTACTGTTGGTCTGGGGAGGACGGGGTCCATCTCCACTTGACTCGGCCTGGGGTTCCCCTTGGCTCACTAGGAACCCCCAAACGGCTCCTTGGCTCCTTCACGTCTCCGTCAGATGAGGTGTTGGCGTCAACTCTGCGTGTGGTTTGTGGAGGTAGCAACGGTGCAATGGGCAGATACCTTAACCTGAAAAAAGGGATACCAACCTTAAGAAATGCAGATCCTCTTTGGGGCCTCTTTCCTAAACACAACCCGTTGACATCAGCACTTAACCTTATTGAGTGCCATGGGCGAGGCTTCCATGCGACCCGTCCCTTTCAAAAAGATCCTGCGAAACCTGGCTGGGGGATTTGTTTCGAGGAGTGGCTTCTGTGAAGAATTGCTGGTGTCTCTTTCTCTCTCTCTCTCTCTCTCTCTCTTCTCTCTCTGTTGGGAGCACCCTTGTCGGCAACCAAGGGATGTTGCAACCAGCGCTGACTGACTGGTTGTTTGGTTGTTCCCTTGAAGTATGAACGGGCTCCACATTGGTGAAGAGAACCTTGTTGGCGGACCCTTGATTTGTTTTTCTCGAGGAACAAAAGCAAAGGTGCATTTGCCGACTTCCCTGCCATTCCTTTTTCTTTTGCTTTTACATGTTGTTCCCTCCCGCCCTTGTTTCCTCTGCGGGTCCATGTTCTTGCTGCGCCTGATGCATCTGCTGGATTTTTTTGCCATCGCGAGTTGCGAAGCAGCCCCCACGGAGAAGCCTCCTTTGTGGGATGGAAAGCTTTGTTGTTGATCCCTGATTTAGGCTGCATATCCCAGACAATAGTGTCAATGCAAGCCTCATTCTGGGGATTTTCTATTTTGGGCTATTGCTTTGGTTAACCTGGATGAGGGTCTAACTGATCACGTATACTCTGAGAAAAATAAATACAAAATGGGAGAACGGGCCGCCTACAGTGCACGCAAGATATGTGTTCCTCGCGAGGTGGGGAATAAGTCAAAACGCGGTCACCCATGATGAAGGTTCGTGCTGGGATTGCCTTTTTCCCAGCGCGTGAATTGTAGTCATTTACCTAGATTTTATCGTTAGGTTCATCCCCCAACAGTTAGGACCCTCGTTTGGATCCTAGGGTAGGCCCGGCTTACTGCGAAAGGGATAGGCTTGCGCGTGAGATCTCTCAGGACCAAGGTTTCTTGGAGCTCTGGCAGTGGTGTCTTTGGGTTCCCTACCCCGATTTTTGTTGATAAGCCAAACTCTTGCCACATGTCCCGGTATTCTTCTGTGAAGCTGGTGAAGATGCCTCCCAACCTCCGGCTGGCGAGGATCTCCAACCTGGTGGCTGCAGAGGTCAGCGAAAAGCGGAAAAAAGTCACGTTAATTTCTCGGCAAGCCAAAGGCCCTCTCGCCCACAGACGGTGCTGAACCTTCTTAGTGATTCTTAGAGCCAGCACCCAACATGAGGGGGGGGCGCTTGACCACTTTGCGAGGGGCCTCATCATCAGTGCAGATTCCTCTACTTGTTTGTGTTTGCAGAAGCCATACCACAAGAATCCCTTTCTCGCTGTGGTCCCAAATGGTGTCAAACAAACTAGTTGCACCCTGTCCATGTTGATTTCATGCTTTTGAGGAAGTTCTTTGGTCCACCCAAAATCTTGAGATGGTCCAGGTCTTCCGGTTCTTGTCAATGGCAATTGGTCAAGGCCTTTCTTGAGGGTTCCTTCAAATCCAAGAACACGCCTCGGTGCCGAAAACATGGGTTTGGGCGCTATTCGCAAGAGCTTTACCCATGGAAACTCCTTCCACAGGGCGCCCGAATGTCGGGTCAGAGACTTTGAACAAATCACCCAACATGATGGCTGTTGCATCCAAGAAGAGTTCTCAGGATCAGAAAAAAGAACCATCTGGGCTGAAAGGCAATCCTTTATCCTTGCCTTGGGTTCAGAAGGGGATCCTGTTTTGTCGTGTTTTCCCCTCCAATTTTGAGACAGGCGTTCCTAAAGGACTCCTGTCCAGCGAATCATGATGAGCCAGAGGTTTTCATCATGACCCCATATTACCCCAGTGTTTCCCGAACTGTGTTTGGTTTTGGTTTCCACGTTTTTTCCAGGAGAGACCTTGGAATCGTGTCCACGTGGATTCCCACTCGTGTGGACCTGGTGGATCGCCGAAGCCGTAGGACGCCACGTTCATGACCAGCCTCTACAAGCAGGTGCCATCCGAGATGCTGGAGCTCTCAAGGACCATGCGCTTGAAGGACGTTTTCATCTTCTTCTTTTTTTCTCGGTTAGTTCACGAGAATAATTTCTCCCAACCCCGGAAAAGAACCCTGGCAATAGGGGTGGGGGAAGGGCCTCCGAAAGGGGTCTGAATCAAGGGACACACCCTCTATAAATATGTTGGGGGTGTTGGGGGTGTTGGGGGTGAATGGTTTGGCCGGGTGCTTTTTTTCTCTGTTCTGATATGTCCATTTGTTATCTTCATCCATCGTGTTTCAGAAAGCGCGGCATGGGAAGCCATGGTTTTTGCAAAGTGACGAGATTGGTCGGGTATCGAAGCTAATAGCCGAGGTTGGTTGGTTCCAAACGGCGGTCTCGAATCCCCCGACTTGAAGGCGATCCTCCAAACCTCTTTTGGACGACCTCAAGGGTATCCTCAAAGTCCAAGCAGCGTCGCTGCGAGCCTTGGGACACGCATCTTCCTCGTGCCTCAAAAACCAAGCCGTTCGAAGAGGGGGTTCCGTTTGAAGAGAGGCTTTTTGTGGTAGCCCATGTCGGCGTGAGGAATTGTTTGAGGGCACCCTCTTTGTGGTGCCAAGAGGAAAGCCACCATTTCGGGGTGGGGGGTCCCCTAAAACAAGGCGCCCCTAAACATTGCCAGACACAACACGCACCATTCTGCTTGGTTTGTTTGTCCTGTTGAGTGTTTCCGGTTCCCCGACTTACCCGCAACACGTTGACGATCCCCTTCCATTCGTATAGGTTTTTCATCGGTTCCTTATGCCAAGCATCCGATTCTGGATCCTTGCGATGGCACCCACACGCAGTTGGTCAACCAAAGTGTTAACAACTGGTGCCATGGTCAGATACCGTGAATTTGGCTTGCCCGCGCTGGGGCACTGGCTCAAATACGGATTTTTTCCTCATGTGCCAGGCTCAAAGCATAAAACTCCACTCAAATCCTTGTCAAATACGGATGTTTTGCTTCTCATGTGCCAGGGTCAACACTCCTGGTAGCGAATTGGTCACATCAATCGGAGGACGCTGCACTTCAATGCCACGACACCCTCGCGGAGCGAAAATCTGGCACCGGCCCTAGGCCACGAGCCGGTTCCCCGGGGGTTCGGTTTGGTGTCTTTCTGGGAAGTGAGCCGAGTCGAACCTTTGGGCCAGAAGATTTGGGAAGTGCGAGCAGATCTTCCAGTCTCCAGGCCAAGGGCTTTCCTCTCAGGGCTCGATTCCTAGTCCCCGCAAAAGAAAGGAGGCTGGGTTGAAGCCTTGGCCCACAGGTGAGTTTCCCTAGACTTGATGTTTTGAGCGGGTTTTTTTTATGGGGCACCCGGCGAAAGTGGATTCCGGGACGGACGGCGTGGATCTCAAGCTCACGGATCCCAGGCCAAGTCGCTTCCTTGCGAGCCCCTGACCGAAGGCACAGCCAAAGGTTTCTTTTGCCTTTGCTCCTCTCCCCAAGTTTCCACTTCTTCACAACCACAAAATGCATACTCCCCCCCCTGAACCACTGTATGAACCCGACAAGCTTAAGAGGGAACATGGAAAATGCTCATTGAACCTCCAGTTAAGAGGGGAGATGCCGTTGTCCTCAGAGGCCTGTTAGACCTTAGATTTGTTTTGTTTCACCCTGGCTAATTTTGTTTCAACGCCCGAGGCGATCTGCGCCATCACCCTGCGCGACCACGTGGGTTCCAAGGCCGGGTCCTGGGTCCCGCTGACGCCACGCGTCAGCGCTTAGACTGGAGAGTCGATCGGTTCCACTCGCGGCGGGGGTGGTGTTGACCTTCTTTTGGGGAAAGGCACCCCCTGTTGGGGTAAAGAAAGAAGGCACCTTTTGTGGTGGTGATGTTAAAATACGAAGAACAACAGTGTGTTTCTCTTTGTGGTCGAAGGTGCATGTTTTGGGGTGGCTGTAAATAGATGGGTTCCACTGGCTTAGATCGGTTTACAAGCCATCTACCAGGGCTTTTCCATCGAGATGTGTTCCAAAAGGTCACGTATGAATAGGAGCCCAGCCTTCCAATAGGAAGGTTCTGCACATGTCGCGAGGGTATATGGGTGCTTGTCCTTTCGAGGTGGTCGGCTTCCCTTTGCTTTCCCCTTTACCCTTCAAGAAGGGCGTCTCGGATTTCGAGACCAACCCTAGTGGCTCATAGAAGCCAGGGTTTGCAAAAATCGTAACCAATTCCCCGGTCCCCTTCAAAGGGAAGCCAAAGAGAGGCTGTTTAAACAAAAGGGTGGCACTTTGCCCGTGCTCATTTTTGTAGGCACCTCACAAGTTGACATTCTCAAAGAATACCTTTTGCTCTTTTGGAGTCCCTTTCAAACCACTCGGCTTTTTTGTCTCTTTTTTTTGCTTATTCATCGCATGGAAACCCTCCCCCCTCGCTCCCTTCCGCGGTTCCGGTTCCCTTCCGTTCCGGTGAGACCTTTGCGCACTCGGTGAAGCCCATGAAGCTGGTGAAGTTTGTGACCGCGGCGGAGAAGCCGCGGCCTGAGAGCTGGGAGGGGACTTCGCCCCCAAACTTCGCTTGGACTGGGTGGGCTCCCACGGGAAGTTTCCCGGACCCTTGACCAAAAAGGCACCCAAAATGGGTGGTTCTCTGTGTAAAACCGAATTGGAGCACTGCCCCAATGGTTGTGGTTGGTACCCTAGTGACCATGGCTGACGCGATGAGCTTCCTGTTTCGTGCCTTGAAACCATATTTATGGTTTTGACCCCCTGATGGCTACCGTGCCGGAAGATGTCGGATTGCTTCAGATACTTCGCCGTGCAGGAAGCACGATGCTCAAAGTGGACCCTTTGCGGGATTCCGGAAGTGCTGCGAATCTCTTGCTAAAGAGTTGGCGGCGGGGTTCCATTGATTTTCTGCAAGGTAGACTCAAACCCAGCTTTCCTTCTGGGGACATCAACCACCCCTGAGCTTAAGTCTGCCTAGGGCTCAAGAAAGGAATCCTGGTTTGCACCCGCACAAAAAGAAAAGCAAGGTGGTACTGAAATCCTGTCGGAGGTAGGCAACCCAAACTTGTCAATCGAAAAAAGAGCATCGGCAAGAGAACCACGCCCGGCCTAAACCCCAGTTATTCATTGGCAGCCATGTCCCTTTTGTTGGGTTCCTCACCTACCCCAACTTGGGGCCCTTTGCTGCCAGGGTCCAGTTACAAGTGGAATTGATATCGGTGTGTTGCCCAAAATTGGGTTCCCCTGTCCGCTTGCAGCATTTCTGGCATCCGAACCGCGGGTTGGGATTCTCTCGCAACCCGCAGGTTGTAGCCTATCCACAGGCCGCCTTCAGACCCGCTTAAAGGCTCGGAATCAATAAGCCCCGCCAGGCAGCCGTACCACTGGGGGCGAGGGTCAATTTGGCTGTGGCTCAAAAAGATGTATAAATGGAAACAAGAGCCAAAACCTGCGTAACCCTACCTCTTAAATTTTGAGCCACACCTAATTAGGGCCTCCTGAGGAGATACTTGCCAACGCCCTTCCACAACTTCTCCCACGCCTTGGACGTTGCCTGCAGCCTCTCCCTGCAAATGACGCAGGTGCAGGCGGAGACCCGCAAGTTTCTCGCGCGGGTGAATCGGTGTTTGGAGTGTTTGGTGTATGTCTTACTTTGGACCTCGGAGTCAATGGCCAGGTTGGGATTCCCAGGTCCAAGAGTGCTGCCAGAAATACAGCTGACAGAGGTCGTCTAGCCCGGTGTGCGCATTTACATGTATAGTAGGTAGCCAGTGCCCCCATTTTGACAGACCCTTGACCAAGCACGTTTTGATGTTGACTCGAGTGGCTTCATCCCAAGCGCAGAGAAAAGATCCCTCGAAGCAAACGTACTTGGGAGGCCCTGTAGATTGAGTGCCCAACCGATCCCTCTCTCTGATGAAGCGTTCCATACGTGTCGGGATTGCCTGGCCTGGGCTGTTGTCATCTACCGAGGGCGTACCCACAACGGCGGTGCTTCATGTTTGTTTGGGAGGCTCTTCCCGACAGGTTTCATGTTGCTTGTTTTGTTTTGGGGGGTTGAAGGGAGTGCGAGGTGGGTGAAGAGAGGGTGGGGAGGGGTGAAGGGCGGGAAGCGGGAAATTAAAGTGAAATGGCGGTGGGTCAAAACCACTGGTATCCCATTTTGGGGGTAAGTAAATTCACCACCCATTTTAGAACCTTTTTTAGTGGTTGGATTGGGATGTTCACTGGGGGATAGCCGATTTGGCTTTTGACCCATGGCCAGATCGAGCTTCGGGACCTAGGCTCGCCTCATTTCGAAAGTACGGAGGCGGACGTCTTCATGTCGGACCTGAGCCAGTTCGCTTTGCTGGTGGCCGCGGTAGGCCATGACATGGGCCACGAGGGCCTGAACAACACCTTCTTGGTGGAGCCCATGCCTCAGCCTGCATGAGTCTTCATGGTGACTTTGGTGTGACCGAATCACCCCTTAGATCTGTTGGCACAAAGCATGTGGGTTCCATCCAACCGGCGAAAGGATAGACCTTTTGCTCAGGCAAGAGCAATCCTTCTTTTTGGGGGTGCGGAGGCGTGTTGAGCCCAACCCAAAAATAGCTGCAACAAGATGCGGCAAGAAGCCCTGGTTTTACAAAGCCCAAGCCACACTCCAAATCCAGAAAAAGGATAGACCCTCCTACCAGGTCTTGATCGGTGACGTCACCTTTCCCAAAGCGACATCCTCAGAAGGGTGTTCTCCGTATCCTGGCCCCCAGCATTGCGCGTTTCCTTTTTCAAGCAAAGAAGCAAGCTCGACAGGTTGAGTTGGCGGATCCGCCAGCCCAAGGGGGCTCGCCATGAAAGTCTTGGGCTGGCGGATTCGCCATGCCGCCATCCGCTGGTAGGACCTCGCATGAGCTGGCGGTCACCTACAACGACAAGAGTCCGCTCGAGAACATGCACTGCTCCTTGGCTGACTCTTGCTGGTGTCATCTTTATATGGCTCGTCTTTGTTGGAGTTGGTACTCTGCTTTGGTGGTTGCAAACACAAGCCAAAAGGAACACACACATTCATTAGGTTGTGTTCTTGTTTATTGTATTCTCCTCTGTTTTTTTTGGGGGGGGGTCCCAAAAAAGACACACCCATATAAACGTTAAATCTGTTTGAGGGGGAGGAAGTGAAATCCTGCAGCCTTGTCCTCTTCCCATAGTTTCTCGTAGACTTGCCAGAAAGGATGTTGACTTGTTGTGTTGCTTCCCACTGCGAAAGTCGAAGAGTTCATTCGCCAAAGCTGAGGCTGGTGTGGCTCGCTCTTAGCCTATGCAAACTGTTGTACCCTTGCAACAGTTGTGGAAGACTGGAGGGTTTTGGAAGACTACGTAATGTTGACCCCGGATTCATAAACGCCTGTTTAATAATCTGCGGTGTGTCCCTGGTTTCAGTGGGAAATGATTTCTCCCTTGAGGGGCCTCCAGCCCCATATGAACCAACAGGGGTTTGTTTACACCCGGGGGCAACCTGACCACAATCCCAGAAGCACCTCGCCACCTCGGGTCGCAGGCTCCAAGCTCTTCCAGCTGCTCCGCGATCCGGAAACCGACGTCTTCAGCTCCGTGGCCAAGGAAACTTCTTGTCCGAAACCCGGGGGGTCGTTTCAGCACGGCCATGTAGGTAATGTTGACCCAGGATTAATCAACCCCTGGTTGATTAATTAGGGGGTGTTGTCTTTTAGTGGGGATTCATCACTTTTGGAGAGAACACCCCCATATTAATAAACAGGGGTTTATTAATTCGGGGTTAATATTATTTTCACAAAACGTCCGGAGGTGAAAGAGTAGCCTTAAAAGAAAGGTTCTGCCTTTGGAACCCGAAAGGTCCATTTGCAGGAGAGTCATGCAAAATGGAGGGTTTCTGGGGTGCCATGTAGATTTGCAGGGGCAAGTTGATTTGGTGTTTGGTCGAAAGCGATTCTTGTTGGTTTTGCATCAGTGGATTGCCACCTTTACAAACTTTTGATTTTGTCATCCTTCAGACCAAGCCTCCTTGAAGACTGTGCCAGTGCTGCCACTTGTCACTACGAGGATTCAAGTTATGCAAAGCCTAACCCGAAGAGTCTTGAGACCTCAAAAAGGCCCTTTCGAAGTTTGAAATCCTCCATACAGATTCTTTTCGAGGTGCAATGCTTGGCAAGTAGATGTCTCTCCTCATGGTTTAGTTGGCCGGGTGTCACATCCAGTCCTTGGCTCACGGATGCCAGGATCAATACAAAGAAGTGCGAGAAGATATCATCCAGGCTGGCGTTTTTTTTTTTTTTCCAGCGGCACCTTGTCCAAAGCATAAATTGCTGTGTCTTGAGCAAAGTGCTTTCGAGCCAGGCCATCCTGCACACAGACGTGACGAAGCACAACGAAATGGTAAAGGACCAAAGGGACGGCGGCTCGAGCTGCGCCCAAAACCGATCAAGGATGGGTAACTTGACTGTTCTTGGATCATGTGTTGTTTTTTGTGTTTTTTTCTATTCGGTGTGTTGGTTCTGTTCATTTTTCGTAGGCTGCAAACAACAACGCTTTTTGCAACCATACCAAGGGTTTTGAAGGTAGGCTCCACGTCAAAACGGAGCCAGTCCGTCTTGGCCCGTTTTGGGAGTGGGCTGTGGAACCTTGGGAAAGCGGCCCATGCTTTGCTGCACGGCTCGGTTAAGCCCGGGGATGGAATTCACGGCGCATACCGCAACAGCGCTACCCTGCAAAAACGTATGGAATCTTAAAGGAGGTTCCTCTCAATTTGTTTGGGTTCCATGTCAATGCGCAAGGGAGTAGGACAAAGCCGCACTCTGCGGGAGAGGATCTGGCGCTGTTCTATCAGATGAACAAGGAGACCTTGAACATCGAAGAGCTTGCAGAGGAGGCGGTCGCCACACAAGTGGAAGGGAACGTTCAATGTTCATCCGACGCCGAAGAAGTGTTTGATTGTTTGTCGTGCTCCAACGAAGCTTTGCAGTTGGCCAAGGTGGTTTCCACTTGAGCATCCTGTTGAATTTGTCTTCAAATGTCCACGGAAAGGCGTGCTACCGAGGACTCACTGGTGCTTCACATGCTTCATATTGCCAGGCTGTTCAGGCAAGGGGCCCGGCATGAGCCACTGGCTGGGGGTGCTCTGCCAGTGCTCCCCCCTCCCTCGCGCAGCAACTCTCGGTGCTGCAAATGAAGGAGTCGCAACCTACCTGGACCTCTTCTCTTGCTCATAGCTTCCCCAGAATTAGCTCCCCTTTTTGTTATTTTGCTTTTTGGGGGTCCCTTTGTTTTCCACTAACCAGGCAAACAAAATATTTTTTTGCTGGGGTCCTAATTTCAGCCAAGATAGAACCCTTGTTTGAACATGGGGTTTAATTTCTGGGCGCACTTCTTGAAATTTGTTTGCCCAAGCCTGGCAAACGGTCTGGCCAGGCTGGTGGGGTGCTCAAAGCAAGCCGCACCACCATGATCAATGCCCTGCTGCACTCGGCAGATGCAAAGCCCTCAGGGCGGGCGGTGCTTCGTGCTCAGAGTTCGCAGCTTCATTTTTCAGGATGTGTTTGGGCAAATGTTGATTAGCTGGCCTGAGGGTGCAGCGAGCTGACCCCGGAAGGTTCCTTAGTGGATTGCTTCTGTCAGATTTGTGAAAAGTCACTCGCCTAGAATGTTGACCAAGCCGCTTCCACTCCCTTTCCGGCAGGATTCTACAAGAGGGCCGATATGGAAGCACACCTTTACGCGAGAGCATTTACTTGACACTTCAGGTGAACAATCCCTGCAAGCCCTGGGAAGTTGCGAAGCAGCTTGCCTACAGCTGTGCTTCCGCCGCGCTTGGCATGGCGAAGGGAGCGCCATTTCCCGGTGCGGATGGAATCCCCCTCGAAGTGAGTAGCGTCCCTTGGGGACGGCCCAATTGGTATCGCAGAACAGGGCATGGATAAGCCACACCTGGCTATCAGACCGATGCGGGGAACCGTGCCAGGTATGGATGAATTCTTCGCTCAAGGTGACATGGAGAAGAGCTTAGGAATTCCAGTGGGCTTTCTGAACGACCGTGAGAAGGTGAACAGGCGCGCCCAAAAAATTCACCCTCTGGCTGAAGGAAATCAACGAGACAAATCAAGTCAGAAGCACCCCCAGAAGTGATTGCAAATTGCAGAGCAGGCCAGAAGCACAAGCTGGCGTAGCGGTTCCATTGCACACAATTTAGAGGCGAAGCCACAACAATGATACACTTCAGCGCGGGGCTCATGGGTGAGAATTGGCCACAAGTGCAGCAACCGCATCTTCATCCGCGCCGGTGGCAACCTTCACACCATAGTCAACTTGGGGGCTGCTGGATAGCTTGTCCACACCCAGTCCACCACAAAGTCTCACCAGGTCTGCATCATGTTATGTCACGCCCTTATCATCACGTATCTTCATTAGGCCAGGGTGCCACAACGAAATTCCCTGACACAGATGTCCCGATTGTGGTCCTGCTTCATCAATCGCTTTGCGCTCATAGTTGCCCAAAAAGCGACACGTGGCGAGCATCTCCCATCCGCGTTGTGGAAGCACCAGTGTGACGTCATACTGTGGATGGACGAAATCCTGCACCACCAAAGATACCCTGGAATGTTGATTGCCCTGTAAATGCCAACAAGCAAGGGTGTCTCATGGTTGCTTGGGTGGTGCAGAATTTCGTCCATCCACAGTGCCAGCCTGCTGAAACTCCGGCTGGACCGTGGACTTAGAAATGCACAACTCCGTGTTCACGCAAACGACTGCCGCAAGATGACCGTGGCGGTCAGACTGTATCACTTGGATCCAGGTCCATGCCATGGGCAGATATCTCCGGACACAAGCGCTGAAGGGAACCACCCATGCTATGGCTTTAGCATATTGAGCCACGCCCAAGTCACCCTGTGTAAAGCAAATGACACACTGAAATGACACCCCCAAATGACCCATCAAACGGAAGACCACCATTTTTTGGTTCCCCTATACTTTTGAATACACGCCCACATAGCTGGGGCGCGTTCCAGCGGCCGGACAGGGCCAACTCGCAGATCGGTTTCATCGAGTTCATGATAGCTCCCTTCGTTGAGGCACTGGAGAGGGAAGAAACTCGGATCTGTGGGTCGATGGGCACATGCTGTGGGTTTGCTGGCTGGCTTGGCTTGGTGTGGTGTGACATGGTGTGGTGTGCTTGCTTGCTTCCTTGGTTCGTTGCATCTTGGTTGGGTTGGTGAGTTTGGTTGGTTTGGTGGGTTTGTTTGATTTGCATCCTGAAAACTCGCGTTTCACCACCCGCTTTGCGCCCATCTCATGGTTCCATCTCAGCCCAGCTTAGCGGAACGTGCCAGCTGGGTCCAAACGCCTTGCAAAGCAAGAAGTTTGGAGCGTTCCCCAAAACCAGGCTTGGGCCTCAGTTTTACTGGCTCTTCAGCTTGACCGGGTGCACTGTGGCATCGTGCGGCTGCAGTTTTGTTTCCCCCGCCTTTTCTTTCTGGCGATTGTGTTGTCAGGGTCTCGTTCAACTTACACTGTTTGAGTTACGATTAAGCGGGTCACGCCAAAATGCTTGGCGTCCCCTCCAGGGCCTTTTAAATGACCGCGAGTCGGGCGGATTCGGTCGGAACACGTGCCGAAACGGTGCGGTTGACGTTTTGCGGTGCTGGTTTGCGTCTGCGTGGTTCTGGTTGTTTGCTTGCTTGTTTGGTTGTTTGTTTAAGGTGTGGATTTCTTGGGGCTTCCCTTTGAAGAACTTGTAAAGAGGAATCTGCCGGCTTTGGGTTAGCAAATTCAAATGTGGACGAGGTTCTTGGGGGATTTCCCACAATTGAGGACCCCTTGAGATGCTTACAGACAAAAAAAAGTGCCCATGTTTGGGTGTCTCCGCTTTTTGCTAGCACCCTAAAGGGTCTTGGCACTTCACGACAGGTCAAGGTCGGCTCGGGCCAAAAATGGTTTCCAACAATACCCTTGGACCCCTTAAAGGGAAACCGAAAAGAGGTTCAAGCAGACCTTTGTCCCTGATTTGATCCATGTTTGGTCCAGGTCCCACAAGGTCCAAACTGGGCAAATGAGAATAGGAGCGCCAGTTCAAGTTGGAGTATGGTCAAAACAGAACCGAGGGGGAGGGTTCTTTGGGGAACTGAGAGGTCACTGCAGCAGTGTTTTTTCTTGTTTTTTTTTCCGCAGCTTGGCCACTGACAGGCGCTGGTCTTGATTTTCCCACCGCTGCAGCAGATGTCCATTTACACCGCTGAGCTGCTCGGCCTTAGCAACGGGATTGTGTTCGACATGGTGGGAATGAGTCCAGGTCACAAATGGGTGGCGCATCTTTCTTTGAAAGGAACCCCCCCAAGTTGGTTTCCATTTTAAAACACGCAAAAGGGGTCCTTTCACAAACCAAAGAAAAGGCTTCAAACCTTCTGCGCCGTCGCAAGCCAGAATTTGCCATGCTGTCGGTGTTTGCAATCACGCCGCCTGAGGAACGTGCAGCGCTGGGCTCGCGTTTGGAGAGAGGAGGCATTGAGGGGCAATGAGCTTTCGAGGGATTTGGGCGGAGGCGTCCACCGGGTGTAGAAATCTCGTCAAGTGCCCAAAGCCTTCGAGGATTCCTGGCTGTCCCTGGTTGCCTTCAGATGTACATGGCCATCATTTCATGTTGATCTGTTCTCATTGGTACCCATTGGCCTTTCGTGTTTTGGCCCAGCTTCAGCGGCCAAGGCTGAGCTTTCTTTGCTCCATTTGGGTTGCGGCGGGGCAGGGATTGTTCCAGATGGCTGTCTTATGGTGTGATTCAAAAGTGGACCACACAAAACGGATCATTGGACCAACCCCAAAAGCCGCCAACTTCCTGGGTGGGGTCCCCAATTTTGAGAAGAAAACATATAGAGTGAGGGTTTATACAACATTGATATGTGTTGTGCGGAGCCCGTTTGGCCGCGCGGTGCGAGCGGTTTCTCTGACAGGCAAATCCCCAGGAGCAGGAGAAGGAGAAGATGGCGGCGAGGGTCCAGAAGGCCTGCGCGACTCTCGTGCCAGCGCTGCCCAAAGTTAACTCAAGTGCGAGCCCTGGTTGCTTCTCTACACGGGGTAGACTGCTTTCATAGCATGGTTTAAGATGGTTCAAGTATGACTCATTTGCTGGTTTTTGTAGGGAAGCCCCTTTCATGGGAAGCAGGGCAGACCACAAGGAAGCCGCAGCTTGAAGGAAGCGGCCACAGGGGTGGGAGATCTCTCAAGACGGATCCCCACGAATCCAGCCAAATGTTGCTTATGATCGGATCATGACATCTTTCCGGTATGGTTCACATTCGGCGGATCGATCCTGCCAATATTTTTGCATTGAACCCATCACCGAAATGCAGGACTAGACATGGATATCATGCACGTATTGACCCGAAGCAAACCTCCTTTCTCCCAAGGTGTTTGTTTGTTTCCGAGGAACCCCATGCTGTTTTGAACCGGAAAACCTCCAGTTTCAGGTAGCCCGCCAAACCACTGGGCTCCAAAGACCATTGTGGCGCAGCTGGTCAAAGGTCCTCAATCCTTACCTTCGGGTTTCCGCAAGGATTCGGTCCCCTTTGTGACGCTTCCCTGGGATGAAGCAAAAAAAGGCAAGGTGACGCCTGGGAGCACTCAGGGGGGGGGGGGTGGCCGCAGGTGGTGGCGCGGCTCAACGCAACACTTCAGGCATGGGTCGAGGGCAGCCCGACGCCGGTGGGTGGGAAGCCAGGGGAAATGGGGGGTCTCGATGTTTTTTTGTTCCCCCCCCTGTTTTGGTGAAGCTACCGAGTTTGTTTAACTTAGAATTTCAGGTGAGGGTGTTTTGGGAGTGAGCCTGGCGAAGTGATCCGATCGTCAAGTGCCTGAGAAACATTCATTCGGGGGGCGGGGGAAGGCGGGGTTCCCTCAAAAGTCTTTAAGGGAAACACCCCAATCAACAACGGGCTCGAGCGTAGAGATCCTCATCCTGTCGAGGCTGGTCCTTCTTCACCTAGAGGTTTGACTTGACCCAGTCTTGAAAGCCAAGACGCCTCGTTGTACACAGGAAAAAGCGATCCAAGACCCGAGTGGCAAAGTTCCACGGGGCTCGGAACCTGAAAAGAAGCCCAGCCAAGTGTGGCCGATGCCTGCTTAGGGGTCATAGGGGTCATGCTGGCACGAGGCCACATCCGTGCAGCACCAGCTTCAACACGCAGCTTAACTGCTCACATCGACCCAAAGAGGTTGTGACAACTGGCACGTTGGCATCCCCAGCTTCAGTGGTGCCCTGTCTTCTTTTAGAGGGGCGGTCACGTTGAAACGAGCTACCCAAGAACAGGGATGCCCTGCCTCTCCCGATGGCCACTGGGGGGGTTGAGCAGAGACTTCTCCTTTGGGTTGGCACAGTAGCAAAGAGAGGGCGCTATGAGAAGCAACAAGCACCAATACGAAGAAGAAGTGCGAAATATGCAACATGTTGAGATCAAGCAATGTGACCGACCGCAACTTGTTCGGAACGATGCGTAATCATTTCCTGACGCCATGGCATCCAAGCCAAGCGCGCCTCGGCCATTGAGCCGGACGGCGACGGCGACGTCATGGCCGCGTGGTGCCTGGGGCTGTTGGTCGCCCTGGCCTATGGGGAGGTACTCTATGGCTTGCCAGGCATGGCCGCTCAGCTCACAGGCAAAGATGCAGGGTCTTCGAGAACCGGCTCCTCGTGTAAAGGCTTACCATGGTAGTTACTATTAAAACGGCAGGTCTGTTAGAACCCCACCCGCCGTGCCAAAGGAGAATGATAATAAAGGAATTGTAGATGCAAGAGACACCAAAGACATTCCAGAGAAGAGAAACATGAATGCCCACCCTTTCATCTCCATCCGTTGCCAGTTCTTTCCAGCGGTTGCACATGAGTTCCTTTTCCTTTATCCTCCTTCACTACTCGATTTGTGTTTCTTCGTTCGGCCCAAACCTTCGGCGCAGCCAGTTGTCTTTATCACTGCATTCTGAACGCCCATAAGTAAGTCCCTCCGTGAGTAAGGGAAGTTAGGGGCACGCCCCCTTGACGTAAGCAGGCACTTGATTGTCTACCCTGAGTTTTGGGTAAACCTCTAAATCCCGCTTTGCTTTTGGCTCAAAGGCAAATGTGTCTGTCTGGTGGGATTTCCATATCCCCGCACAGGGGTTCGGTTTCCATTTGGCCACCCTGCAACGAGAAAAAGGGTATCCTCAAAAACAGGAACCAAAACCCTGGTGTTTGAAGGCTTGGGTCCAAATCCCCCACAGAAGACCCCAAGGCTGGCGTTTTGCACCCGTTAAACGTGGGAGATCGGCTTTCCCTAAGCAATATTGAAGCTCCTTGAACCCACCGGGTCTTCACATCAGAACGAACCTAATCTCTAAAATGCTGTAGGGGAACCCGAAGAGGGATGTTGGTTTCACTTCAAGGCAACCCAAGAAGGTTAAGCCACCTGAAAGAAGTACAAATTGCAAAAACGGTTAACACCACTCCCAAAACGGTTAACTTCAACCCAACAAATGCTTTGTTTGTTTTCTTAAAGACAAAAAGTGAAACCCTTCCGAAAAAGATTAAGGAGGTCCATGACTGTCTCTTTCTTATGTTGGTTTGTTTGCCTTTCTTTGGGCTGGCTTTGGTGGCTTTTGTGGCTTTTCGCGATTGTTTTTGCTTTTGGTTTCCACATCCTCAGCACCCAGTGACAGCCCCAGCACCAGGCGCAGTTTTTGAGCGAACCCAAAGAATCCAATGCACTAACCAGGTTTTGGACCACCATCAAACTTAAACCCACCCTAAAACCACCCTTATCCCCAAGAAACCCTAAAGAAACCTTAACACGCCCTACACGAAACTTCCCTAAACCAACCCTAAACTCCCCACTGTAAAACCACCCGAAGCTAACCCCAAAACCCACTCCAAACCCACCCAAACCTTGAACTTATTCTAAACCAACCCTAAACCCACCCCAAACCCGCCCTAACGAATCCCTACAGAAGCCTTAGACCCGTCCAAAACCAACCCTAAACCCACCCACCCTGAACCCATCTAAACCCTAAACAAGCCCTAAGCAAGCCCTACACCAACCTTAGACCCACCCCGCAATTCTGATCCCACCCCAAGCCATCCCCAAACCCTAGACCAACTGTAAACCAACCTTCCCCCTAAACCAGCCACTACGCCGGCCCACAAGAAACAAGACAAACAACCCTGAACCTAAGCCGCCAACGCCTTTGTATACGCTTTTGTTTGTACTCCCAAACCAGTCAACATGGCTGTGGTTGTCAAAAATGGGGTAACCCCAAAATGGCTTGCCCTGGTAAATGGAGACATGGACTAAAATCTGCGGTCCGATTCCTGGGTAAGTTTTGACCCATACCCAAATCAACACAAAAGTTTTGCGCGAAAGCTGAGGCGAACTACGAGCTGGTGGGGGCGTATGAGGAGCTGGTGGCCACCTTGTCCAACTTGGCTCCTTTGGGCCTGCAGGACGGGAATTCTCGATGTGAGACATTTGGGTGTGGGTCAATATGAAACCACCAGGATATGGACCGCAGATTTGAGGCCATTGTTTTCAATTTTTCCAGGGCAAGCCATTTTGGGGTTACCCATTGTTGACAACCACTGCCAGTTGGACGCGAGTTGTTTTGGTGTTGCTTCACAAGGGAAGCAAATGCACGCTCACACATGTCGAGGCGCCTTTCTGCTGACAATTTTGGCGTCTGGTTAATGAGGATCCTGATCAGGTTGGCTTACGGGAAGCCCAAAGGAAAACCGATATCCACGGGGTTCAAATCCCTATTTTGACACATTTCTAGCTGCGTTAAACTTTGCCATGGTCCTTGACATTACAACAGTTGGATGAGAAAATAGATGGGCATAAGTCCCCATTTTTGGCTTCATCATCCCCCCATCCCTTGCCAAAAAGGATCCGGTGCCAGCTGTTTGTCTTCACCTTTTGCCGCCAAGCCCAAGCAGCCCTCAGGGGGAAAGATAGGAAATGGGTATGTGATGGCATGTGTGAACATAGTTATATTACCCGGCATAGTAGAATTCTGGGGCCTTCTCTTCATGGGCAGAAGAAGCATTCCATGGAAAGTCTGGATGCTACTGTCCAGTGGCAACTGCAACCTCCCCCAGGGATCACTATCTCCAAAGTTCTCAGCGGAACCTTTGGAGAAGGGCTGGTTTGTTTTGAAAAGATCGACGAGGCAAAGAATGGAGAATCAACAAATAGAAAAGTCGGGTTGTATCGTCCCGGATTAAAAGTGGCGGTTTCTGTTGTTTGTCCTTTTGGACCTCAAGAACAATCCTCATCCAAATTACTAATTACTCTCCTGCGAGTTAAGATGAGGCCCAAAGCAGCGACTCTCCAAGAGGAGGTTTGCTTCCTCGACTAGCGAGGGGGCAAGTTGCGCGAGATGAATTGTGAAGAGAGTAGCGCGAGGTTTGATTTTAGTTTAAAAGGGGCTGGGTGTGTTGTTTCGCCACCTGTCCACCCAGGAAAGAACCCCTTCCGAAAGCTCCTCAACACGAGGGTTCCAACAATCGCTCGCGTTGTCGCAAGCTCACCGAACAGGGATGGAAAGGAGCAGATCAATGATCTCAGGCATTGGAGTTAACATACTTGCTGCAGATAGGGCTACCAGGGTTCCCCGACATCCTGCTATGAGGGACTACACAACCAGCACAAAGCCAGCTCTCAAGGTAGAATGTCCCATCCCGGAAATAGCCGCAGTACATGTCTGCCAGACAGTTCCGCACATGTTGATCATCCCTTTAGTGAGAACGAACGTTGTGGTTGAGGACGTCCCATGTAAGGCTCACTTCCCATCTCTGAGTAATCCGAAAGAGAGAACTAGTTGGACGCATGTCCAGAAACAAGCTGTTTCTCATGAACAGTGGAATCCCCGTTGATGAATCCGGACACAGTAAACAGCGCTGATACTGAGTGTGGCTGTGCCGTGTACCTGCTTGTTTCAGGTGACGTTTCAAGGGAAACAGAAACAGATCAGGCCCACGGCCCCTGTTCACCATCAGAGGTCACTTGTTCGTTGCCTCTTTGACTAACAACCTGCGGGGTCACTCCGTGGTTGGCACACATAGATCCTTTTGGTGATGCCGGGAAACTCCTTTTCAAGTGGTGTAAACTTGAAGCCGCAGCCCGAAACATGGAGAAGCCGAAACTCTGCTTAAACTGCCGAGAAGTCACAAGAAACCTGCGGATATGTGTTTGGCATTCCCCAAATCAAAAGCCACACAAATTGATGAAATCAAATCTTGGGCATGAGAATCCCAACAACTGCTGATCTTGGCTTCCCTGAAGCCCGGGTTCCAATCGCCGGCCCTGAAGCAAAGCACAAATGCGAGCCCCGAAGCAACCTTTGCAAGGATTTGTGCCGAGGACAGGAACACCCAGAGCAGGAGCATAGAGCAACCAGGGCCCCAAGACCCCTCAGAATTAATTTCGGTGTTCCTGCTGGTTTCCCTTTAACACCATCCCAAGAAGGCTAGCCTCAAAAAACACAGACCGGTTTGGTCGTCGGCTTATTTTCTGGGCCAAGGAAAGCCACCTTTCTTTCAGGATACCCTCAGAGACAGCCCTCAGAAAAACCCTGATCAGCAGGGAATGAGGGAATGACCGATGAATGACCCCTATAAACCATCCCTTTGTGGTTTCCTTTAAGGGGACCCCTGGGTTCATTCCCTTCCCTACCTATCGCACCAAGATAACTCAACGGCATGCCATGCAAAAAAGAAGAAGCAACACCCATGTCAGGGTTCCACTTTTCGGCTAGGCAGACTTACCCACAACCGGTTGATTCCCAAAAAAAAGCGCCACGGAAAGTCGCATGGCAGTTCCGGGCCCCTGCGTTTCGAAGGACCTGCCACAGCGATTGATTTTGTTCAGCGCCTGGTACGTGGCCTCGCGAACGCTGTACAGCGCGCTGGAGGGCCGGGACTGCTCCTGCCACGAGCCAGTGGAGAACCTGTCCCAGGCGCAAACGAGCGACAGCGCCTGGTGCATCGGCGCAAAACACACAAACAAACACAAACACACAAGCAAGCAAGCAAGCAAGCAAGCAAGCAAGCAAACACACACACACACACACATGCATTTGTTTTTGCTAAATACAAGCACACCAAAAATGTCAGCTTCCCTTTGATTGGTGGTTTGGAATTGCTGGAACCTCCAATCCAAACCCCCAATGGTTGTTTGATTGTGGGAGGTTTGTGCCCAAAATTGCGTCGAACTAAATGGATCTGTTTGCGCGGAAGCCTGTTCAGGTTCTCCAAATGTCCCCCGTTTTGTGGTTCAAAACATCACCTTCTGGTTGCCAATTCAAAGTGAGCTTGTTTTGGGGGAGATGTAAGGGGAAATACAGGGAGCTCTGGATGGAAGGGGACCGATGAAGTGATGGTTCCCTTGATTCATTCCTTAAAAAGCCAACCAAAGCGGGCTTCCCCCGAAAAGGCAACACCCTCCCCAAGATCCGCGACCTAAGGAGATTTGCTTTGGAAGGACCATTTCTCAGCTCAAGATAGTGAAATATGCTCTTGCACAAATCATACTGCCGTCATGTTCTGGGAAGGGGGGAGCATTTCCGCCTTCTCCTCAGCCAGGTGCCGGCAGCGCTGAGGACCCGCATCTGCAAGCTGGACGCCGGAGCCATCGAGACGGTGGCTCAATCGAAACCGGTACACATGTCACCAAGCCAGAAGTCTGAGTATCGAATCTAGCTGACATTGAGTAAACACAGCAAGCCCTGAGCACAGAGTTCAGGTGTTTGAGTAAGTTATTCTTTTCGGGTTGTGTGGCCTAGGTGACTCTTCACAATCACGGAAGTGGACGGAGGAACCTGCAATACTTGTGACAGTTGATGTGTCTTCAAGTAGTGGAACCAACGAGTTTGGGTTATCAAAATAATATGGACCCTCGACATATGCCGGAAGTATAACGAGCCCGTTCCCCTCCTGCGGGATGCTTTTGTAGGTGAATTCTCAGCGCACGCGGACAGGTGTAGGGTTCTCTACAGTTAGGGTTCCTTAGGAAGGCTTAGGGGAACGCAAGGAACCCCCCCTTTGGAACTCCCCACCCAGACACGTGAGTCAACCTTGGAAAAAGGGAGCGACTGAATTGACCAGAAAATTAGCAGCCATCTAGACGGCTCACGCAGTCAGGGAGGGCGCACATCAAAAGGCCGCCATCGCTACATTTTGCCCGTGTCAGTGCGTTCGGGGCCAGCAGAGGCGGCTTCGTGTTCGTCTTCGCCTTCAGGTTCTGTTCGGGCAAGTTCATCACATGTTCGTTCCATTGACACTGCTTGACAAGCGCAAGCGGTCGCTCTTTGTAGCAGAGAAACGCTGCAGAAGTCAGAGGTTAAAGTATGGAAGAAGAAGACGTGGAGACCAAGACAAACTCGGACCCGCTTCAGTTGGAGGAACGCACCTGCGTGCGGTTGGGGCCAACAGACGCGGCTTCGTGTTTGTCTTCGCCTTCAGGTTCTGTTCGGGCAAAATCATCACAAGGTCGCTCCATTGACACTGCTTGACAAGCGCAAGCGCCAAGGCCATTCAAGGCTATTGTTCGCTCTTTGTTGCAGACTAACGTCAAAAGCAAGCAGTGTGAGTTGGCCCAACATCTTGTAGCAGAGAAACTTCACAGAAGCCAGAGGTTAAAGTATGGAAGGATAAAGACATGGAGACCAAGACGAACTCGGACCCGCTTGATTTGGAGGAACGCACCTGCGTGCGGTTGGGGCCAACAGAGGCGGCGTCGTGTTCGTCTTCGCCTTCAGGTTCTGCTCGGGCAAATTCATCACATGTTCGATCCATTGACAATGCTTGATAGGCGCAAGCGCCAAGGCCATTCAAGGCTATTGGTCGCTCTTTGTTGCAGACTAACGTCAAAAGCAAGCAGTGAGAGTTGGCCCAACATCTTGTAGGAGAGAAGCTTCACAGAAGCCAGAGGTTAAAGTATGGAAGGAGAAAGACATGGAGACCAAGAAGAACATCGCCCCGCTTTATTTGGACGAACGCACCTGCGTGCGTTCGGGGCCAACGTCTTCGCCTTCAGGTTCTGTTCGGGCAAATTCATCACATGTTCGTTCCATTGACACTGCTTGACAGGCGCAAGCGCCAAGGCCAGTCAAGGCTATTGGTCGCTCTTTGTTGCAGACTAACGTCAACAGCAAGCAGTGTGAGTTGGCCCAACCTCTTGTAGCAGACAAGCTTCACAGAAGCCAGAGGTTAAAGTATGGAAGGAGAAAGACATGGAGACGAAGACGTACATCGCCCCGCTTCATTTGGACGAACGCACCTGCGTGCGTTCGGGGCCAACAGAGGCGGCGTCGTGTTCGTCTTCGCCTTCAGGTTCTGTTCGGGCAAATTCATCACATGTTCGTTCCATTGACACTGCTTGACAGGCGCAAGCGCCAAGGCCAGTCAAGGCTATTGGTCGCTCTTTGTGGCAGACTAACGTCAAAAGCAAGCAGAGTGAGTTGGCCCAACCTCTTGTAGCAGACAAGCTTCA